GGGAGGGGTTAGAGGTAGGTGGATTATCTACGTAAGCCAGCCAGGGCCAGGTTTAGGCAAAGAACAGGCGACATATAGGAGACTAGGTGTCTGTGTGGGATCAGTGGCAAGAAATTGTGGACCATTACTGAGGGGCCAAATGTATTTGGCTTTGCTGGGATCCACGGAGAAATAATGGGTAGCTTTTCAAGGGCAATTGAGATACAGGTCTGCATGAAAATGTTTAAAATATCTTGCACAGGCAGCTTTTCCTAAACACCTGTCTTGAAAGAGGAAAGCTTGAAAATCCTTGAGCGGCTGGTGGAAGACACGGAGAACCAAGAACTCATTTTCATCAGAGCCGTTGCTAGTCATTTCCTGGCCTGTCACTACTGTGAGAGTAAGAAGATTCCTCATGCACATGCCCACTCCAAAGCCAACGTTCAGTTGTGCAGTAGTGCAACAGCAGAAGACAAAGGGCGAAGCCTCAAATTTGGGGGGAAAGTGGTCTCTGCAAGCGATGTTTTTGGTGGTCTCAAGAAAGCATCCGACAACATCCGAAAAGGGAGCGGGGACATCTTGGCATGCTGCGATCAAGACTTATGTCTTATTCTTCAGAAGCTGGTTGCCTTGGGTTCAAACCCTTTGGATATCCATATGTCTCTCTCTGAAATGCAACCTGGGACAGCCCAGGAATGGCTTGACTTGGCGCACAAGCTAAGCTCAAAAGTTGCAGATGGTTCCAAACTGTTCAAGATGCCACCAACCCTGAACTCAAAGGCCCTGGCAGCAGTGAAATCCTTTCCTGAGTCTGACAAGACATACTTGGTCTTTGGCAAGGGAACCATCCACAGTGTGAGTCAAATTTTTCAAGATCCAGGCTTGCCTGATGAAGTAGCCCAGGATATTGATGCCAAGTTTCAGGATAAGCTTGTATACCGGGTTTTCGAGGTGGATATGATTAGAGTCAAGTGGGGGGAAACTCACAATGTTTTCCGTAGTGTGCAGGTGGTACTCTGCAGTGCTGAAGATAGCTATGAAAAGAATCTATTGTCAACGTTTGTCGCTGCTTGCTTGGAACCGGAAGGCAAAACCTATTTGGATACACCCGCTCCCGCAGATGGTTCGAGACCCAAAAAGGTGCTTTTTGCCACATCGCCCTGTGCCAAACACCCACAGATCAGAACATTCATGGCCAATGATGGGCTGTAAGTTGACATTGATGTGCTGATTTCGACTGTTCTGCAGCTGCTGGAACAGCAGGCCAACCCAAGACCGCCATGAAGAAAGTATCCCCATTCTCAAAGAAAGCGACTCCTCATTTTATGACCATAGCAGCTGGCAACCAGTGTGGGAAGTGTGGGAAAGTTGGCCCCAGCCTGAAGAAGTGTTCTTGTGGAAGCCTACTACTGCAGCAAGGAGTGCCAGGCAGATCAGTGGCGCAGCCATCGAGCAGATCACAACAAAGCCATGAAAAAGGACAACAAAAAGTCCTCAAAGAAAATGGCCAACAAGAAGTCCTCGAAGTAGGGATGCATCTGCTTATTGTAATCTGCACAATCTGTGCAGATGTGGAACACAGCACAATCAAAGGGCCACACGAAGGTGGCCTGCCCAAGCATGGATTCTCATTCTAAATTTCACGGGGAAATGTTGGGACCCAGCAGAATCGAATCTCAAGAAATCTATATTTATCTATCTATCAATCCATCTAGCCACTATCTAAAGAAAGTCCTACTAGCTAGCGAGTTGCACAATTATTTCATCCTCGTTTTATTTATCTATCTATCTATCTATCTATCAACCATCTAGCCACTATCTAAAGAAAGTCCTAGCAAGTTGCACATTATTTCATACTCATTTGATTGGTATCCGGTCGTTCAAGGGTATCTGAATCCCTGCCAAGCAAGACATCCTAAGGAAACCCCCTCCTCGCAATGCCAGGTACATGATGGGGATAGCCTGAAAAAAGAGGACCGCATCGCGGCCTTCGGGGGACCCTCAAGCTTGTAGATAATTCTACGAAATAACGAAACCTTTTTCTTTTTAACCTGTACGAGTCTACCGGTATGCCCTCCGCGTCCCACAGCACCAACCGTGCTACCGTGCTGCCGTCAAGAGCTGCGAAGCATTGTCTATTCTCCGGATCCGTGACCCCGTGACAAATCCGGAGGTATCCATGGTGCGACCTCCTCCGCCCATATTCCTAGTGGACATGCCCATAGTCTTGAGCATCGACATGGACGAAGTGCGACGTTGGTTACGTTTCCCAGCATTCGTGGGCCGATGTCGAGTTCCGAATTCGCCACTGGTGTCCTGCCCGCCATCACAGTGGGACGGACCATTACCCCGAAAGGACATTCTCATGCTGCCGTGGTTCATGCTGCTGTGGTTCGAGAGCATATTCATGGAATTAGACCGTCTCCGTTGACGACGAGTTCCAAAACTAATTCTTGGAGTTGGATCATGACCATGCGACATCGCTGAAGAAACATGCTGCATAGAGGATGCCCGGTGCTGTCGACGCCGTGCTTTCTGTAGAGAAGCGCGGGGAGCCTGGCCATACAAATCATGATAATCATACTCCTCCGTCGCCACTGCTGTTTCCGGGGCGTCGGGAGTGGCATCTCCGTACCCCAGATCCACAGTGGAAGGTGTAGGTTTGCGAAGATCGTAGGCCTGTCCTTGATTGTCAGGCTGGGCATCTCCGTATCCCAAATCTGGTGCGGCATTCCCATATCCCAAATCTGGTTTGGTGTTTCCATATCCCAAATCTGGTGCGGCCTTGCCATAGCCAAGATCGGGAGCAGCGTCCGGAGCGGCATCTCCATAACCAAGATCGGGGGCAGTGTCAGGAGCGGCATCTCCATATCCGAGATCGTCGTCGTCGTCATCGTCTCCATAACCAAGGCCGGCTTTTCCGTAACCAGGATTCGGCGTGGCACTTCCGTAGACGTGAGCGAGAGCCGCCATCCCATAGCCACTTGGCTTAGGGCTAGCTTTCTTCAATTTCAAATCCAGAATTGGGATTTGTTTTTGTTTTGGCTCTCCGTAGGTATCGACAGAACAGATCGAAGTATCGTCATCGTCATCATCAAAAATGCTAGTTGTCGATATTTCGTTCGGATCATCGTCATCCGAATCATCGTCTTCGTCCTCGTCAAAGCTCGCGGTGCGGCTGGGCCTCTTGATGACGCTTGTCATGGGCATGTCCCCCCCTTGTTTCTTTTTTCCTCCATTGGTTTGACGATTTCTCGGCAGCCCATGCAACGAGAGAGACAAGCCTCCTCTTGTTGCCGCTAGCGATCCCAAATAAGAAGACCCGGCAGCCTGGTTGTCAATGCCACCACCGGCAGTACCAGGACCGAAAGCACTAGTAGGGCTGGTGTTGGCGTATCCAGGTTGAATTTGTTTGATCTTTGACGCTCGCCGTTGCGGGGAAATGCTGGATCTGCGTGCCGGGGAGAGCGATGCGCGTCGTTTTTGGAAGGCATCATTGGATTCGGAGGTAGATCGACTGCGCATCAAACTCTTCCTTGTTGGCTTGGGAATGCCGAGTGGAGAGCTGCTGCTGCCACCGTGATCTTCCGAAGTCGATCTGCTGCGCATCAAACTTTGCCTTGGTTTCTTAATACTAATGCCGGTTCCATGCATACTGCTATGCATGCTGCCGGGCGTTCGAGACGGCGATGGCGAGGAACGTGTCTTTTGTTGTTGTGTGGATCCCTCATCGCGCTTGTTGTTGTTTCGAGATGGCGACGGTCGTCCTCTTCGTCCTCGGGTATGCGTGCTGCTGCCGCCCGCGAGAGGATCTCCTCGTCGGGTGGACTGATGAGCACTGCCACCCCGCAAAATGTCTCCATCCAATGCCACGGAAAAGCCTTGTTGTGACATACTATTGTTATTGTCAGTCTTTTTCTTGCTGCGCGTGGGGCTCCGACTTCGACTGCGACTCGGACTGCGCCGTTTGGCATCTTCCTGTCGATGTTTGTAGCTGTATTTGAGATCGGGAACGCCATAGCCAAATGACGCTGAAATATGTGACATGGATGTGGATCGAAGAGTGTGTTTGCGCATATGAGTCGATCCCGCCGACAGCGTTGGAGGAGGAGGAGTCTGATGACTGTCATTACCACTACTTCCGTCCAGTGAAATGTGACTGGGAATAATGTGTTGCGAATTGTTGTGGAGACTTTGCGCATGCAGGACCTGTTCCAACCCGGCTCGTTTTCCTCCTTCGGCGGCGAACAATAGTTGTTCCAAACTGGTTCGCTTTTCTTGTGCCATGACATCATCGTCGTCGTCATTATTATTAGTAGTAGTATTGTCGTTGTCTCCTTTCAAGAGAGATGAAAGAGAGACTCCAAGACGTTCCATACTCGAACGCGTATTGTCGGATCGACTGCGTCCTCGTTCTGTCAACGGCAATTTGGCCCGCATGGTGAAGGAAATGTTGCGTTCGAGTGGATTTTTCTTTTTCTTTTCGGCAAACACATTGTTGACGGACAGGCTGCGTGTCATCATGAGACTGCTGGACGATGCACTGCGTGACATGCGGCGATTATTTGTGGATGTGGTTGAAGAAGAAATGGCCGCACTGGCCGATTTGATACTGGAATTGCTCTCGTTCAAATCGAGCGTTGGCATGCTGTTTTGGTTGTCAAAACTGGCAGCACTTAGTTGTTGAATGGCTGCTCCCCGGACAAAAGTTTTTCGTACCGGCGATAGAACTCCCCATGCGACGGTTTGTCGTGACGGTTTACTCCAATCTCGTTCTTCTTTGGGTGCATGAGCACTATAATTGTGATTGCTGTTGTGTTTGTGTTTGTGATGATGATCGTGTTTATTGTGATGATGAGGAAGACGAGTAGAACCACATTGGCACAAGGCTTCCTCAGGACACGTCGAGACACGACGAAAGGGAGCTTGAGTCTCTGGTGGTGTTTTTTTTTCTTCGTCGTCGTCGTCATCTTCGTCAATGTTGCTCAGACCATGCTTGGTAATATTGTTGTTGTGTTGACTACCGTCATCATCAGTATCATCATCATCATTATCATTATAACTCTCCTCACTACTCACACTCAAGTCCAAATCGTCTTCGTCAATATCATCGACTTCCATGAGTACCGTGGGACGTCGATTGCGATGTTCCTTGACCAAATCGGACGTTCCACATCGTTTGAGCGGACTCGGCATGGATGCCTTTTTGGGTGGGCGGTGGAGTGCAACGTTGCGCATGTTGGCCAAGGAACTGGGCATGCCGGTTTCTCGACGAACCCCACCCGCACTTCCCCCTCGTTTGGGACCACGGCGGGGTCGTTGTTGGGGTGCTGCTGGTTTGGTTGTACTTGTAGTACTTGTAGATGTAGTACTCGCAGTAGTAGTATGGTTGTTGTTTTTGCTACTGGTGGACGGAGGTGTCTTCTTTTTCTCTTTGAGTTCCGTGAAAGAGTCTGTTGTAGTAGTAGTATTGTCGTCTAATAACGAGCTGGCAGCAGCAGGAGTGCTGTCCTTGTCGTGATTTGACACGGCGAGACTCGAACTGGAATCATCAAAGAGAGCCTCTCTGGAAGGAGTGCCATAGGTGATGATGGGACCACTACTTGGATTTTTTTCTTTGGTTTGCGAGTTTCGTTTTTTTTCTCGAGTGAGACTACTGCGTTGAAAGCGAGAGGATCGCGAATTTCGTTTTGGTTCTGTTGCTGTTGCATTGGGAGTCGGTTGTTGCTGTTCGGAAAACGAATTTCTCCAACTCATTCGGGAAGACGAATCGTCCAAGAGAGCTTCTCCCAACGACAGTGAGGATCGGGCGGAATGATGACTGGAATTGTTACCCGTCAAGATGGGTTCTTCGTCCAACGGAACATCGTCTTCCTTGTGCTGGACTGTTTTCAAGATCAACGAATTCTTCTTGGGAGGCATTTTGCGAGGGACATGTTGTTGTTGATGTTGATGTTGATGTTGATGTTGATCTCTACCATTATTCATAGTGCTGCCATTCCTCGCCTCGCCATGATTGCCAGCCGACGTCGACCGATACCGTCGAGCGGGAAGACCATTGGCGCTCCCATTCAAAAGCCCGGAAGAATCAGAAGGTAGATTACTCGCTCGTCGCTTGGAATAATCGATTAGCACCATTGTGGAATGCTGGACCACCAAGGAAGGAAGTGTCCCCAACCCACAAGAAAGTGATGGCAACTGGATAGCTCGCTAGCTAGAATGCAACTGATGGCTTGATCTATAAACAAACACTGATGGCTTGATCTACATACAAGGCGGTCTTGGGTAAAGACCGCGTTCTTTGTTTCTTTTGTTTGTTGCCTTGTGAGAAAGCACAAAGAAGAAGTGGTTGCCATCACAGATCATGGAGGCAGATGCCGTTGGCATTTTAGAAGCGAAGCCTCCAAGGTCAAGGAGAAGTCCGCCCTCCATGACTTTTTCGTTCAAGGTCATTCAACCAACATTTCGATTTATCGTATCGTGGACATTGATTATCCGCTTTTAACTCTCATTGTCTCCTGCTTTGCGGCTTTTAATTAATTTAAGTACTCCAAGCACCCCAACAAACACAGAGTATTTACTCCAGTGGAGATTACAGCAAATAAAAATGATCATGTTGGTACTGTATCGAGAGCGGGATCTTCTTTGGGGTACGGTACGGTACTTAACCAGACTAGCCGGCTATATTTGGAGTTGAGGGGATGGTGGTATTAATCTACTCCATTGTTATTTATTAATACCTTAACTACCTGACGAACACTCTACATGTATCTTCCCGCACAAAGCAGAGCCCCCGACGCTGGGACCGAGATCTACATCAAATAAAGGACACCGGAGGTGTAATAGATATACCGGGCGAGCTGAATTGAAAGATGGGCGGGCATAATAATATTGTTAAAGTTTGGCTGAAGGTAGTGTCATTAGATTTTTCCGTCTGAGAAAGTGGCGTGGTAGCTTACGGGAGTTTAGAGGTGTGCAACGTGAGACGTAAGATTTTTCCGTCTGAGAAAGTGGCGTGGTAGCTTACGGGAGTTTAGAGGTGTGCAACGTGAGTCAATAGATTTTTCCATCTGAGAAAGTGGCGTGGTAGCTTACGGGAGTTTAGAGGTGGGCATAGTGAGGAAAATATTAGGATCCGTTGCTACCGTATGATTATTATGAGAATGCCTGAGAAAGAGGGGGTTGAAGTAAATCTCTAACCCTAAGGATAACCAACCAACCAAACCCACCACCACCACAATAAACGGGGTCAGAGATCACGGGGGTCTGCCCGGTATATTTTGCATCCTTTCATCGTAGTCACCTCAGACCACGCGCTTTCACTCGAAAAGAGCACAATAAGGCATTGAGGCGATGATATCGTGAAACGTAACACGAGATGGATCAACAATCAACAGGAAGCACTACCAGAACCCAACAGGGTACAGGTCCATGAGGGCAAACCGGAAGCTGAAAAAGTGGCAGCACCGTTTGCTGCAGATATTGGGTCTGGTCTTGCCGGTATGAGACTGTCCGACGAGGAGCGGACATGGGCGTTGGAAATCAAACAAGCCATTGAAGCAACAACTCCAGAATTGGACAATCTGAATGATTTTTCCTGTGCTCAGCTTGCTCTGATTGGACAAGAGAATGAATCAGCTCGATCTGTCACGGGCGTTCAAACTGCAGGAAATCCGGCAAGGCATTGTAGATAGTTTGGATGGACAGAGGGTGCTGAAAAAGCATTGGATCTTTACCCTGGATTGCTGTTGTCTTTCAGTTTCGGCAACTACCAGGATGGCACCTATGTTATTGTGTTTGACGCTTCCAAACAACTTTCTGAATTCTCGTGTGGATGGAATCAAGACAAGAAAGATGCAAAAATTCATTTCGTGAACAACTGACTGTGCTTCACCAGATTTTGAAGCCATTCGAGGGGGTCAAATCATCGTTTTAAAACCAAGAAGCCAGTCTTGACGAAGTGCGCAGCCCAGCTCCTGGACTCTACACCAACTGCGTCCGTCTGTCCTTGACGAATGTCTCAAGGAGAGCGCAGCTGCGTTTGATAGCATCGTTTTCAGTGACCTGCAGATCTGGCTGTGTTCAACGTCCCTGGCCAATAGCAACCAACACAACGTGTGACGGTTTTGTTCCTGTAGTTCTCGCTACGCTACGCGTTCCTACAGGCGTGGCGATGGCATCGCACTGAAGCAGGCGCGACGAAGGAGCTCATTCTTCTCCCATGCAAACCCAAAGCCACCTTTGGTGATTGCGAAGGAACAGGCTCAATACTGCAGTTAGTGTTGTTAGTGTACATGACGCTTTCGCTCTCCGCGGTGCGGGGCGGGACGGCGGCTCTTCTCCAATGAAGCCGAATGTCGGAGTATTGAGGGGACCCGACAGCAGAGCCCCATCCTTCAGTTGGAGTAGCAAGCAAGCGAACTGATTCTGGCTCTCTCGTCCACCGGGACCGACGGGGACTCGTGTCGAGCGAGTTGGTCGATCGAAAACTGAATGTCAAAGGCGGGCATGGCTAGTGCTGGCTTTCCCAACAAAACAGATACTTTATCCGCTGCTTGGCTGCTTCCAAACCTTCTTGTACGGGCGACAAGTAGAGCCCTGCTTGCCTTGCCTCGGGCGACAAAGGAAGATAGATCAATTATTCTGTGGGTTTCCCAGGCGGCTTTGGGGGGGGGACCTTCGACCTTGGCCTACGTAGACCGCAAATATCCAGTGCAGTCTCCCCTTCTAAAAGGAGCGAACAACATGCACTACAGCGGCCATAGCTGAGCACTAGTACTCAATAGCTCGCTCTTTGAAGAGTGCATGCAAGCTTGCATCTGGGCACAATCCTTTACGTAGCTCTGCTGGTGCCAGTGCCCCAGTCGAATCGTCGGGCCACCGGTCCCATGTCACCGTGACCACACACAAGCACGCGCCTTCGGTTCAATGGATCTTGCTTTTGGCTGTAGAGAAGGGAAAGCGCACGAAGAAGGCGCCAGAGAATGTCGCGGTTTTCTATTTGGTGGCCCACACCAGCTATCGCGACACTACTCGTACTCGTACTTGATTTCGGCACCGGTTCCTTCCAAGAGCACAATACTTCAGGTTCAACTGCTACCAGTACTGGTGACGGGAAAGCCTCCTGGCTCTGTTTTCAGGTGGGTTTTACGGTGGTACTGGTACCACCTTTCATAACCAACTCTACCGGTGGCCATCCGGGTAAGCTACCGGTGGCTTCCCACCCGGTACCAATGCTCTCAATTGATATGACCTTCCACTGGCAACACTTTGAAGTGCGGAGTGGGGAGGCTATGCGCTATGTGCAGCAGGTGGCAGTGTCTTCAAGCTACATTCTGCATTGCCGCTGCCACACTGGTACCAGCGTGATGGATGAAACTAAACTGGTAAAAGGATGACCGATGGTTCAGTAAAGTTCATAGTTTTACTGGTAAGCTCACCAAAGGCACGCGCCGCAAGAGAAAGCACCTCAACGGTACCGAAACTTCACGAGCAATACTTAATGGAGTGACCCCAAACGGTCATGAAGAAATAAAAGTACCGGTAAGTTTTTCGTGCCCTCCATATCCACATTCTCTTGCGGAGTACAAGTCGTACTTTAAGTATTAGGCACTGGGTTTAAGCCTTCTTGTCGCGGAGAATTTTGGCGTGACCCTTCTATGCCCGGATTTGTGGGAAAAGAAACATTGCCTAAATCTTTAAAGTCCAAGTTACTCCTGCTTCTGGAATTACTTGAGCGCGACTAATCAAACTTTCTGGAAAAATGCTTGCAGAGACCGTGTAAAAACAAGTAAAACCGCAAGCGCGAGCAAAGGCAACATACTCTGTTTCTGTGTCACTTCTGTGTCGTCTCGAGTACACAACCTGGATACTGACCGAACTCTTGGATGCTTGAAGCTACAGCTTGGTATTTTAATAGGAAGCCCTAGCTAGTCTACTCAGTACACAGTACACGTACTCAGTACATGTAGGAATGAGTGCTCGTCTTTCGTTCGAGATTTAGCTTCTGGCTTGACATAGTATAAGGATATTGGGGTCGGGTATACGATCTTTTATCAGAGTAATCTACAAGAAAGATAATGAGGATGAAGCATGAAGGTATAAATCAGCATTGTTTAATTTGTAAACTCTGCCAGTCTTATCAATCAAAGCATCATCTCCAATCTTATCAAATCCAGTGTCAAAACTCAATGTGGATTTAAAAGGGCATGCTCTACAGTATGCCGATTTCCTTAATACTGCCAGTCTACTCATGGGTTCGAGCCTTGAAAACTGCAAAGATTGTCCAATGAACACATTTTTGCCGTGGACGAAAGCGCGACACAACTGCGTCAGCTCTGCATCCTGGAGCGATTAGGATGCTATCTGAAAGCACCATGATCTTCAATGTTCTGCCAATTCAGATCTCTAAGTTGCTCTTTGAAAAGCGGATTTTTAAGCTTAGGCAAGGGGGCTTAGGGAGGTCTACCGGTACTACCAGTATTCACACGGTCCCATACGAGATATTATGAGAACACATCTTGCTGATCCAGGACTCCAGCAACCAGTCCGATTGGCACACCCAGTCCACACCCACAGTGATTCACCAGAGTAAAAGAGTACGAGCACAGCACCAATGCAGTTTTCGTGATACCGGTGAGTTCCAGAGCAATCATAGTCCAGTTTGCTGGTTACCATTGTGACACTGTGAGCAGGAAGTTGGTGTTTTGCAGTGCTCACGCGTCAAGTACTGTTTGCTTCACAGTAAAATGCTTGCTGGTCCCTGCCATGTTGTGATTCAGTGCCACACAGCGCGACCCATCGAGATTACCCTGGTCTCAAGTAAAGTAAGTGTGAAACAGGAGAGTACCGTGGTGGATCGAGCTTCTGTGTCTCAACATCTGAGTGTCCCATGTGAATTTTGCGCCCTCATCCATCTCCATCTTCTCTCACAATTTTCAGCTCAAGCAACCACCACAGCTACTACTATCTTAACCACACAATCCATCAAGATGTACATCCCTCAGACTGAACTCCTCATCAATGCTGATATCAGCATTGTCAGCCGCAAGCGCTCTCGCGCTCAACTCGAAGCCACTGTCGCTGTTCCTGAACTCAAGAAGCGACGTGTGGTTGTTACCCAAGAACAAACGCCAAAGAAATCCGTCCGATTTGCTCCTGAACAAAACCAAGTAGTGATTGTCTCCACTGCCTCCTCTTCCGAAACTTGGTACAGTGCTCAGGATTACGCCGGCTTCAAGTTTAACATGAAGCGCGATGTTCTCTACTTGGCCCAACTCTGCAAGACTGGCAACTGCCAATACATGGACCGCAGCGAATACAGCGCCTTGGGCTTGGAAAAGTACTGCTGCTCCAGCGGCGACCAAAAGAAGTCCAAAATGATGAAGATGCAACGCATCCGATGTGTATTGGACCAGCAAATGTTGCAACGCCTTCAGGGACGCAGCGAGCCAGAAACCATCCAGTTCATGGCTCACGTCTTGTCCCAAGAAGCTGTCATCAAGGCACTCCAGCGAGCTGGCCGTGTGGCCGCTGCCTTTGGCCACAATTAAAAAGTTCTTCCTCCAATCTCCTCTTCCACAATCAAATTTTCCAAAAAGAGCCGCTGACATTTACAGCGCCACAACTGTACAATACTACTATCATGTAAATCAAATTGCTACTAATAATACCAACTTCAAACCTCCAAACTCATTATCTAATCACATCTAGCTAGCTATTAGAGTCCCCAACAAGCTAGACTATCTTAGTGTATTAAATTCCATTGTCGTTCTCAACTCAAAGCTGCTGCTAACCGTACCACCAAGAGCCATTCCAACACTTCCTCCGTTGCGGTGGCATCGGTTTCGGTGCCGGCCACTGCTGACACCAAAAGGGGGTTTCAACCCATGAAAAGGGGGCAAGCTTTGCGGAAGCAAGGCTGAAACGAAGATTCAAACTAAGGGCGCCCCAGATTCGATTCATCATTCGATTATTCAGTCAAGGTTCCTTGACTGGCAACCGCCACCCATCACACCACCCTGGCACTACTAGTACGTATCTACCTGCTACATACATATTGGCTTGCATTACATCTCACCCTTGATGTCAATAAGAGTAGTGCCATGGTAGTCAAAGTAAAGCTGGCAGATACACACACAACAACCAGAAGAAAAGAACCCTGTTATGAAGGAGCTTGAATTATTAAAGCTGGCAGATACGCACACAACAAAGAGATGAAAAGAAGAATGAGCTTGAAGGCTTGAAGGCTTGAAGGACCAATGCTTTGGTGCTAGCTACTCCAGTAGTAGTCTACTACCTACTACAGTACTAGTAGAGCGCTCTGGATGGGCCGCATCTGAGGCACTCATCATACTTTTCAATTACAGTGTACTATAGACTTTAGACTTTGGCTCTTCCTGGGCTTGTGGGCTTCTCAAGTCTACGACCTGATTGCTCTACCAGAGATCTACTAGCTGATCTACTCGAGTACTACAGTACAGCTGGATTGTGGCGACCGAGCTGTAACCATCACATCAGACTACATAAGCGAGGACCTGTTGACAATACCGCTTAAATCACCATCTTGAGGGGCTTCTAGTATGTAGCTAGAAGAGGTTATAAAGGGAAACCTTTCACTCTGGCCAGCTAGAGTAGTGGACCCATGATATTATTGGAGCTCTTGGGTTACTCCTCGGTTACTCATCAGTAGGGTCTACTCGTACTAGCTCCAATCTCCAATGACAGAGAAACTCCCAAACTTAAGTGTCTTTTTCTCTTTTTCCCATCAGCTTTCTGCGTGCTAGCTAGCTAGAGAGCCAGCGCTGATTCTTTTCCGTAACAGGCAGGCCCCACCCAGTTCGGAAGGGATTGGATTGGCCTTCAAGGAGCGAACGTAATGCTATTGCCCGATTGCAACTGAATGGTTGGAGGTTGGAGGAAGAACTTGGAAGGAAGAAGAGCCCTCACACAGGCTTCAGGCTTCCAATCCCAAGGCTCTTTGTACTTGTTTGGCTGTACACACTGTAGCTCCTACCGGTACCCATGCTGCATGCTCCACTCATGGGCTCATGGCTAATGGTACTAGCTACTAGTACAAGAATTAGACTGCCTTCGGTTTGGGTGTGGAGGTCGGCTGTCGGCGGCAGAATGATCAGCCCCGAGTGGCAGTCAGTAAAATGCCTGCTACGCTGGCTTCTATCTGAACAGTCCAACAGGAACCTGAACCTTACCGGTACGAGTCCTGTCTCAAGGCAACAAAAACAAATAATGAAAGCGGTACTGTGCTGCTGGGCGGGGAAGAAACCTATTACCTGTTGCTTCTTGCGGGGCAATGCAATGAATGTTACTGGAGCATGCTAGGTTTGCCCAGTAACAAAGCAAGAGGAGTAGAGTGAGGAGAACTTTGCAAGCTAGTTGATCTCTAGTAAACGAGACTTCTTCCATGGTAATCTAGCACTATTTAGCAGCTATCAGGTGCATGACCGCAACACTGTTGGTTGGTTTCGCCTTGAACAGGGTCTTTCTTCTTCCAAGCAAGATGATTCTACGGTAGCAAAAAATGTTCTGTTCTACAACTACTTGCTTCTCCTCGGGATTCCTCTGTTGCTGGGTTGCTTGCTTGGGGCAAACTGTAGTTGCAAAAAGTTTACGGTACACCAGTGAAGATGCAAGTGGGGAACTCCCTCGCCCGAGCTCTCGCCCGTGCCTTTATCATGTAAAGCAAATCCAGCAAGATTCTCTGGAGGGGCAACAGATGGTACGTACTGATACATGTACATGTAGCCAGGGCTACCATAGCGATGGCAACAAAGAATCTGTGCAGCTCTTGGTAGGTCTCTTGGTCAGTAGCACACGTTAAACACCGTGGAAACCCATCGTGGAAAACCCAATCTGCCAGAGAGCTTCCTGTGCGAGACGACCAATGCCGGTACCAGTACCGTACCACCTGGCAGGCCAACCATTGGTTGTGCGGAGGTCTTGCTTGTGTTCTACAATCGGATTTCCAGTATTGATTAGACTACAGTGCAGGGATAATGAGTCGAGTCGAGTCGCGACAGGTGCCGAATGCATGCCATGCATTCTGCATGATAAGGGCCAGCGGCGACCCAATGGTTGCGTCCATCGGACTCGACTCGACTCGCTCAAATAAATGCTACTGCAGTGCTATCTAGAGCTACGCACTGGCTCTGGACAGCGGGAGCTGCAATCTTTATCCACGAGGCAGCTTTGCGAAAGAGTTCCAGCCAGCTACTACTAGCTAGAGGACTTTTGGTTGGCGATTACCGGTAGCTGGTAGCTGCTTTCGAAGACTACATGCATACATACAACGTCATGTACTCCAAAGCTCTTTAGAGCTCTCTTTTTAGTCACCGTAGCGGTACCGGTTTGAGACTCCTGATGAGTGCTGAGGTGGTTGCGATTGTGGCGACCATTCAACATTCAACCATCAGAGCTTTGACCGGAATCTCACTGTCCACGTTCCACGTAGCCAACCACTACTCGAGTATCGTACTGTGTGTAGGCTGCTACAGTACACCGTAGAATTACATGTATTTCTGATGCTCGCATCCCGTCACATTCTTCTTCTTTTACTACCGGTACACCGGTACCATCGCGCACGGGAGTATCTTCCGTGAGCTCTTCCGTCTTCCGTGGTGGTCGATTCATTTGCTTCGCCTCAACGCGCGCCACAAACCACACAAGGCCCCAACCACTTAACGGAGTAAAGAATAGTGAGAGGGCGCAGAAGGGATTCAAAGTCAAAGAGTACAGTGAGTATCCTAAGTAAGCTGTAAATAGTGGTGTATTTTGACCATCTTGCTTAGACAGTGGATGAAAAGAGCCTGAGGCTTATATCAAGATATTTCGACTAGCGGGAATGCGGAAGACTCCTAACTCCGATTCTCTTGCGTGGAAAGATACTTAGAAAGGTCTTTGGGGTGGCGTCCAGAAGTGTCTCCTGCAGCGCAAAAAGTGCTCAGCCATCTCACAAACTGGTTCATCCACTTTTATCCAGCCTGAATCTTGCTAGCTAGTGCATGCTCACTGGTGCTTTTTTGGCCAAGAGCCAAAAAACTTTTCTCTCAACCCGGCATTGTCGTATTTTCGAACGGACTCACTCACTTGTTGTCTCGAGCACAAATTTTCCTCCTCATCACTTATTACTGCACATCAACAACACATCAACAACCATGGCACCCTCTCTTTTATTGCTGGTGGACTATTCCAAGCACCGTGCGGATATCGCCAATGCTAGTTTCTCCGATAGCTTCAGTGGGCATGATTCGGCTGCCTCCTTTGGCTGTACCTCACTGGACGACAAACTGGATACCAGCACACGGACACAGAGCACCGTGTCCTCGGACCGTAGTTGCAGCAGTATCAGTACTACCAGCGATGAACGTCCCATTTGCTTTCGCGTGAGACGTTCTTCCATTAGTGGCTCTACTTTTACTACTACTACTATTAATACCGCTACACATACTGTCAACCACAGTCCTGTTTCGAGTGCAAGTCCTACAGTGAACTACGGCTCCCCCACCACCACCAGCGACAGACCGTCCAGCACGGACCGCTTTCATCACTCACTTCAAGAACTCAACTTTACCGGCAGTAATCATGACAAGAAGATGAAACGGAGACACAGCACCACCAGTGTCGACTCTACAGCCGATAGCATCGACCTTCGCCTTCAATATGCCAGTTGGAAACGCAAGCAAGAGAGTCTCCTCAGCATGTCGGCCCAAATAGCCACCAGCAATACGGACTACTATGAGCGCAAACGACAACAACGTCGCAGTGGATCCATGCCTTTCTTAGCATCGTCCTCGGCCGCTACTGCCAATAATAGGAATCACCCGGATTCCCTTTCCCGACACCATTCGTACCATGGAATCAGCTACCATCACCAGGAACCATCACAACAACAACAACAACAACAACCACAACATGGACGACCCTCTACGACTACCCGACAGAGTAGCTCGAAACGACGATCAACCATGAATCAATCGTCTCCACGGAAACCCCCTCAGCATTCACCTCCACGACCCCGCCGCACACTGCTGGCGAGATCCGCCTCGTCGCGTCGCAACCTCGTGTCGGAAACACCCATGAGTTTGGATTCCTCGTCGCAACACCGACTCCGCAATCGCATGTCGAGATCCGAACGTATTTCTTCGACACCCGCCAACAATAATTCCGACTTTGTCACGGGCTCTCGAATTCGACGGTTGGATACCAGCAGCAGCAATCACAACAATAGCACTGGCCTCAGTCGAAGCAGCGTTCACAATCGAGCATCCAGTGTGCACACTAGTAGAACTACGACCAGTGTGCACAATCGAACATCCATTCTGCCCACGCATAAAATGTTGGGGTATGAATAAAGCAAAGAGACAAACTAGCTAGTAGGCTAGCTACATACATAGCTAACGGATAGCTACAAACATAAACGTTGACATCATGGTGCATTTTGATCTACTGAGTTGACCTTCATTGAGGAAATTACTAGCATAAAGTCGCCCTCTCTCTCTAGCTAGCTAGTTGAGAGATAGCCCTGGTGCCGGTGGTCACCGCCATTTGATGCCCATGCCCCTACATCACAGCCAAGAAACGTTCACATCCATCCGTCGATTCAAAAATCCACAGGTACCACCGTCGGGATACAGGTACCTCCTAGCTAGGTACCGGTACCTGGTGTAGCCAAGCTGGGGAGGAGGTATAATACTGGGTTTGGGTATCTTGTTTTGCCTGGTAGCCTTTCGCGCTGAATCTTCTGCCATCCGCAAGCAACATACTGGTTGGCACAGTGGTACCTATCCGTAACCTGGTCAGAGCATACCGGAACCTGGTCAGAGCATCCTACTCTTCATGGCGTCTTGCTTGCTTGGTTGCTGGGGTGCTCTTGTTCCGAAACTGCGTTGAGCTGCGCGTTGCATGGTAAACCTGCCTTCTCATCACGATAATATGCTCTTGCTGGTGGTGTACCGTAGCATTTCGATGGATGAGGATAGCATAGAACTAGCTAGCTACTAGACGACCGGCCGCGGCCGGAATTTCTGTGGCGTAACCGGCCACCGGTACGGTACTGGTTATCTAGTGAGTAGTAGATGCCATTAGAAGAAACACATCAATTGAAAAGGCACTCCAGATGGTGATTCCACACGCCAAAGGCCTAAAACAGTGCCCGTGGAAATGGACGAGTCCCTGTAACATTGCTAACTAGTATCTCAATGAATGAATTAATGAATCGAATCCACCATCCACCATGGATTTTGTTGTGCTGACAACTGCCAAGCAACGGTTTGCGGGCCAACCAGAAGCACGTGTTCTGCTGAGCTATTGCAGCTGCTTTTAGTTCGTCGCTCTTGCAAGAAAGCAAAATGAATCACACCGCCAACTTCATTCGGAAAAGAGTGCTCCAGGCTGAAGCCAAGCAACCGAAAAATCTTGCGGGTAAGATCCCCTAGCTAGCTAGGGTTAGTGCAGCCACAGTTGCAACCACAGAGGGGGGAACCAGAGCCCAGGCAGTCAAAGCTCAGTGTGCAACGAGCTGGAGGCTCTTTGGAAGACACCATGAACGTGCAGCTGGGATCTTGTAGGTAACACAGATCTTCTGGAATGATGCCCCCGATGCTCTCGCTGCCTCGTAGATCGACAGTGGTCAACTGGTTCGACGTCGCAAGGGTGGCAAACTCAACGGGGATGGATCCACTCAGGAATGGGTTGTTGGAGATATTCAAGGTTTGGAGGTTTGTCAGCATACCCAATTGCGATGGAAGGACGCTCGTCAAAATATTGTCCGCCAATTTGAGCTCCCTAAGGCTGCCAAGCATACCGAGCTGATGCGGGATGGGGCCTGTGAAAGCATTGCGTGTCAGAGATAGCTTCCCTAGCGAACTCATCAATCCCAGCTCGGATGGGATCGGCCCTTCAAACTCGTTGGAATCCAACAGCAACTCAGTCAGAAATTGCAAGTTCAGTGGTGGGAGCGCTCCAGTAATGGCATTGCCGCGGATATGCAACCTTCCCAAATTCGTCAGCCTGCTAAATTCCAGAGGCAACGAGCCTGACAATTTCATGCCATCCATCAGCAAAGCCTCAAGATTTGTGGCAGAACCCAACTCCGAGGGGATAGGGCCAGTAATGCCATTGCATCGAAGCATAGAGATTACCTCTAGCCTCGAGAGTCTCCCAAGCTCGGACGGGATTTGACCTTCAAAGTCGGTGCCGGCCATTCTCAGATTTCTCAACTCCAAGCGACCTAATTCGGTGGGGATGAATCCGGTGAAAGCGTTGCCATCCAGAGCCACGTCCGTCAAGCGTTCCATGTTTCCCATTTCAGTTGGCAGCTGGCCTGTCAGTTTGTTGACAAGTATATCAAAGCGAACAAGATTGCTCATCGAGCCAATCCAAGATGGGAGGGTTCCAGTTAATTGGTTGAAACCCAAATGCAGTATGTTTAGGGACGTCATTTGTGCCACTTCGGTTGGCACCATGTCTTGTAGATTGTTGCGAATGAAATTGAACGTTAGATCCAGGTTTTCCAGCGATGTCAGCAGCGCGATTTCTCGTGGCAAATGGGGTGTACCCTTGTCGCCCAGGTTCAAAAAATTCAGATGGATTGTGCGGACATCGCCTCTGCCATTGCACTGATCATCTCTCCAAAGTCCTTCATAGGTATTGTCCTCTATCCAATCGCCAGTACTGGGGTCGAAATACCCATTGCTGCTGGCAAACCAGATGCATTCCGATTTGGTATCGTCCAGCCATCGACTCGATGCATAGTCGGGCCAGCTGGGTCCCTCGAGAGAATAAAAGATTGCTGCCAACACAAACAACTGTTCCTTCCTCCATTCGGGAAGGTTTGTAACGTTTCGATGATTGTTCAACCAGTCGTAGGCTTTCCATTGTGGAGTACTTGCGTTGTTGAGACTTTCCAAAGTGTAGTCTGGCAAGGATGCCAAGAGACCAGCCAATGCACCGGATGGAGCGGACGAGGGTGACATGGAGGGTGTCACGGAGGGACTGATTGTTGGTTCACTGGTTATCAAAACCACCGCTGACGACGCCGTGCCGCTTCCAATTCCAAAAGCCAACCCAAAGATGATGGCCAGAATGGCAATGACGAGGAGGAAGATACCGATTTTGCGGTACTGATCTTGTTTAGCTTTCTGTGCGTCAGGATCCATTTCCCGTGCATGGCCAAATACCTCTGGTTCGGCTTCAAGTTCGTCTTCTTCGATAGGCATGGCATGAACCAGTTGACTGTCACTGACGACGCGCACCGTGTGTGGTCGAGGAGGACTGGCAGTAATGTTGTTTTGACTGGCAAAGGTACTGGAGCTGATAGACATGAAGCTGTTTCCCGTCGGATGATTGCCTATGGCGGAAAAGGAAGGAACGTGCAAACTCTCCCAAGAGCCCATTGTTCCGCCGAAACCAAAGGCGCCCGGACGACTCTCAATTTGTGGTGAAATGGGTCGTCCGCGATTGAGCGCGGGCAAGGGAACAGGGAATGCTCCGACCAGGTCGACGGCGTCCATCATGTTTCGAGAGTCAATAACCTCGTTTCTGGGAAGAGCGCGAGCTCTGAATCTGCTGTTAGGATCAGAATCACCATTGCTGTCCTTTCCCATAGAAGCCAAAACTGCCGCATCTTGTTGGGCCTCCAAATCCGAGCGCTGTTTGCCTCCATTTGTTGTTGGACTGTTCTTTCCCATGGAAGCCAAAACTGCTGCATCTTGTTGGGCCTCCAAATCCGTGCGCTGTTTGCTGCCGTTTCTTGGACTGTCCTTGGACATGGAAGCTAAAACTGTTGCATCTTGTTGAGCCTCCAAATCCGTGCGCTGTTTGCTGCCGTTTCTTGGACTGTCCTTGGACATGGAAGCTAAAACTGCTGCATCTTGTTGAGCCTCCAAATCCGTGCGCTGTTTGCTTACGTTTGTTGGACTGTCCTTTCGCAGCTGTTCCATCGAAGCCAAAACTGCCATTTCTTGTTGAGCCTCCAAATCCGTGAGCTGTTTTTCCCCTTTTGCTCCACCGTTCTTTTGCTGTTCCTCGGGACCAGAACGAATTGATTGTTGTTCGTGCTCATCAGAATAGTGCGAGCGATTGGATCCATTTCCGAGTCGACGGTTTGCAATTGCCTCCTTTTCCTCAAGAATGTTGGAACTCGCATCAGAGACGCGGGAGGACCGACGGGAGATGTGGGAGGACCCACGATTAGCAATGGCTTGCTTTTCCTCCAGAATGTTTGAGCTTCCGTGGGATTCAGATCCATCTCCCGAGAAACGATCAGCAACGGCTTGGCTTTCCAGCTTGGCGCTACCGGTACGATTCTTTTTGCCCCTTCTTAGCCCAAACGTACCCAAGGCGCCATCGGATGTCTTGTTGCGCCGAGGCACGCTGAACCGGGATACGGTTTGGTTGACAACAGTTGTGCTCGGCTTCTTTTTGCCCCTTCTTAGTCCAAACATACCGAAGGTACCATCGGAGCTCTTGCTGCGTCCAGGCACAGTAAACCGGGTTTTAGCTCGGTTCACACCCGACGCGCCCGATTTGGATCTGGAAGGAGTTTCCCTCCTAGGGCAAGACACAATGGTAGAGCTTCCACTGTTGTGGTTGGAGGGTCGACGATTGGCAATGGCTTGTTTTTCATCCAGAATGGAGGAGGTTCCATGGGACGACCGATGGTTCAAACTGTCTTGCCGTTGATGCCCACTGTGTGAGAAGCGGCGATTGGCAATTGCTTGTTTTTCCTCCAGAAGGGAGGAGGTTGCGTGGGAGGACCGATGGTTCAATGTGTCGTGTTGTTCATGCCCACTATGTGAGTGATCAGATCCATTCCCAAAACGACGATTAGCAATTGCTTGTTTTTCCGCAAGACGGGAGGAAGTGCCATGGGAGGACCGATGATTCAAAGTGTCTTGATGCCCATGCCCAATGTGTGAGTGGTCCGATCCATCCCCAAAGCGGCGGTTTGCAATGGCTTGCTTCTCAGCAAGGAGGGAGGAAGTTCCGTGGGAGGATCGATGATTCAAAGTGTCTTGCTGTCCATGCCTACTAGACGGTCTTTGTGCATGGTCAGATCCACCTCCAAAGCGACGATTTGCAATTGCTTGTTTTCCCTCTAGAAGGGAGGAGGTTCCATGAGAGGACCGATGATTTGCCATATCTTGCTGTCCATGCCCACTATGTGCATGGTCAGATCCGTGCCCAAAGCGACGATTTGCGATGGCGTGCTTCTCCGCAAGAAGGGATGAGGCTCCATGGGAGGACCGATGATTCGCCAGGTTGTGTTGTCCATGCCCAATTTGTGGATGGTCAGATCCACCTCCAAAACGCCGATTTGCGATGGCCTGCTTTTCAGCCAGCATGTCGGAGCTTTCATTGGAGTGCTTCGAGGACCGATGGTTCGCAACGGCTTGCTTTTCTTCTAAAAGGGAAACAGGGGTGCCTGACGTGTTGTTGGAGAGTCTGCCTCTGTGGTCACTGTTTGCTACCAACCCAGTGTGCGGTTCCCTTCTGTCGTCTGTTCGATGGATTTTTTCTTGTTCGATTTGAGACGAGATCAAGCTGGCAATTACGGCCGCGTCGTATTCCTCTTTACCATGATCAGTCGAATCGCCCTTATTGTCGTCGTCGTTTTCCTCCTCAATTCTGTCAATTATCTTTTCGAAAGTGTCACTGTCCCAGCTGTTGCTCAGTTTGAGTTGAAGGCTACAATCCGATTTTTCCTTGAATATACCACTCGATCGTTCCTTGAATATTCCACTGGACCGGCTATTGTTCAAACTGCTGCTGGAGATAGAGAATCCACTGCTGTTGAAACTTCTGCGAATAGATGCCTTTAGGGCTTCATCGGATTGTTCCTTGAACGACGTCCTCGACGTGAAACTCACCCAACTGTCGTTGTGGTCACGATTGTCGGTTGGGACGGTTGTCCTGCCATTGCTACTGGCGTTTGTCACGACATCGTCTTCTTGCTCTTCCTCAACTTCTCTCAGGTTGGACAAGGAAGGATCTCTCAAGTTGGACAAGGAAGGATACATGGACGGTACAAAGAGAGAATTCGATTCATACGTCAATGCCGATACCATGGTCTGATCGCTTTCCCGACGCTGTGGCGGCACTTCCACCTCTTCGAAGGGACGTTCCAACCGAGGGTCGCGAAACTCATCTTCCTGCACTGGGACTTCTAATCGCTCCATCGTCTCCGTCAAACAAAAGAGAGCCTTAGCACAATACGCTCAGCTATGACAAGCTGCTCTAGGTACGTGGGTGTATTGCCTCCGCCTTGAGTCCACAACACTGATCAACCACACCAAAGCCGCAATCAATCGATGGACCGCCGCTGACCTCCTCCATTTTCCCCATCTTCGTCTTCGCAGTCGTGTGTGGTAAAGATTCGGGTCTCGCTCGCCAAAATTGTCTAAATGGCGTCGTCCACCGACTTAGGTTGTGGGAATGGCCGTTAATTCCATAGTCTACGATCGGTGATCTAGTTAACCAGTTAGAACTAAGTTGTACCGCCAGTAGAGCTGCTTGTGTTCTGCCCTGCCGGAACACACGTGTACCGGTCAGAAATTACCGGTAAGCATTAATTTTGTCCTTGCTTGGCCGGGACCAAGGGTCCTCAGATGGTGATGTATTTGCTTGTATCCTCCCAGCCATCATATGAAAGGCACTTGAAACGACATGGAAGCTGGTGTTCCTTGGTTCGCCTCGGCTGCACAAGTTTGCAAAAACCGATGAGCCATGGATGCATCTTTTCTCCCTTGGCTGGCCCCCGATCCCAGCTACGGAAGTATTGGGGCAGGATTGGTTATCAAAATTGTCGTGGATGATGTTGGTTGAATTTGTTTGCCTCCGCCCCAGTTGTAGCCAAACAAGGAGGTATCATCAATACGGAGGCAGTAATGAATGGAACCATCCAGTTGTAGCCACCACGGGGCATGATTAATACGGAGGCAATCATGGAACGACCACATTCACTGCTGCGAGCAGAGACCTTCGCAGTATTCCACGATCCACGATAACACGATAACACGGCCCAACTGCTCTTTGGCGCCGCTGGTTGATTACGGCTGGAGCCGTACCTGGTACCGGAACACGACCTTGCACACGTTTATGCATAGTGGCACCACTCGTCAGCTTGTCGTTTGTCGGTTCAATGCGTTCATTGTTACATTGATAGGCTCATTGATGATGCCACGCCGGAGTGACAGCATTTCCAACCACAGCCAGAGCGCCACTTCACCCGAAAACCTGAGTTTGAGGGGAGTATTCGTCAAAACAAAAAAGACAAAGTCAGCATGTTGGCATCAATCCAGCTGTTGCTGCTCTCAAGCCTGTGTTGGTCGGCAGACCCCTTTCAGCCTGCGTACGCCTGCTTTTGCATCAATCGCACCGAAAGCAACAAGGGCTTTCTTGATGAAAGATGGAAATCTGTTTTCTGACAAAGGGTGGTGCTGGTTTGGCACTTTTCAGCCTTGGCAGCAATGACACCGACTCAGTACCGGTAGATACCAAGGTCGTGTATCATCGCCTCGTCAAGGCTCTTGAGAAAAACAAACCGCTTCATGTCTTCAAGAACCTTTTGTGTCAGAATCCAAGAGTCCTTGATCTACCTGACGGTATACTGGAGAAGGACTTTGCCGATATAGATGACAATGAAGATGAGGTTGAAATGTACCGAAAGACATTACTGCACTGGGCCTGTGAGTGCAGCGCTCCTCTGGATATTATTGAATTCCTGGTGCAGCAAAAGCCGGAGGCCACAACAGAGAGTGAATATGATGATGGCATGTGGTTGCCACTCAACAGTGCACTGAATGCTGCAGCTCCACTGGATGTTGTGATATTGCTCCTGGAAACGACTGTGCGAATGGATTCAAGAGCTCTGGATTGGCAATATGGTTGCGCATACTGGTATGAACAAGAGACTTGTTTGCACATTGCTTGTGGTCGCAAGCTTCTTTGGACGTTGTCAACTATTTGATACGGCAGAATCCCAACATGCTTCGACGGTGTCACGTTGGCAGGAGACCCCGCTTCACCGGGCTTGCTGGACTGGAGCGCCACTGGAAGTTGTGCAGCTACTGATCGACAAGTATCCGGCTGCTTTGGGAATGATCGATGTTGACAGGAAGACACCCCTTCACAGGGCTTGTATGCATCCTCGCTCACGAGAAGGAAAGGTGGTGGTAGAATACGTGGTCGGGCGCGGTCTATGCTTGCTTGATGCATTCCTTCGGCTGGCTGGCAAAGCCTTGGAGTGTTTGACCACGGCGACCCACCTGCGTTAGGACCCATGTGACGGAATGGATCTTGAAATCAGACATGAATAATGATATCAAAGCCATGATGGCGAGCATTGATGACGACGAGATGGGTGAATCGGATGAGCTTTTGGCAGCGCAGAAAGCAGCCTCGAGCCAGCATTTGAACATTGCGACCATCAAGACCCTTGTCATCAATACAGAGATTCAAAAGTTGTTTCAACAGCAAGAGTTTCAATCTGCCGTCAACGAGGTTGCGTTTCTGGTTGCCAGTCGAGGAGTGAATTGAGTCGAGCGAGATACGGTACGGAACCGACAATACCGACAATGGATGGCTTTGTCCATTCTCGAGGGCCAGCTGCACATTGTCCCCACGGAATCGTTGCCTTCTATCAGAGCAAGTGAACCCGCCACAGCCCTTGGTGGCTTCTGGAGGACCCGCTAAGGGGCAGCGCTGCGAATTACGACAGTGCGTACCGGTATGGGTTCGCTTCGATTGAGTACTTGCTTGGTCATGCTATACATCAAAATACATCTATGGCATTCATGTAGTCAAGTAGATAGTCCCAAAACAAATCATGTATTTGTTATAAAAAATTACATTTTCGAATCCATTGCCAGCCGCCGCGAGAAGGATCGTCCTCCATGAATTGCCATGGGGTCCATTACGTTGTTGTTATTGCGGATGGTACTGGCATCCATACCAAAATCGGCGGTGCTGTTCATGAATCGCTGCAAGGTGGAGCTTGTCATGGCGCCATGACCACTATTCTTGTCGAGCTTGCGAATGACACTGCGCTTGGGAATCGGCAAGTGTTGGTGATCACTGACACTGGCGGACATCATGCTTTCGTCGTCCATGAGAAGATCGCGACAGGACATGGCCTTGCCATACAGTGGTCGACCGCGGGGTGACGGTCTCTTGGGTTTGGGGCTGCTGCCTGATGTGGAGTGTGTGGATGTGTTATTATGGAATGACTTGGAGGATGACAAGCTGTTGTGAAAGCTTTCTTCCAGCAACTGCAGCGAAAAGTCCGTCTTGCTGTCGTTCATACTCTTGCTGCGGCGCACGAGATGTCGACAACTGGTGCAGCGGGAAGACCCGAGCTGTGAACGACGACCACCACCGACAGCGCCGCAAGTAGTAGCGTCGGCAAACAAGTCTTTGACGCTCTTGGTCTTTCGCATGATATGAGCCAGCCCCGGTCGTCCAGTCGATGCATGGTTGCTGCCATTCAAGTTCATCATACTCTTGTTCTTGCCACCGCGAGACTTGAGCAGCATCATGCGACGATTGGCTCGTTGTAGCGGCGCTTCTTCTTGTCGTTGTTGTTGTGGCTCTTCCGATTCTTCGTCGTGGTTGTTGTTGCTGCTGCTGCTGTTGTTGTTCTCGTCATCGTCGACCTCGGCCATGATCATGGCACTCAGTGAATTTTGCAGGTGATCGTAACTGGATAGCTTGCGTTCGTCGAAGGATGTGCAACGTTCCATGGAACTGCGACGGACGCGGAATCGCACCGGTAGAGATGTGTCATCGTTCAGGGCAAAGCTCTCCTCCAACGAGTTGCTGTCACTGCTGGAGCTGTTCATGCTGGATGTGGATTGGTGGAGCGCACTGTCGATCGTATCAAGCACATCTCTTCTTCTTCGGTTGCCACCATGAAAGCTTTTGCTGGGAAAGAGAGACGGCTTGGTGTTGCCGAGTTTGGCCTTTTGCGTCGAATAGTCCACCAGAAGCGACAGCCTGCGAGAGGGACCTTGATCGTTGTTCAGTGTCTTGCCTGTGGATTGGTTCATCATGCTGCGGCGGGGTTGGTTGGTAGTGGTGGTGGTGTTCGAGGTGTCAACGTAAAGACCCATCGTAAGGACTTTTTGTGGGTGGTTGGTGTTTCAAAGGTGTTGGTAACTCTGATTTGAAAACTGTAAACTAAAAACAGGAACAACAGTTTCTACGATAGAAAAACAGGACAGAGTCGAGTCATAGAAACCCGCTGCTGCCAGTTTGCTTTGGAGCCAGGCCATCCAGCATAGCAGCGAGCAGTGTATCCAGTATCCAGTACTACAGTAGAAGCCAGTGTGACTCGAAAGTTGGAGCATTGTCGACCCTAATACCGACCTACGCAGCAACCTATGCAAACTTGCTGGAACCTGAAATGACATACAGGAGTACTGTACGTGTAGACTGTGCTTGCCAGTTCGCAACCACAGAAGGCCATTACTTATGTTCTTCAAGTTCAGCTGATCGGGGAGCATTCCAAAAGTGGTTAGGTGCAAACAATGAGCATGAGTAGATTAATACTGGTGTAAAGTATGCTTTGACACTGATCTAAATCTAATGTATTTGCCTGGTCAGCAAACTGCTTCAGATACAGCTTAACACTGACCTATGAGCTGACTAGATACACGTTGGGGGTTGGTGAGATCTGCTTACGAATAGATGGACTGATCTAAATAAGAATTAGGAGCTGTTCCGACTCCGAAGCCAGTAAGGAAAGTAATGTTAAGTCTGGGTGAATTCGTCAGCACATTCCAAACAGCACCGTAGCATCGTCTCAATAGTAGTCAAACGGGATGACCTTCCCACTATGATCCTGGCAGGAATGAACTTATGAACAGTCGCTTTACTGTGGACTGCCTAATTGTGATTTAATTAAGCTTTTAATTAAAGGTTGTCACTGTCCCCTGTCGAGAGTGTCCGGTAGAAAGCTGGGAAGTGCAAAGCGAAGGTGGGAGTCGAGTCGATAGGTTGTTTGGAGATCGTGAAATCGCAACACTTCGCAACAATGATAAGAACGCTGATGAGAGCTTGGGCTCAAAAACACAATACAGTACAATGTCATGTACTTTATAAAGAGAGACCCGAGATCCATCCTAGTACCAGTGTAATAAAAGGAGCTGTAAGGCAGCTGGGATCCGGATGCGGAAGAAGCTCAACCCTTCTTTGCAGCTGCGGTAATAGCTTCGTCGCGCAATCTTCGAAGGGAAACGCAGCCAACCACATACATACTCGAGTTGCTTGTACTCAGTACTTGTCGTGCATGCAGCCAGTTCGCAAGAGCACCTTGACTTGCAGGAAACGGGGCCTGCGCTTCTATTTCGGTGGTCTCAGCATCACAGCTCCCCTCTCCTTCCTAAGGCTCTACAACATACCAGCTACATGTAGCTGGAGTCCTGGTATGAAGGGAATGTATGAACTTACATGCATTACAGCTAGCTAAGTACCGTCGCTAGCACAGATAGATATGGTTGGCCACCACAAAAAAGAGACGCCTCTCAATCAAACAGAACGAAGTGCATCCAGATGGGAATAGTACTCGTCTGTTTCCATGTACAAACCACAAGTCTTGGCACATTGAGACCTCACTTCCCAAAAGTTGCATCGGTGCCTTGTTTCAGCACAATCGTTGCGTAGATCCCTCGTTTCGATGGGTGCCCTCCCAAAATCGTTCGCCAAATTCCTCCCCTTTTGCGCTCGGTACCAGTCCTTGTCATCGTGAATGGGCCATGACGATGTGGTATCATCCGCAAGCACTTCCACGTTCCGCTCCGTGATTTCCGAAACCCAAACGGACATGGAGAGTCGGAATCCCTTGCTAGCTCTATAGTCGCACTCTCCTGTAGCGTGCCAAGAATCACTACCAATGACCGTAGCCACGTTGTACTTTAAGTTGATGGGGGCACACATATCCTCAAAGCCACCAATGTACAGAGACGCTTCCTGGTCCTCCGCTTCTGGAAGGTAGATTGGGATCAAAATGTTGTAAAACGCACCTCGGGTTTCGGGCGCATCTCGATGGAGGTGCGCAATGGTATCTTCATTCTCGGGGTCGGCGTCGTCAAAGTGCGATACAATAATCGCACCATTGCCATGAATGACCAAATTGGGCTGATTGAGCTGTTGTCGAATGGTGTTCATGACCATTTCAAAGTTACCTCTGCGTAGAATCTCATTCAATCGTTCATAGCATGCCTCATCGGCCGGATCAAACCACACCATGTCGGTGGGCCAGTGGTCGGCTCGTTTCACATTCCAATGATACCCATCCTTCATGGTCCAAACTTTGGCTTCTTCCTCTTGTTTTCTCGTGAGATTGAATGGTACTCTCTCTTGATACGGAGCAGTATCGTTGATGGTGGGGTAGAGTAACTCATTGACTACATCAAGGACCCCTGTTGTCTCAAAGTAGTCCCGAAAGCCTTGAAGGAGCTCGGGTGGCAACCCCACGGCAAAGATTTCGTCATCCTCGACGATTTCCAAAGTATGACGCCAGCGAATGGGTACCGCCTCGCCTGGTTCAATGGATTTGGGAAGCAAAAAGTGGGGTTGCTCGTCTTGAGAATCAAAGTGTTGATCTATTTCTTGCGGTGACATGTAAAACAGTGGATCGTCCTCATAAAAGAAGAAAGGATCTTCTTCCATCATTTCATCAATGTCCCAAAAGTCATACTCTCCTTCATCCACATGGCAGACTGCATTGGAGATGTAGAAATCTTGTTCCTTGTACCAAGAGCGATCTTCTGGGTAGCAAAAGAAATCTAGCCAACACGAAAGGAAAGGAGGTAGACGAAAAAGGGTCGCATTAGCAAGCTGAAGGATACCCATCTTAACGTCTTCTTTCGCTGTCTTACCATCTTCAAACCATTCAAAAGTGTCAAACTCGTCCTCATCAAACTCTTCAAATTCGTCTCCAAACTCCTCAAATTCGTCTCCAAAGATTTCTTCTTGATGAGGATGATTAAAGTGTTCCCATTGACTTTGTTCATCTTCGTCATCATCGTCATCAGATGAATCTTCAAAGTAGTATTCAAAGTCATCATCGCTGTCACTATCCAAGTCGAGCGCACTAATGTTATCCTCGTCGATTTCTTCATCCTCCTCAAAGTCTTCTTCGTCCATATATTCTCCTTCGTCAACTTCCTCTTCTACTAAATGTGCCTCCTCCATGAAGCGTCGGTGGAACTCGAGGGGAGGCAGCGATGGCTTTTTGACAGTATTTTTGTGTAGGGAGACATTGTTGTTGTTGGATGGATCAGTCGTTTCGTGGCGGACAACCACAAACCTGTGTGCTTCGTTGGATCCTCCATGGGCGCCGTGAAACAACACCAACGACAGAGACAACAGTTGTACTAGCAGCAAAGAAGACATCATCATCGTGGCATGATAATCCAAAAATGGGATTGTGAGGTTCGTGCCATTTTCAAGCCCCCGCGGGACAAAACCCGAACCTTCGGATTTGCAAAGCTGCCAGGCGTGAGATTCAAAATTCAAACAGCCCGCTTGCGTTCTTAGAGAAGGACTGAGTGTCTCAAGCAATGACGTCATTCAAGTTGGTTGCAAAGAGAAAAACAACGCAAGGAGAAAACAACCCACCAAAATCAAGGTTGCTTCCGTCATTCCTCTAGCTAGTGACCGCTCCAGTGAGCGCGGTAGGGTCACTGCTGGTATTATGTACCATTTATCGCATGGAACGACGGCGGCGATGGACGGTCTATCATCGATTGATTCTTTGCATTTCCGTCTTTGACTTGATCATGTCACTGGCGTATTCCTTCGGGTCCATGCCCCTCCCCCCGGAAACGGGTATTCCTTCCGCCCGAGGCAGCTTTGCGGCGTGTACCGCCCAAGGACTCGCCAAGCAATTTGGAGCCTTTGGATTTGTCTACTCGGCATGTCTAGTCATCTATTTCATGCTCATGATTTGCTACAATTACCGAGAAGAACAAATTGCCGCCTATCACGAAAAAGTCATGCACGGCATTACCATCGGCTTGGCCTTTGGCACGGGCATGGTCGGATTGGCGTACCAATTCTTTAACCCCCGTCGTCACGGGATGCTGGGTAGCCGCCTATCCACCCTTTTGGGATGTCAATCCAACCATGACATGTACGCGGGGTGCCAATGCCGAAGTCTTTTTGCTGTGGGCCGTGACAATACCGGCATTCTTGGTGCTCGTAACTGAATTGACGTGTCTGGCCATTATTGCGTGGACCGTCCGACGCAAGTCGCGACACATGCAACGATTTGACTTCGTGCGACAAAGTACCAGCGATTCCCAGTCACTGCAATTCCAAGCGACGGGACGACGACAATCCTTTTTGCGACAATCTACGCAACGATCATCTTCTTCTTCTGCACCAACGGCATTTGATCGATTTGCTCGTGAAGTGCAGGTGCAGAGTTTTCTGTACGCCGCCTCCTTTATCAATTCCGGTCTAATACCGTGTCTGTCATTCGGCTGGTGGATCGTGCCAACGAAACCAATCGACTCTTGAACGACTTGTTTTGGGTAAGTCGTCACTGATCAAAGTCGAGTGGAGTCATCGACAAAGGAACCAAAAGACATTTCTCGCAACATGCTTACCATCCATTCTGCCTTGTCAGGTATATGTGCTTGCCGTGACTTTTCTGCCATTGCAGGGGATTTGGAATGCCACGATTTTTAGTCGCCCCCGGTATCTTCAATTTCGAAAACGGGATCCCGACGGCAGTTGCTGGTACGCCATGAAGCAGAGCATTTGGAATCCTTCCATGGCATTTCAAAACAGCAGCAATCGAACATCCGTGCGGCGAAATTTGAGGACGTCCTCGTTCACCAATCAACAACTTCTGCCCAAGAAATGGAAAGATCATAGCAATCATGATGATTGCAACGACAGCAATGATGATTGCAACGACAATGTTGACACGCACAATCAATCCACTGCAACCCAATCCCACACTGGTGATGATGTCAAGAAATCGACAACAGAACAACTACAACGAGTTGCAGTTCCATCTTGTGGTGACGACGATGATGTCGCGAGCGACGGGGATTCTGACCACAGTGACATCGTAAAAACAGAGAAGCACTGCGAGAGGGAAGAAGAAGAGTGTCAAGTCCACGGTAGGACAGGGGACACATCGAGTGCAGAGTAGTATAACTCAAGGGCACATATACAAACAAAACAAGGTACATGGAGTGCATGTGGCTTACCTGCCGTCATTTGGGTCAATTTCTGGCTGTATTTCCAGTTCAACAGATTGTAGGTGTCCAAAAACCTGGCCCTTTGGCACCAAGATCCGGGTCAACTTTCAGCCAATTCAATCTTTTCCAACCAGTGAGTCTAGGTATCAGGTCCAGATCCATGCAAAACTCCTATATCACTGAATTTTTGTCAACATATTCAGGGCCTTTGGAGGCAAGAAATCCAACAGCTCCTGGTTTGGATCAGTACCGGTACCGGTAGACGAGACTGGGTTGTTTAGAGTAGCAAGGCTATGACATAGCTAGCAGCAACACATCATGGCGTTTGGATGGAGGGTGATGACCTCGGGTGTGGGCTGGCACCGTGGTGTTTGGGGAGACGGCTTTTTTGGGTGATCAGGTGGCCTCACTGGCTTAACTTAATTAAGACGTGCATTGTCGGACGCTCCAGAGACAGAGATTTAGAGCACGGCTCAAACTTAGGGAGCGCACCGAAACTTCCAGCAGAGATGGATCACTGTTTGTCGAAGTGATCATCAGCAAACAACCAACCGACCAGGAAACAACTCACATCCACCAACCATGATGTTTCCGCGTCTTTTCTCTCCGACAGGGGCCGCTTTCTTGGGCTTGACTTCCTTCCTCTTGTTCAGCAGCCCTGCATCTGCTTTGCTGGACTGCGTTGCCGACGAAACTTGTGCCAATTCTGATTTTCATCAGCTTGGTGACCGAACGGACCCACAGGGATGCTACGATGCCTGCGTTGCGATTCTGGGGGATGCGAATTTATGCACTCATACCATTACGAGAACTGGTACTACCCTATGTTACCGTTGTCCTAGTGGCTTTGTAGCCGGCGCTGCTGGTGGAGGCAACCTCGGCTGTACCTGGAGACCCGATCCTACCGTGGGTAACGATCCTGGCACTACTACTGTTGGTGCTGGAGAAGATCCACACTTTAAGACATGGTCTGGATCCTTTTATGATTACATGGGTGAATGTGACCTTACATTGATCCATGCCCCCTTCTTTGATGAACAGAAGAACCAGACCATGACCATTGCTATTCGAACAAGGATCCGACGTGAATATTCCTACATTGAAACAGCGGCTGTTAAGATCGGAGAGGAGATTATGCAAGTCAGCAGTTTTGGTGACTACGCCCTCAATGGTGTATCCACAGCAAAACTGCCTGCTTCCATTTCTGGCTACAACATTCACCACACGCAGCTCAACAAAAAGGCCCACATTTTCACTATCGAGCTTGGCAATAATAATAATGATGGCGAGAGCATTATTCTTCGCACCTTCAAGGATTGGGTTTCTGTAAAGTTGTCCAACCCCAGCAAGGCCCGGTACCATCAGAGCTATGGAATGATGGGAGAGTTTGGGTCTGGCAAGTTGCTCGGCAGAGATGGCGTCACAGAGATTACTAATGATCCCAATGCCTTGGCTGCCGAGTGGCAAGTCCGTGACGATGAGCCCATGCTCTTCCAGGCAGCCAGACGCCCCCAATATCCTCAAGCATGCAAGCTTCCGGATCCAAACCAAAAGATTGGTCGTCGTCTTGGAGAAAATACCGTTTCAGTCAGGGCAGCAGAGAAGGCTTGTGTTGCTGCTAGGGCGGAGAACTTGAATGGCTGTATCCATGATGTCATGGCCACGGGTGATTTGGACGTAGCTGCTGCGGGAGCATTTTAACCGAGAGCTTGGAGATGAATTGTAGCGTAGAAACCAGTTTTGATTAATTAAGTAGATAGATAATAATGTGAGAAACTGCTAGTAAGGAAAGACTTTGTTGACAATGACCACGGCTGCAACAAGAACACCCTCTCTACTACATGTATAGCTGGATGTGTGGAGAGGGCCGCCACTTGGCAATTGAAGTGATGGGGAAGTTGGGCCGTTGTGTACCGGTACGGTATGGGTCGCCACAAAACATCTACGGCTACGTCTACATCCGCGGTGCCAATCACCTACAATGAAGAGCAGGGAATATGAAGACCTGACCTAGCTAGTTACTTACAATACAGAACCTATGAACCTATTCCTGGGGACGACCCTGCAATCTTACTCCACGAAGCAGACTTGTATTCTATTTCTTGATTGCCCCTTTGGATGATGATGTTGGCTGCACGGTCGCCTCGACGACCGCCGCACTATTCCTCTGTACCACGTCCAAGAATCGTTTGACAATTCCCTTGTCTTTTTCGGTGTCGAGTACAATTTGATATTCCAGCTCTTTTTCCTTGCCATAATTTCTCAATAGCACATTAACGAGGCTTGGGTGTTGTTTGTTGGTATTGCTGATGGGATTGACGGTAAAAGATGCCTTGTCGGGTTTGTCGAGATTTTCAATTTCGGCGGTCAATTCATGCAGCGAAAAAGCATAGAGAGGAGATGGATCGGTGGATTCCAAAAAGACAAAGCAGCAACCTCCTTGAATGACGAGGTATCGTGCAATCTTTGTTGTTGAAGTTAATAAGTAGTGTTTGTTTGGCGAATTGTTGTTGTGGCAAAATGTAGTTGACCGAGTTTCGTTCGTTCGAATGAAGTGAGAATTGAAAAAGATTGAATCAGAAACAAGTCCATAATTCACGAGAACACAGGGTAGTACCGCAATAATTGACTCACTTCAGAGAATGTGATATAGTCTCTCTGATCAAAGAACAAGGGCATGACTACTTTGAAGAAATTCTTCTTGGGGGCTCCTCCTCGACAAATTCCGGCTCGACCTTCAAAATCGACGCCTTGTTGCCGCAATGTTTCCACTCCGATCTTTGACTTTTCCTTCATGGCACTGCATAGAAAACAAAACCACATAAATTGAGTAACGTCCGATTGACACAAGACGACACATACAAACCACAAACTCACTTGAGGGCATTCGCAGGAGCAAATTTGCGGGGATCATCGACTGTTTCCGCCCGCTCCACACACTTTGCAGGCTCCGCATATGCCGGTTCGACAGCCAGAGCAGGTTCCACAAGAGGCTCCGATGCCTCGGTGTGAGACGCTGGCTCTACCTTGACAGTCTCCACTTTGGGGGCCGGTGCTGCCAAATCCTTCATCTTCTTTCGTGTTTTTTGTTCTTGTTGTTGTTTTGTTGTGCTTTCTTTCTTTGGCTTTTGGTTTGGGGGGGTGGGAATGGTGCTTGCGCCCCGTAACTCTAACCTTGTCATTGAGTTCTTTAGTAAAAACGCACACACAACCACGAAAAAAGGCAAAAAAGGCAAAAAGGCAAAAATTGGTCCCCCTACCGGTACGGTACAAGAAGCTGAAGATGGATCTCTCAGCGGTAGGACTGGCTAGCTAGTACGGTTAGTACGGTACGTACATTATTTGTGCTTTCTACCCAAAGAATATCCCATGGTAGACGACAACATTTGGAGGAAGCAAAAGAGTTTGACTTCCCTTGATCTATGCTAGTACGGTATCATACTGCCCGAGATTTTTGACAGTGCCATTCTCAAAAAGTTCTGCCGTGAATATTTTTTGAAGGAAAAGATGGAAATGGCTCGTGTGAGTTGGAGAAAGTTTAGACACCTTGCCGATTGCGCCAATCTTTAGACTACATAATGTAAGCGTGTAAGCTTCTTCCTAGCTAGAAGAATCTGCCAGATGCTGCCAATTGGTTGGGACCCTTCTTCTTGAGCGAGACCCTCCCCAAAAGTTTGAAAGCAATGCCCATGATTTACTTTCCTTCAAAGCCTCAAGGACACATTGTAGCTGTAGAGCGAGCTGTAGCTAGCTAGTACTCGGTAACTTCCTTCCCTTAGCCTCTCCCTTCCTCTCTCCACCTCCTCCTCCCCGCGGGTTTCTTTCAACTGGCATCCGCTTGAAACTCGGAGTAGAAATTAATTTTCATAAGGTGCAAACAGAGGCCAAAGAAATTCCAAGGTGATTGGCAAGCTTGCCGCGGAATTTTCAAGCTGTTTCGTGAGCAATTCAATCTCTGGTTGTTGTCACGAAAAAGGGAGGCTAGACTACATAGACTAGTAGGACGGTGGCTCAAACCAACTCTTATTGTCATATCTCAAGTTTTCCCGCATCATTTCCCATTTCCTAAAGATATGCGTTACGAGTTGTCCAAGGTAAGAGGTGGTAAAGAATTAAAAAGTGGTATAAAGCAGTAAAAAATGGTAAAGCAGGTGGTTAAAGGTGGTAAAGCAGAGGGTTGAAGGCGGTTGAAGTAGGTTGAAGGTGGTTAAGGTGGTAAACTGTGCACAGAGGTGGTTCAAAGCAATGCCAGAAATAGTAAGTTGATTTATTTGTGCCACCCCAGCTGCACCCCCAGTCGCCAAGCAGGCAAGCAGGAGCTTGCTTCTAAAAAACTTGGAATCTCTACCTTTCTGTCTGTAACTCCTGTACTGTAACCGGAACATGCTGGACAAAAAAGATTGAGCCAATGATATGACCAAGAGTCACCGTAAACCCTCTTACCTCTTTCGTTCCCCCAGAGGACCGGTGTCATTTCTTGGCCTTGCTGCCTGATGTGTACAACCGGTACCTGGTACCAGTACCGGTACCGGTAGTCTACTAGTACCTCCAAAGCGAGTTGTCTCTGCAAAAAGCACAGCCAGATCTACTACTAGACCTAGTCCAGTACGACTGTACTACCACAGTTGCATTACAACAACGATCAGGTCGCAAAGCAATTTGAACACAGAGCACTCTACCGTACTAGTAGCTATAGTAGTGTAGCTTGCAGCCAAAGAATGAATGACGACGATGATACCGACGACGAGAAGTCGCGTGAATCACCGCAACGAGGGTCGCCCGACACTCGTGGCAATCTCCTAGAAGAAGAGAAGATGAGGATTGCCTACCCAAAAAGCAGAGAACCTCAAGACAAAGGAGCCAACGAGAGGGCGCCAGACGGGCAACTCGCATCGGGATCAGATCTGTTGCAGCAGGAAAAGCTGAATGTGGCTTATCCCGCGGGTAGGTCCAGCAAGAATCAGCCCGGTGGCACCACCTACCCCCGAAATAGAGAACCTCAAGACGAAGGGGCCAACCAGATGTCGACCGACGAGAAACTCGCACTGGAATCAGATCTGTTGCAGCAGGAGAAGCAGAATGTCGCATATCCCACAGGCAGGTCCAGCAAGAATCAGCCCGGTGGCACCACCTACCCCCGAAATAGGGAACCTCAAGACGAAGGGGCCAACGAGATGTCGACAGACGAGAAACTCGCACTGGAATCAGATCTGTTGCAGCAGGAGAAGCAGAATGTCGCATATCCCACAGGCAGGTCCAGCACCACAGGCAGGTCCAGCACGAAACGGCCCGGGGGCACCAACACATCTACTGATCAAGAAACAGCGGCTGATGACAGCATCATTCAGATCTACGAAGTTGCATGTATGGATACCGGTACGTCGACCCAGCAAGGGATTCTTGAACGTGCCAAGCAAGGTGTAAAGTACCCAGGAAGGAATCAGAACCCACAAGCAGTCGCTGGGAACCCACAAGCAGTCGCTGAGAACAGAAACTCGGTAACTAATCCATTCGCCCCCGTACCCGACTCGGAGCTTCCACAACTCCTTCCTGATGCTGTCCCTGTTCAGCGACTTCGAGCCTCCCTGCCCGGAGCCCACCATAGCGGCCACTTTCGGGACCCTGCCGTTCCTCCTGAAACAGAGAGCTCTGGCGATCCTGAGTTACTAGTAAACAGTACAGACTATGGTTTGGAGGACGGAGGCAATGACGAGGAAGCCGCCAACGAGGGCTTGGCGGTGGCAAACTTGGTGGATGAGCACCCTAATTTGCAAACAGCCTCGCCGGCAGAGAATGTTTCGCATACAAGAGACAAAGGAGACAAGGATTGGGTTGGACCGGTTGGTTTGCTGGGTGTCGTTCTCTTGGTTGTTGTTGTTATCGTCCTTGCTACTACTCTGAGCGCCAGGAAAGAAGAGGGGACACCAGATTTCATCCATACCCAAAGCCCCACATCTGCACCAACTGTCTTCGATCTGGAAACATATTTGCTTTCCTTGATGCCGGAGGGAACAGTTGAAGCCATCTTAGACAGACCCGGGTCTCCACAGCAGATGGCTTTCCAGTGGTTGAAGGAAGATATTGACAAAAATGCCTTCCTTAGCGAGGACCGAATCGAGCAACGATTTGCCTTGGTTACCCTGTACTATTCTACCGGAGGCAAGGATTGGCTGACCAACACCAATTGGCTAAACCATTCTGTCCATGAATGTTACTGGGAGATGAACGACGCTTTTGCCAGGAAAAGATTGTTTGCTACTCTCCTTCCTACATATCTGGAAGAATTCTTCCCACCAACTGAACCATCGCCCAATAAATGCAATGTTGCTGGTCTTTATGTGAATCTGTGGCTAGATGCCAACACGCTGGTTGGTCCCATCCCAGAAGAGCTTTTCTTGATGACATCCCTTCAGACTCTGTCAGCTGGTGGTCTTAATGAGCTTGGCGGCACACTCTCCACCCAGTTTGGTCTGCTCACTGATTTGCGGGGCATCTACTTGGGGTTCAGTGAAATTGGAGGAACTATACCAACAGAGATTGGAATGTTGAAAAATTTGAAAGCTTTTGACATCTATGGAAACAAAGAAATCAATGGAAGTATCCCATTTGAGTTCTGGCAGCTTAGCACCATGGAGTATATGCAAGCTGGTGTCCTAAATTTGGATCCAGCTACAATTCCAACAAATCTTGACAAGTTGATGCCAAACCTCAGGTGGTATGGTTGCAGTGAAAGCAACCTCATTGGTAAGATTCATACATGCATGTGTCTCCAGCACATTCCAGAGCCAGCTTTATCAAACCCCCTTGCTTTCCTCTGATTAGGTACCATACCAACTGCATTTGGACAACTGCCAAATTTGAAATGGATTGCACTGAAGGGCAATTCCATGTCTGGAGCTCTCCCCACTGAGCTTGGGCTGATTTCTAGCCTTCAATCCCTTTCCTTGCCTGGCAACTCTTTTAATGGTACCATTCCATCTGAACTGGGCCTTTTGTCATACCTGGGCCGTGTTGTACTTGAAGACAACAACCTCACAGGGACATTACCAGTTGAGCTTGAGAATTTGCCACTTCATGACCTTTGGTTGGAGGGCAATGTCCTGTCAGGAGTTGCCCCCGAAGGATTGTGCAACCTCACTGGCCCTTGCTACGTTCATGGTCCGAGCTGCAAAGCGTCAGAGAAGGATGGCCTCGTGTTTGACTGCAATGCCACCATGTGTGGCTGTGATTGTCCCTGCCCTGAGTGAATACAAATTGCGATATGGTGTAGTTTTTAATGTCATTCATACTCTGATCCATGGTTTCACCTTGCGCACGTACCCGACGGTACGGTACCGGTAGTACTAGTACAGTGTAGAGTAGGGAGATTATCCAGGGAAGCTAGCCGGGGCCAGGCTTTTTAAAAAAAAGCAAAGAAGAGTCAAAATCCAGGACAAGGTTCTGTGGGATGGATCAGGGGCGAGAAATTGAGGAACCTTGCAAGCTTATTGCAGATGTGCTAAGATGCGAACTTCACGTTGAATGCATAAATGTGTTTGTTTTAGGTTTTTAAATAAAGTGAAGGATTAGTTGGAGCTGTATGTACACGAGGCACCTGCTCGAGCTCATTGGAGGCTCAAGCTATAGGACACTAGAATTTATGCACTTCGGGAAGAGATATAGCGAGGAGCTGCTCTTCGGGTGAAGGCAATGATCGGGTAAGCCAAAGCGTCTGCATCGATGAAGGTAGAATTCACTCGTTTGGGACTTGCATGGTACGGGCAGATCGCACTGTTGTCCTTCAGCACGATGCTGTTCTTTCGCCTCGGAAGCCTCGGAGGCAAGGCATCATTGCAGCGACAGTCCCCGTCTTCATTCGATCTGCTCAATGTCATGCCCCCTTCTCCAACTGCATGCTCCTGCACAACAAAAGAGAGGGATGGGGCCACCGAGTGGCTGCAATAGGACACGGCGCTTGCGTCTAAATCCTCAAAGCAAATACTCTCTCTTCGTGTGGGCGGTGCCAGGACAAGGCCAGATCCCATTGTTTCGTCGTCTTCTTCGTTTTCCAGCAGTTCTTCCATATCGAGCTGGTCAGCCAGGGCTTTCAGTTCAGCTAAGTCAACGTCGATAGTTCGAAAGACAGTGGCTCTCCTCCGAGGTCTCGGCTCGAGTTCCTCCTCGAGAACGATGCTTTCTCGTCTCGTCGGAACCGATGGCAGGCCAACTGAACCATGGATTTCTTGCTGTTGGATGCTGATGCGGCGTTTCGGATGCTTTGGCAGGCAGTTCGCTTGCGAGGGGCATGATTGAACTACGAGCTTTTCCCACCTGTTGGGATCTTCCTCCAGGAACGTAACAACCGAGTTGACGCCATCGTCATCCTCTCCAGAGAGCAAAACGTAGGTAGGCAAAGACATGTTGCTTGGGTGGATCATGGAAACCGGCTAGCAAGAAGTGTGTTTGCTTTAGGAGCAGCAAACACAAAATTGTGAAACCTGCGAGTGCGGGCAAAGTTCCCCTGTACTTGGTCAAGCTGCAACCAGCCATTTGGGTCGAGGCAACCTGGGGGAGGCAGATCGCCACCATACACTGCTTTGCCACTGCTGAAGAGGTGGCTACGTTTGTTTGTGCCACTTAAGAGGAGGTTCAAAAATCTGCCGTGGGGCAACGTCTCAGTGGGTTTTGTACTACTAGCTAGCTGCCTATCTAGCTAGAAAGCTCAGTAGCTAGCAGCTCCCATGTCCTGATTGAAGATTCGATTCAAGAAGTGGCAAACCCACTTGAAAAGCCTTATTTTACGATGCTTGCTCGTCCACAACTTCGAAGCTGCGAAGTGGGCTCCAGCAAAAGTAGTGTCGAAGATTTATTGGGGCGTCATGTAGCCACAAAGTCAGTGGTGCACAACTTGGGTCGTTCAGACACCGTGGCATCCGAAACGGGTAGAGCAGTGCTCGACAGATGCAATTGATTCCCCCAAGGTGGCTGGTGCCGTGGTGTTAGCCAGCGGAGTGTTCCCTCCTGCAGTGGCCAGGTGGTCTTATTTTGGCTGAACTGGCCTATACATTATTCTGGTTGCCTCGGGATGATGAGCTTGCTTGACCCTCTACCACAGCCAGATAGCTACTGGCTCTCGAGGAGGAACACGGCAAAGGAATAGCTAGTAGTGGACACCAGAAGCTTTCTTCAAAACGAGTTGTTTATGGACTTGGTTGTCTCTAGCTCAGCGCTCCGCCACCGCAGAAGAAATCGAATTTCTTTCGGGGGCTTTTTCTACAGTGGCATGGGGCTGGCAGTGTCGCCACTCTGGACAAGTTTCTGTGGTGCCCAAGTGGCGAAACTGACTCTTGCTTGCGGGAGGAGTACATACACACATGTACTGAGTACTGATGAGCAGCGTACTCAGTAGTTGATTTGAGGGCAAGAAGGGGGAGAAGTAAGTGGTGGATAGGATTGCGAGTGAAAGCTGAAAGTTTTGTTGCGACTGGTACCAGTCACTGGTAATAGTAAAAACCACAAAGGGAGCATTCTGCTTGCATGTGATACGGTACACCCTCGTTTATAAGATACTACCAAGTGGGATGCTGCAAAGTGTTTCGATTTTATTCAAGGGTTGTTTTTCTAGCTAGACTGCCAGTAGCTAGCAGATCATCTTACTGAGCCACTGGTTTCAAGTAAGTGCTCCAACATTATCTTAACCAATTTGTTGATTCATTTATTATGTGCTGCCACCGTACGTAGTACATCGTGTCTTTTGCCTCCATGTCCCTCTTGTCCAAGCTATTTTGTACCAGACTGTGGTGCTAGAGATGCTGTGTCCCTGCCCTGAGGCGGTAGAAAATTCTTTTCAGAATACATGCATGCTCTACAATTGATACCACTACTATCTTACTAGCACTCAATACTCATCAGCCACAATGTCATTACTGGCACTCAATACCGTACTCATCAATATCTTACACAATGTCATGTAAAATAAATCTGAGTAGATCTAAACTTTTGCTCCAATGACCAATGTGAGTACACGATTTCTCAAAACCCGGACAAAGAGGCAGCTACTGGTACGGTAGATCTACATGTTTAAATAAATGTACTGTACTCGAGTGCTGTACTGTGCCTAGTTAGTACAATGCATGCGGCTGTAGTGACTGGGTGCGAGGCTACCTTCTAAAGGCTGCTGGTTCGCAACCACACTTACTTGCTCTTGTGAGAATGGTGTGTAGTGTCTGGGGGGTGGAGAAAATCAATACAGTACGATCCCATGCCCACCAGCTCTACTAAACACTGCCAACTGCCAACCACTCTTTCGTAAAACAGTGGTATTTTACCACTTCTTACCACTGTCTCACCTCTTTACCACAATATTATCATTGTTTACCACTGTTTATCACGTTGTTTTGGCAATGGTTGACATTGCCAATGCAAACCTCTGTCATCAACCGCTGTCTACCACTGTCTTGGTCATGGTTTACCTTGGTTGGCATGGGATGGCACTGGATTTCTCCACCCCCCAGGTATAATACATGTCCTGTGGGAGCTCAATGGCTTGTCTTGAAGCTTCCGCCGGCTGACGATGAATTTTGCAGGATTGAATGATTCGATTCAATCATTCCGTTACTAACAACTGTGTGGTGTGACTGGATTGTCGGTCGGACTTTTCCGCCGTTGCAATTTTCAACGCCCTGCCGTAAAGACTTGCTCTCACAGCTCTTCTCACAAAGTTAGGTTGGTTCCTCTCTTCAAAGCACAACGAATCCAAGCAGATACTAGTGTTTAGTAAAACAGGATGCATCAAAGTCTCGATAATGATTCGGCTGCAACTGGAAATCAACGAAGCAACGAGAGGACCACAACAACAAAGAAACGTCCTTCGGTGCTTGTTGACTACACCAAAAACAAGGCCTGCGTCTCCTCGAACGGGCTCTCTCTCACCCAAAGCTGCGGCGATTTGGGTCGCTCATCAAAGGAGGATGATCAATCTCAGCATCGATTGAGTCTCACCAATCTCGAAAGAGTTTTCCAAATTACCGAAGGCGGCCTTCCAGCAGCAGACACAGAGTCTAATGCCGCTGTTTCGTTCCGTGTTCGTCGAAGACAATCGGATAGGTTCAGACGAGTTTCTGCGAAGAGCGAAGGATCGAGCTACGAAAACTTAAGAAACTCTCTCCGAGACCTGATGAGCTCCGAAGAGAGTGATGATGAATCGGAACCGAATAATCCTCCTGCACGGAGATGCCACACTGCTGACGGAATCATATCATCACCAACAGACGATAGACGCGCTCAGTTTGCGCAAATGAAACGGACGTTGAGCTCGGATCCGGCGCAAGAATCTAGCAGGCACCTTCGATGCCACAGTGCAAGAGATCTTCTGACCATGCTAGAGGAATCAGGCCCGCAAGCAGCCCAACGACGCCGAGGATCCAGTCGCCAATCGTTTACCTCGTTCAGCGAGTCGACCAGTGACGAGAATACCACTGACGAAAGCTCCGTTACCAAATGCACGAGACTATACAACTTGAACAACGTCGAAGACGAAACGCGAAGATCTCTACTGGCCGCAAGTCGATCTCAAAGCTCCAGCGCTCTGGACCCACGAACCAGACGTAGGCGATCCAAGCGTCGATCTCACGGCATATTGAGAAACATCATTGTTATTGCAGACGAGCTTTCACTGGATGACACCACCGAAAACACCCTCAACTCTAGCAAGTCTCGCGGATCCGTCTTGGCAGGAGCTCGTTCCCAGAGTTCTTCGGTCCTCGTTTCATCCAACGATGCATCAAACGACGACAAGGAAGCTACAGTGACGAGAAGGCGTGCTCAAGGTCGCAAGTCTCATGGTTCTATGAGAAACCTTATTGCCGGCGGCAATTCTACGGACGAAGACTCCCAAGCCTCTCTTCATTCAAGTTTGGTGTTTACGCATCCCAAAAGCTGCAGGGATCTGTTCGCCCAAGGAGAAGCTGTACCCATTTCCAACGAAGCAAAGACTTCACGACGAAAGTCGTTTCGGCAAACCAATTCGTCGTCAGGAAGGCGCAACTTGATGTCCGCTGATGACGGTGGAAGCAAGACAAACGATATGTCTCACTTTGTCACAGGCAGCCGCATTCGTCGGCTGAGCAGCACGCGCAGCTCCTTCCGATGGGATGCTGGGAAGGCTGCTTAAACTTCAGAATCGAATAGAAATAAAAAACGAATTAGGCTCGCATGACAAAGCAAAAAGATAGTCACACCGCTTGCTTGTAGCTACCAACACGGCTGAAGACATTTTGAGAGTTACACAGAACCGGCGAGTTCTGGGAAGTGATATTGCATGGTATGGATACGCTGTAGCAGTTCCGTGAAGGCTTATTGGCCGGTTTGCGTTGAACCTGGGGAGGCAGGGAGGGAGGGCCCAGGCGAGGGCAGGACACATACCGTGGGATTTGAGTGATAGTGGCAGGATCGAGCAGAGAAGAGTGGCGAGCCCTTCTGGCCAGAGACTGGGGCTGACTGAGAAGCAGTGCGGTAGGAGATCAGAGTGTAATAGCACCATGTTTGGGCATCATTGCTGGGGGCAAAGGCTGTTTGGGCTGAGAGCTCAGCAAGTGCGCTGGAGATTAGCACCATGTTTCAGCCAGGCAGCTTTGCCACTAGCAAAGGTTGTTGAGGCTAGCTGACTCTCGGCCACGCGGAGGGAGATCGGGGTAGCACCATGTTTTTCAGGCTGCATGGCTGGGGGCAAGAATGGCTCTTGTATAGCCAGCTAGATAAGTGATTTGCCCTCTAGATCTCACGGGTAATACCTTACGTACGGTAGCCTCTGAGGAGGAAGCAGCATACCACTGTGCCTGGAATGGTATGGTGGCAGTGGGTGGCTGCACCCTGCGCCCTATCTTTTAAAAGAGGATCTTTGCACCACTAGCTACCTGGTAGTTAGCTCGTCACCCGAATCAATCCTCAGGAGGTTCAAGATACAAGTGGTGGTGTGGTGAAAGAGGGGCTGGCTAGCAAGTGCCGGCAGATCCTACAACTTCATGAAGCAAGGTGGGCTATTGGTGGAGTGCCTCCTCCAAGAGCTGCTTCAAGCTGCAAGAATTTAAGTCCCAATCGCAAAGCAAGGTGGGGCCAGCTAGCTAACCGTACCGGTACATGTACCTGCTGATTCCCACACCAAGAGGAAGCTGGGCTATTGTTATAATGCCACAAATGCTGGTTTTTTTTGTTGCAGCATTGCAGTTTCAGCGTGGTCCTGGTTTCATTACACTGGAGTATTTAGCAAGAGAGTTCAAAGAGTTTGTTCAAACCAGCTCAAACCACTGGTCAAAAGAGGGTCTTCTTGAGGGCTGTTAGCTCCGGTTCTCCTCTCCCGAATTTGTACCAGAACCAATCATTTCTCATGATATTCGCGCTCGTAAAATCCTAGAGCCACGTACCGAAATTCAAAACACCGAACAGTTCTTTTCTTTGACTGTTAAACCCTTTTTCTGTGCTTGTTAATACTTTTTAGTGTCCGAGAACGCCAAGGACAATTTGGATGATGGTGTTTTGAACCGCTATAGCCTCATGAGCAAAATCACTTCTCCTCCTCTAGCTAGACTAGCTAGTAGACTAAAGACACACTCTCCAGTCCATCAATTCAAATTTTGCTGAACACCTCACTGACACCTAAAGAACAGGGCACAGAACCGCACAAGCTGGAAACTGGATGGAGGGAAGCAGCAAAACAAGAGTCACCGAGTCATGATGCATTTGCGGCCCCACATGAGGCACACGTCCGTCAGAGTCACCAGTGCAACTTGAGCGAAGTATCGAACCATCCACTGCGGTCCATTTTGTTGCATAAAAGAAACACCATTGCCTGGATTTTCATTTGGTTCACCGTGGCGATGTATAGTGGAGCATGGACTGCGGAGGAGCAACGCTATGTTACTGCTCTCATTGAAGAGTTTCACGCTGGGAATCTGCCGGGTGTCAAGGAAAGGACCAGCCTTAGGAAGCTGCTTGCCTCAAAGCTAGGGTGTCACGAGAAACGCATTACCAAAAAATATGAAAGGACAGGCTACAATGGACGAAAGCAATACGTTCCAAATGTGATGGGTTTTTCCCGTGCAGATTCCGAAAGGAGGCTGCATAGACTCCAGGAACTCGAACTCAGTTTCCGGAGAAGCAGGGAGCACCTGATCAATCCACACGCCGCCATTAGTGCAATGTCCGCCGGACAAGCTCAGTCACAAGGCATCACCGGAGCAAACCTACCCCAGCTTCAACCCCGTCAAGGCTTCGGAGTGGCTTTACCCCGAACGGGCCCCATTGGTGCTTCGTCTGCGCTGCAGTCCCCTCCTGCGTCTGCCTATCTTGACCGCATGAGGAGCATGTACAACGAACTCGTGATTTCGCAAGCACTCACTAGAACGGGGAGTCTTCAACTTTCATCCAATCTTAGGGCTACTAGTTCTGCAATACCGCAAAATACGATCCGTGCAGGGCTACCTCCAACAAACAACCTGGTTGAGGGAACACAACATTTGCGGGCTCATCACGGGGTACTTTCGAACGCAGATATTCTCCGGTCACTTGCTGCACCCATGCCTTCTACCGGCGTAGCCCTGGGTCTCGCAGCTTCTGGATTGCGCGCAACCACCACGTTGACCCCACAGCCAATACAGCCGCGGCCGTCGTTGACCCTTCAGCCAATACAGCCGCGGCCTTCGTTGGCCAACCAAGCAACACTGCCGCAGCCAACCAATCCAGATCCGCGTCGTCCTTACTCAACTGCGGAGCTCTATCATCCCCGTCCACCCAAGCACGCAAAGAGTGGCTGATCCGCAGCTGGTTTTTTTTGGGTGGCGTGGTGGTGGTGGTTGTTGCCGTAATGGCTGCAGTTAAGGGTTGCCTATAATATTGGTGTTGATGCTTGCATCCAACAGGTACCGTGCTTTCCAGCTACTTACTACCTAGAGTGTGACCAACGTTGCTTGGAGCATCAACAGGCTCCTATCATGCTTCCGAAAACGGGCAGTCCCATGTTACCAACAATAAATTTGGTGCTGGGAGTGATGAGCGAGCGACCAATGTGCTGGTTCATATGTACTCATGACATATATTATGATTGCGTGAAGGAGATTAAGATGTTGAGAGTAACGGGCTCTTGCCATGGCTAACTACGATAGTCTCATTGTCATTGTTTCAAAGGGGCCCAGTGGCTCCACTCCTTGTTCGATTGCCTACTTTAGGTATCCTCGACGGTTTGTCATCCTCCTAGCCTCCTAGCTAGTGCTCTTACCGTAGTTCTTGCTTGCTCACGTGCTGTGCGGTAGTCGATCGCTGAGGACTCGACTCGACTCGACTCATGATCATCCACGCGACACCGTTTCCAAGAGGTTTCAACGAGATCGGCCCACTCCAACCACCTGGACTCCAGCTAGATCTACTACTGAGTAGTCTAGTAGAGCTAGCAGCTCAGCATTAACGTGTTCGTTGCAATTTCATGCAGAAAGGCTTTGCTTATTTTCTCAAGCACGCACTGCATGTAGGCTAATTTCGTTGGAAGATCTGGCAAAAAAGCCGATGCTGTTTCAGGTACTGTGTTGGCATCCGTGCCTGGATCGATTTGCCAGACAAACACATGCCACCAACTTCAGGGATACCTTGCAATTAACTATCGTTTCGGAAGACGATGCGTGAGGAGCCGATGATTCGAGAAACCTACGCTTCCCCCCTCAACGCTACCTTTGATTGTGGAAGTACAAGCAAGCCCCCCCCCCCCCGCACAGAGGAACAACTTGGCCTTTCATCCTAGACTATAATGTAGTTTTCCTCTCAGAAGCTCAATGACCTTCCTCTGTGGAGATAGCCAGCTGGATACAACATCTGATGGATGTGATACCGGTATGGTTGTAAGTTGAGCAGTAGCGCAGCGGCTGTACCTGGTACTGGTACTAGACTAGCTACTGTAGTAGTTTGCTTGACACCTTTCGAGAAAAGGCATTGTGGTTTCCATGTCACGGCACACGAAGGATCCAACGTCCGCCCCCACATGTTATCGCAAACAGCTTCACAAGCTTAGTATGTGCCGCGCGAATGAATAGCATAAAAGCAATTGGAATCGCATCGAACAGTCCAGATGCGGAGGGTCGTGATGGTGAAGATTCCAGAGTCATAGGAAAGCATCCTTCTTTTAACTCTTCGATGCCCGGTGAATGGAAAGTGGCTTAGATTCCAATTGTCCAGGCAGATTGTATCACTCATTCGATTGAATCATTCATCATTCATTGTATTATAGAGTCTGAATGTTGGGGTAAATATTATTAGTCTGCTCAGTGAGATGGGCAGTTGTCTTTTTCATAATCAACAATGTTGTGATTGGAGTAGTTTGTTCATACCAGTGAAAGTTTACCTCAAAGACCATCCAAAAGTATCTTTTGAACTCGATATTTCTGTATTTCTGTTCTGTTGGGGTATCCAGAAGCGCAGTACCGCTGTATAGTACCGCAAGACCGCTGTACCGCTCGAAGAAGAGAACATACAGTCTAAAGACACCACCTTCAACGACATACGAACAGATACCCCGATACTGCCCAAGCAACAAGCCAAACCTACTGAAATTGACCACTGGTACAGGAAGTCATTAAATCGTATGCTGGTCTAAAGTCAAGAGCATCTCACTCGTGGCGCGAGTATTGACCGGTACAACGGTACAACAGGAGGGTATCAAGACCACCACTTTACTTTTGACGATTAGAAGAAGCCACATCAACGAAAACCCAACGAAAACCCAACGGGCAGCAGACATCAAACCACCGTACTATTATCTGATTCTATTATCCATGACAACAACAATCGCAACCATGTGCTGCGACGAAGATCGATTATCTCGAAGCCGGACCATGAGGAACCGCCAGCGTCCTGCATCGATGCAAACACCTGGTAGGTCCAAGTCACTGTTGGTCGACTATTCCAAACAACGAGTGCCCATGGTAGAGGAGGAACTCAAGGCGTTGGACGATATCCTAATAGGTACCAGCAGCCATCACTCCAAGGGAACCTTTGGAGGAGACGACAATGATGACGAGGATGACTTTTTCCATGACAGCTTTGCCAAGGAGAATAATGACAGCTTTAACATGACTGATACCCCCTCGCTCACCATGATGATTGCGGGAGGGAGAAGAGGCAGTATGGTCAAGGCCATTCAAGAAGACCAAGAAGTCTCCAACAGTTCCTTGGGGATGCCTGATTTGGCACCCATGGAAGAAAAGGGATCTGACCAACCAGCAAAGCAAGGAGAAGAGGAAATTTCCCACAATTCCTTCTCTGCCAACGATACTACTTCAAACGACTGTCCCGCCACTCCACGAAGGAACACACGCAACAACCGAAGAAATCTCATGGCAAGTACTCGCATGCATCAGAGCTTATCCAGTCTGAATTATAGTGCGTCGCCCAATGCCCTCTCTTTCTCGTTGCGTCGAAGAACATCCGTTCGACGAGGACCCCCAACCGAAGGCGAAGGAGGATCGTCCACGTTGGACCGATTCCACAGCTCGCTGGCACACATTGACTTTCAAACGGACGACTTGCTTGACTCTCCCTCGGTGCACACGACTAGGACCACGAGGACAACTAGCACGGGCACTACCCACAGCAGCAAAGTAGGAGAGGCATCGCCCCAGCAGAAGAATCCCTCCCGCGATCGACGGTCCATGTTGGTACGACATTCCAGTGTATCCGCCTTGGAATCGGGAGATCGCCAGTTCAAGGTCGATATTGCCAGTCCCATCGCTACCCGGGGTGCGTCTCGAAAGTCAATGCTGCAGAGGTCGGCAACAGTGGAGCCCCGGGGCAGTCATCACTTGCCGGGATCGATTCAGATTAGTAAACCTCGACGTTCGGCGTCCAGTCGCACCTTGGGATCTAGTCGACACAGTACGACTAGTAACCATGGTTCCAGCAGCCACAATACCAATCACAAAAGCATCAATGGGTCAAGTCATCACAGCCGAAGAAGCACCAATACTACCAGGAGCAACAACAGCAGCACCATTGGTGGCAGCAGCCATCACAGTCGTCAAAGTCGTGGGGTGCGATCCAACCGGACCATGCCCAAAATGATGAAAACCGCCATGGAAGACTATGTCGACGACGACGAAGAACGCAGCATGAGTGCCTCTACGCAATCCTACTTTGGTACGAGCAGCCGGAGACGTCAAAGTGCTACTGGCGCTCCGCCATCACGAAGGGATGTGATGGTTCGCCAATTGTCGTCCAGACGGCATTTGGGTACCAATGTCAAGTCACAACGATCCTTGTTGGGCGACAGCAACAAACAAAGGAATACCATGGACGACTCGTCCTTCTTTGTCACGGGATCGAGGATTCGAAGGGGTTCTTCTTGTCGTCAGTTGTTGTGTTAAAAAGTGTTGCTTGAAAACCAAAAAAGAATACCAGCCCCCTTTGATGATTAGTCAACACAACGGGCTGAAGAAGCAACACAATACAGCGGAAACTACTGCAGGAAGATAGGATGAAAAACATAGCTTGCTAAAAGATACTAAAGAGATCATTGGGATGCATGAGATTGAATGACCTAGCTAGCTAGCATAGATTTAGCGTAGTGGGCGGTGCAAAGTTTCGATTATCCCCACCTCGGTAACTGCAATTGCGCGAGTGTCAGGCTATCTTCCTACCCTTCCTACTTCACCTGTCATCCGTTCACGTTCACTATGCACGACGAAAGGAACCGACTCCTAGCCTGCCTGCCAGCAGAACAGATCGATCAGTACTTGAAGTTTTGAAAGGTATCCCTCCGTTCTCGTCGGCACTAAGTTCTCCACCAGCCAGGAGCCAGTATAAATGCATGTAGACCGTACTACTCCGCCGATTAACGCCATTCAGGAAGGAGGCGCTCCAGGGCGCCTCCGGAATGATTCGAGGCGCGAATAGACGCCTCCCCTAAGCTATAAAGGCGCATGTTAGTGTGACAATGAAACTAGCTTATAAGCATTGGACAGCTGGAAAGAGCAGCTCTTTTTACGTAGGGCAACCTATGGGTGACGTAGGCGGATTCCAGACTGATGGGAAGCTGGAGCAGCGAGAAAGTGGCCAATTCCCAAACATCGTTGGTTTGAGGAATTTCTCACCATGGCGTTCCCTCCAAGACCACCCACAGCTGGCCAGAACTCACAAGGGCGTGCCAGCAGCGTTCCAACATACCAACGGGAGGTAATAGATGTAGCTAACCTGTTACAAATGCCACTTATCCGAAATTCTCCTCCACTTTTGGGGGGCAATGAAGTTGAACCAAATCCCGTGAATCAGCCCCAAGAACAACAACAAAATACACAAACAGCAACTGCTCCAGAGACAATGGATGTACCCGTCACTCAGGGCAATGCAAAGAAGAAAAGGAAGACACAGAAATTTGCCAAAAGGAAGATGATGGCCAATTACCAGCTGTTTGTAAAAGAAGAAAATTTGGACCAATTCCACGATCGATATCGTTCGACTGACTCTGGACAGATTCGCATCTTCGGCAAAGTGAAGGAATGTCCAACAAAAGAGAATGGGAGGAAGTATCGAATACAATGGGATCTACGCGACACCAAAGGAGTAGATCCTGGCTGGCTGAAAGAAACTCATGAACCAACAGAGAAAACAAAGGAGCTTTTACAAGAAGCTTTTGACCATCATGACAAAGACCCACCAACAAACACAGGGAGGAAGAAACGTCCAGATTCTGCAGTGGCTAACAACAGTGCGACACAACCAACTGCAACTACAACAGCAACTACAACCACAGGGAATGGAACACCACCGAGGCATGTCAGGGCGCAGCTGCTCGCCAATGTGCGAACGTCCGCGGGATCAACTGTTAGCTCTTTGAGCAGTCGCTCAATGTCAACAAATTCTGGGTCTGGTAATCCATCTGTTCGCACACGTTCTGCAGCAAGGGACGACGATGACAGTGACACTCAAATGTCTGTCGATGAGAACAGAGAGGACCTTGAGTCAAACCCGCCGGATTTGGTAGGTGGCGCCATTCAGGAAAATCCGTGGGACGACGATAATGTCAGTTTGTTGGGAACTCCCTCTAACGAAGAAGAAGAAGAAGAAGAAGAAGAAGAAGAAGAAGAAGATGCCGAAGATCAAACTCCAGCTGTAGACGCCCTTGGATCAATTAACCAGCTTATCAGGCAGCTCAAATGGAAGTATGCAGTTGTGGATATGACACAAGAAGACCCAATTCTTGACAAGAATATTAGGAAGTTCTATGATGGTCCTCAAGGCTTACAGGAGGGCATTCCCACTGCTTTTACCAGTCCCTTTGATTGCTTCGAAGTGTGTGGGGGGTTGAACAAAACTTTGGTGGCAAGGCTTGCCGCTGGTTCAAATGATTACTTTCATCGATACATCAAGGAAGGTTTAGACCGGAACAACATGTATCAAAACCTGAAATGGAAAGACATTTCAGTGCAGGAAATGTATCGTTTCCTAGGAATTCTGTTGCGAATATCAATGTCACCAGTTGACGATGGTGGCTATGAGGCTTATTTCAGATTACAGGACAAGACTGTTCATCCCGGAGGCGGTGCTCCAGGAGTGCAAATAAGCAATACTGCTGGTTGGGCGCAGAAAGTCATGACACTGCAACGCTTCAAGCAAGTACGTGGGGCATTCCATCCAGAAGAAAAGAGTGCAGGTGCTGGAGGGGACAAATGCTATCAGCTGCGACACCTAATCAATCACTTCAATGCAGTCTCTAAGTACACATTCCATGTGCCGGTTGATCTTTCTTTTGACGAAGGAGGAGTGGGTTGTCGATCTCGATTCTGTCCGGTTCGACAATACAACAAAGACAAACCACAGAAATTTCGTGTTGACTTCTTTGTCTGTTCCTGTGCACGCAATTACCAGATTCTGCACATTGATGTTTATCAAGGAAGAAATGGTAACAACGTTGGAATCAACTCAAACTGCGAAGACATGCCAACAACGCAAAAGGCTGTTGCGAATGCTTGTTATGCCCTTGGTCTGGACAAAAAGACAGATGGAGCACGTCACATTTCGATGGATAATAGATATCAATGCCCTCAATTGGCTGTCTTGCTTCGAGAACGTCTCAATTGCTACAGCACTGGTACTTGTAAATCCAATCGAATTGGTTGGAAAGAAGCTCAATTGAATGTCAAAAAAACAGAAGAGAGGGGAACATCAAGAATGGCTTATGACGATCAGAACCGTGTTACTTGTGTCCAGTGGAATGATTCTCGAGTTGTCAATGTCGTCAGCACACTCAATACATCCAAGCTAGATGAATGCAAGCGGCAAATAGGAAGCGAAAAGAAGACATTTCCATGCCCATATGTCATTCGAAAGTACCAGCGCGATATGGGTAGCATCGATCGGTCAGATCAAATGAGGATGCATGGTGGTGGCTTTTCCAACAAAGCTCACTTCAAGAAATGGTACAAGAAAATTTATCTTGCTGTTCTTGACTGCATGCTGTTGAATTCATGGATTGGGTGGAATATGGCCGTTGATCTCACAAATCTAGGAAGACGAAAGTTGAAACGTCATGAGTTTTATCAGGTCATTGCGCAAGAGATGTTGGATTACAAGGACACTGGTTCTCTTGCCAAAGTGCCGGCTGCAACAATCCGTTATGAGACAAACCATCAATACAGCAGTACAGAAGCGGCCCATATTCCACAATCAGCCAGAGGTGTTCGCTGTGTTGTTTGTCGGTTGGAACGAGGCTGGGTTACAGAGAAGGCTTGGAAGGGCAATTACAAACTTGGCGAAGCTGGTATGACAAGTGGAGTTGCAACTTGCACTGCTTGTGGTGTTAGTGCACATACCGCGGTGCTCCTTGATTCTGATCGACGAATCCACAAGCTACCAAACTTTCAACGGATGTCGTGCTTTCGCATGATGCATACGAGAGAAGGATACGAGCTGTGGGAGCGGCAGCCGGAAGGTGCAAGGTACCGGTTCGAAACAAACAAACAACATGCAATCTATCGACAATTACGTGAGCACTATTGCCTGCCATTAGAAAGAAAGCGTGGTCGAAACAAAGATGATACAGAGACCCATACTACTAGCGATAATGGCACTTGATAATTTGATGTTAACGATTATTTGCGACTATGCACGATTTAGAGTGCCATGGGAGGGGGTGGCTGCAACTTGTCATTCTTCGAGTTGTCTTCCTTTGGCCACCCTTTCATTTTCGAAAGAAGAGGTTTCTTGTTCTTCTGTTCGGGAACATCCTTGAAAGTTGGGAACCAGTGCTGAATGGTCCTTTTCTTGCTCTTCTTGCTTGTTTCCACAGGCGAGAAAGCCAAACCGTCAGCAGCAACAGCTGAAGTCTTCTCTTTCGAATCATCAACAGCTGCAGGCTTGGAGTTGTCGGTGGCTGGCTCGTCGGCGGCAGGCTTGGAATCATCAGCAGCAGGCTTGGAATCATCAGTGGCATCAGTGGCATCAGCATTGGCAACAGCAACAACCTTGTTCCCATTCACCATCCTCTTCGGCGGTGTGTCTCCACAAGGGCCAGACAACGCAGAATCCAAAGCTTCATCCATCTCTCTGTCCTTGTCGACAGCAATCTTCTCACCGTCAAGCTCTGTATCAGTGTCAGTATCAGATGACAAGTAGATTTCCATCTGCTTCTTGGCCTGTTTGGCAGATGGCTTGAAGCCAACGTATTTACCTTCTGGGTCAGGATAATGATCCTTGATCTCCGTCATCATGCAGCGGGGCACTCTTACACGGTTGCCACCTCCCATGTATCCTCGCCACAAGCGAATGGAACCACTGTACAACTGGAATCTAATCTCCTTGTTCGACATTCCGGCCAACTCCATGGGCTCCGCAACGTCCCTGAATAGAAAGTCATAGTAGTCATCAAGAAGACATGGAGCACGCAGGCAAAAGCGACATTCCTCCACACCCTCCACGTAGTCCGTGTAGCCTTCGAAGCCAAGACCAGACTTGGCAATGGGCGGGCAATAGTTGAACATGTTTTGGAAATGATTGCTGAAGAAACAAGAAAGCTTTTCCATCTTCTCTTCTTCCTTGCTCACCTGGGCCTTGTTGCTCATGTCGCGAACTAGCTTCTCTTGGATGCGGGCTTGCGCCTCCTTGTTGGTCACCACCCTGAGCGCATCACATGCCTTGTCAAACTGGTCATCACACCAAGTTTTCAGACCAAGAGTGGCTTTGCCATCTTTCATTGTCTTCTTCATACGGTCCGTCATGATAAATTTGTTGTAGTAATCGTCGTCAAAAAAAAATTGCATTGAAGATTGTGAGCTCTATCAACGAACAATAGGATTGGCTTCTGCTTTGCCAAAGCGGGAGCAGTCAATTGTAGCATGCAAGGCATCATTGGCTTTGCTTCTACCAATGCTGGTTGTAATGATAGAAGTGTCGGCGACATTGTTGGAAGCACTGGCGGCAGTTCTGCCGCCATTGTGCTGCTGTTGCTTTTGTTAAAAATTGGGTGCTATTAGCGCTTATAGTGGCTGAGGCGTGCTTTGGGAGGCGCTCGGAGCGCCTCAGTTTGTACAAACTGAGGCGTGACATCACGCCTCCATTATCCTTAAAAATCGCGTTTCTTGAATGGCGTTAAGTTGAGAATTCTCAAACCTACCAGCTTCTACACAAATCTGAAGATCAAGTTGAGAATTTTCCTTTCACCCTAACCCAAACCATCCAACTGATTCAAAAATCCTGACTGCTCATTCTGAGGAGTTATCACCTTTTTCAAAATTCTCGACTTTATCGGTGGAGTAGCGTACATGTAGGGATGTGCCAGTCATGAAGAATATGGAAGATGATCTATTTTCTGTTATGAATTGGTTTTTAGCGTCTGCGAATGCGGCTACCTGTCACGAAGAGCTGCTCTGTCCCAGTTCCAGCATTCGCGCCTGGGTTTCCTCTGGCCAAGAAGTTGCGAAGGGAGGTAAGATTGCTGCGCGCAGTATCTGCAGAGCCCGCAGATTCACGGGAGCTGACACTGTCCATTGAAGCCCTGCGGGATGCTCTTCGGTTGTTGCCGTTGCCGTTCAAATTCTCCAAGCCCATGAGCTTGTTAAGAGAACCGGAACTGTTTGACCTCTTGACTCTTGTGTGGTCGACGGCGCTTCGTTCTGAAGAATCCAAAGCCGAACCAAGCGATCTGGAGCTCCTGTTGTGGCCTTCTTCGTTACTTTGGGTTCTACGAAGAACCGCTCTTTGAGGATTCGATCTTGGGTGTTGAGTGGGACCGTCCAACGTGTCCCCTTCACTACTTTTGCTTCGTGTAAGCCTTCTCCTGGCTCTCCTCTTGTCGTTGGTTCGGTTGCCTGGGCCCAAGCTCCTTCCGGAGTTGTTGCTCATCACGCCGTTACCGAGGCTCCTGGCGCCCAAGCTTCTGCCGGAGTTGTTGGTCATAAGTGCGCTGCCTCCAGCGCCGAGGCTCCTGACACCCAAGCTCTTGCCTGAGTGATTGGTCATAAGACTTCGATTCGAGTTGCCTCTTGAAAGGCCGCGCCCACTGTTCATGATGACGCTTCGACCAGAGTCACCTCTGACAAGACGGCGACCGGAGCTGTTGCCCATTACGCCTCGGCCAGAGACACTCTTGTCGCTGCTACCAGCTGCCGCCTTGCACCCCCCTTCAATGAGGATGCGTGCAGAAGCATCGTTCATGAGCTCGCCCAATGAACTGCAGCTGTCGGTTCTTGCAAGACCCGAACGAGAAGGAGTACCATCCGGGTTGATGACGATCATCTTGGCGCCAGTGGAGGACTGGCTTCTTCGGATAGACCGCCTGTTGGCCTTTCTTGGGTCGACTGGTTCCGGCTCGGGCTCTGCTGCAACGATACGAGGAAGCGACATCGCATTGATCGCAGGTGCCAGAGGGTTTCTCTTGGAGGCCGGCTTCTGGGCAACAGTGCTTGGGATGAGACCTCCAGGCATACTTCGGAGGCTGTTGCTGCGCTTGAAGATGGATCCGCGAGTGTCATCCTTGGGGATCAGGTAGCCAAGACTCCTGCTGCTGTTTCGTCTCTTCAGAGACTCTCTTGCTTGTGGGACGGTAACAGTGACAGTCTGATCGACTTCAGGGGCCAAGGCAGCATCCAGAGTTGCGTTTGTTTCGCAGCTTCCATCGCCTAACAGCTTCGTTAGGGCCTGTTCCAGACGAATGGCACTTGGCACCACCTCCTTGGGCTTGGAATCTTCCTCAGCTTGGGTCCGTCTTCGCAGGGCGAAGCACACGCTCTCGCTTGCACTTCTAGTACATACACTCTGAGAGGCACTCTGACACGTGCTGCCACTGCAATGATTCTCGGTGAAGCTTGGGGTGTGCGTGGTCAGACTAGCTGTTAGGCTGTCCGCTACGCTCATTTCTCCCTTCAGGTCCTTGGAGTCTTGGTGGTGTTCCATGCATGCGAAGGAGCACAGCGAGTCGTCATCTGAGAAGTCTGACAGTTCACTGATGTCATCAGGAACGTCAGATTCACTGCTTTCGCTGTCTTCTTCGCTGCTGCTCTCCTCGCTGCTCTCGCTGTCGTCGCTGCTCTGACTTCCACTGGTGTCCAAGTCACTGTCGCTGCTCTCAGCGCTACTGCTTGCGCAGCTACTGCCGCTCATACTTGTGGTCATGGCATCCAGAAGGCTGCCTTTCCCTGTACTGGTGCTCTTGGAGGTACCGGTCTCTTCGCTGCTCTCTTCAGTTCCTTCGTTTTCGCTTGTGCTGTCGCTGTCGTCAAACGATTGAGTGGAAAAGTCAAGCAAGGCCTCATCAATCTCCCATTGTCGAGTGCCGACGGAGTGTAGTGTTTGCGAGAGTTGGGACTCTCTTCGTGGTGGCTCTGGTTGCTGTGGCTTGTTGAAGCTGCTCAAGCCTGGCAGATCTTCGTCTTTAGCGCTGCTCTTAGTATACATGCTCTGGTAGCTGGAGAGGCCATGGTGTTCGCTCTTGGAGCACTTGCTGAGGCAAGATACAGGGGCAACATCGGTTTCGACCGGTTTCGGCCTGTCATTGGTGGCCACGGGAGTCTTTCCAATGTGGAGAGACTTCGAGAGGCGGTCGTCGGTTTTGGCCCGTTGCTTGGAGTAGTCTACAAGCAGCACAGGGGCTGATCGTCGCCCATTGCGTCGTTGGATTCTAGAGGTCATAGCTGGTTGCTGCAACAAAGTGTTTGTTGGGCAAAGATAGACTACTGCGTAATTGTGAGCCAAGCAACATTAATGTTGAGCGAATTCGCACCCATTCTTCAAGCCGGCGCGGTTGTGGTGGTGGTCAAGAGAGCTTCAGAGATTGTGCCACTGAACGAATCTAGTCAAGTTTATCTACCGTATCGTCATTTCCTTTAAATATGATTGTCCCTATGTGTGGTCCTAATGACCTAGGAACGCTAACTACTTAATGGAAGAGATTATGAAAGTCATAAAAATATACCACGTCAGACAAAATAATAGTCATAAAAGAACACCAGAAGAGAATCATCTTAAATCAGAAGAACCAGCATTAAGGGCTGAAAGAGCTGCTGAGAGCATGTAGGTGACACATCTTGGAACACGTCAGGAAGAGGGTAACTCTTCTAAATCTCATTTTCTGCTGTATAGCCCAATGATTTGACGGAAAGCAGAAAGAATTCCAATGTCAGATGCCACAATTTCAAGATTTATTGGTAGTTGCATCCGAGAATGCCTGCAATGATGAACGTAAAGCATTGATTTAACCGCGTGTTACTGTTTGGCTCTTCTGGGCATCTTTTGGATAAGATGGAGGAGATCATCATCTTTAGTGGATCTAAAATCGTTTGTTACAGTACGACATGCACTCTGAGAAATATGTTGCTCGATAGTTTTTCATTAGCCCTCATTGCCTCATTGACTCTGGGTGGGGCTCTCAACTTCCCCTTGATGATTTGAACATTCGGCAGCCAACGAATAGCCCTCAGCACCACAAAACCCTCCTCCACTCACAGTTAAGTTACTCGAGTAGTTTGAAGCAAAGTTCCGGTAAATGGCCCAAGGAGGACGCACATTCTCATTCTCCAACTTGTTCCTGCATCTCATTTTGTGGCTTGCGGATACCAGTTTACTTGAGTAAGCTGTAGGACCGAGAAAGCAGCTTGGGTAGACCTAATTCCTTCCGACAGCTAAGCCATGCGACGCAAATTGCCTCCTTCAATGTGATCTGATTAACTGTAGGTATGGGTAAATAGAGTACGAAATTTCTATACAAGATATTGTAATTTTGTTCGACGTGACATCAGCATTTTTGTCCTACAAGACTTGAATCAATTAGGCGAGGGAATGGATGCTAAGTCTGCAGCATTGGTGTGCCGTATCTTTTTGGAGGGAAACCAACAGTCCCTCACAAATTGGATCCGTGGAGGTTCGTGTCATTGAAATTGAATTGCGAGTCAACAACAGCAACAACCATTCCAACAACAAAACAATGAGGATCAATACTACTAAGGCTTTTTCAAAGTGGTTGCTAGAGATTAATGTCTACCCATTCAATGAGTTGAGGGGAACCAGGCACAGCTTTGAGCTCAAGTATGTAATTTTGGAGGATGGAGGGGCAACAGCACTAACTTACCATACATTCATTTGTGTGCCTGTGACTTGCTTTGACCCCCCCCAGTTGGAAGGACTCATCATTGCTGGAACAGCCAGGCCAGTGCCTCCTGATATGAATGAGATCATTGACACCATGGAGTATTGGGGTGCCAACCACAGTATTGAGTGGTATTGCATTGTTCTTGACATGCTTGCCAGCATCATTGACTACCAAGTCCTCCTTGACAGGAAGTCCAAGTTGAAGCAATGCATCTATTGGTTGGCTGCTGAGTATGTTGGCAAAAGAGGATTCATGGGCAACTCAAATGAGTACAAGCAATGCATGGAAGCTTGGAGCTCATGGTATGACCAGACTTACAGTGGCATAGACTGGACCTTCAAGGGATTGTCAATGGAAACTGAGCATTACTTGGATGGCTGTGTCAACCACCTCCATATCAATGGTGTGTTGGAGACTCATGAACAGCCTGGAATGTACAACTTGGATGGACCTGACTCCATCTCTAGCGCTGGAAATTGAAGTGAAAAAGAAAACTGTTGGTGTTTGTTATCTAGTAGTGAAGCAGTAAACAATAGCAGAAAACTCACCTGTTTGTACTCCCACCACTCATCTACATTCCTCACACAGTGAGCGCTTGTTGCATTAGTACAGTCTGGGCCCATTTTCCTCTCTGGATGGTGTTGCTTTAGCTGAAAGCACTTGCCACAGAACTCGCGGTAGCAGTTGCTGTTGCCTCCTCTTGTCTTGCCGCCCTTTCCTTCCTCTGGCTGATGTTCTGTCTTCCTCCATCCACAAACAATACAGAACATCCTGCTTCTGAAACGCTTGACTAGTGGTGGTGGAGGAGCGACTGCTGGGACTTGCGGTAGCACCATTCGATAAGGAGCCACCATTCGGCCTTCCACGTACACTGGCTGGGTGGTTGTGGCGACAGTTCGTACTGCTAAGTCTGCATTGAATGCCGCTGGATTACCAAAAGGCGTTACAGCACCAGGATGTATCACATACCGTGGTGCTTCGGTCCTTTCAGCTGGTGCAATCGGTCGAATGCCTTGTCTTGCTGTCCGTAGTTGTTGGTTAAGACGATGCCTTGCTTCATCATTGTCGGTGGGTGCACTCTGCTGTAGCGACTGGTGTGCTTCTTTTTGGCGAAGGTAGTCAAGCAACTGGGTTGTACTCTTGGGCCTGATTTGGATGACTGTCTCATCGCCTTGACTCCAAGCCTTAAATCTGTTAGATACTTCCTTGTTCCAGTCGCGAGCAAAGGCATGAAATGATTTAGGACCAGAGCTCCTGTCCTTGCTGTACCGGCCAACCCACTCATCGAATAAGGTACATTCGGCCTTGTCAACATCTGTTTCTGCCGTGGAACTGTCAGGAGCTCGAAGAGGGAACCAGGGCTGGTTGTTGGCTAGTCGCTTGAAAGCATCTTTTGTACTCTCCAAACCATTGGATCGCGGAAGAAGACGTTGGATTTCCTCTTGAATAGCCTCTCGGTTCACTGTAAGATCAGCATTGGTGGCCATGGTCGCTATTTCCAGTTGCTCCAGTTCGTGCAAAGTGCGTGGGTTAGCATCATTGTTTCCAACAAGATCGGCCTCATCAATAAATACCTCAATGTCAAGGTCTTCGCCCATAACTCTGCGTAGTGCTTCCATTGCCGGTTCTTCTTCCTGATTCGGTTCTGCAGTACCGTCAGCTGCGTTGTCATAGTCAGTGGAACCATCCATTGGATTGGCCACTGTGTCATTGTCATTGGCTTCAGCGCTCTTGTAACAAAAGCCCATAAATTCCTTTTCAGGATGTTCTGCAGGAGCGCTGACCTTGTCAAATGGGAGATCTTGGTCCTTATATCCAAGTGTCCGGGCATAATTGTTCAACATCAGAAGCTTCTCTGTGTGACAAGTACCATAATCCTTCATTCCCAAGCGTCCGATTGCCTTCTGATGATTCCTCGACTCAAAGAAACAGACAATTAGCCGCTCACCACAATGGATGCCTTAATAAAATGACAGTGGTCAAAAACGCGATGTTAGAAAATGACATGGACGTGTACGATAACACCAAGTTGAAGGCAAGTACCAATATGTGTGGCTGTCAAGATCAAGTCAGCCAAGTCCAAGTTGTCTCTCTCATTGCTGTTAGTACCACGGGCAACGTAGCAGACACCTGTCTTTGTGTTCAATCGAAAGATGTTCACCAGATAACTGGGCGGATCACTCAGACAACCCTTGTCAATGTGTGAGAATTGGTCTTGGATGAGTTGTCGCAGCTTGGCATTGAGCGGCTTAAAGAATCGTTTGGGTGCAGGGGATATATCTTCAGCATCGCGTGTGGCAAGGAAGGCATCTGTTGCACTGTCTTTACCAAGGCAATAATTGATCAAGGACTGCACATTAGAGCGCAGTACATCTGGTGGTGGAATGGCAGACTTGGCTTCACGTAGGATCTCTTTGGATGTTGGTTCCCGGTTCTTCTTCTGCGTAAGCTTCTCCTTCACTCGTTCATATTCCAAAGGATCAACAACAAAGAGGGCACGGTGCAATAAAGCTCGAAAGACTCCAGCTTGACTTGATTGCGAGTCAAACATCAAAGGGTTAAATCGCTTCATGAAGTGAAAGACATCCAACTTGATGAGTGCACCTGGGAAAACAAAACCAAGGATTTTGTTGACGTTGCAACAGTTATCCACGTATACCACCTTGACTGACTGCTCCATCGGCCCTCGAAATGAAGCCATGACCTTGCCCGATATCTTGCACTGTTGCCCCAGTTTTGTTTGCCTCAGGTTCCTATTCAATCGTCTCCTGAGGCGACAAAGGTCATCCTTTATCTCACTAAAGGACTCGCTGTTCTTCAAAGCTTTCCAAAAAACTGTGAGACCATCTTCGTTTTGACCTGTAATGAGACACTTAAATGGAGCAAAGCTTTTACCTTGCTTCGTCCAGACATGGATCTTGCTCGCAAGTTTATAGTTGAAGTCCAACTTGACAATGCTAGCTGTCAGTCCTTGCATCTTGCTGTCCATGAAGTCCTTGCGATGCTTGAAAACATGGATGACAATGCTGTCAATTCGGTGCTTGCTCAGAACGCGGCCATTGTATCCCTTCTTATCATCGAATTCGGTGAATAGTTTGGGACGCAATGATTCTGCAGACTCTTCCTCCGGTTCTGATTCAGCTTCCTCCACATTCGCCGCTCGATATTCATTCACTGCATTGATGGCTTCACCCCAGTCAGACTCTGCTTTCATCAAATCACCTTGCAGTTCTTGTTCTTTCTCCTTCCAACCATGATAAAAGGAGCGGACTTTCTGCTGCCATCCAGGCAACAGTCTTCTCAGAGTTGGTGGCTGATCGTCAGGATCAACAGCAAGCAATGCTTTCATGGAGAAAATTCCAGCATCAATAAGGCGGCGCAACTTGGTGCTGCCAAGGCCCTTCAGCAAATTGCGTTCTCCGTGGACATTGTGGTTGTCTTTGGATGGAAGCATTTGCGAGAATTGGACATCGCTTTCGCTCTTCCTCGCCGCAGAAGCATGGTCCAAACGGAGACGCAACACCATCCTGTGCCGGTCATCTCTTTTCTTGATCAGCCTCGCAAGCTCGGGGTCGCGAATGGCTTTCGCAATCATTGAATCAAGAGTTTTCTGTTTTTTGGTGGGGCGAATCTTGTCAGCGGCGACTGCTGCTAGGTACAACTGGAAGCTTTCGTGGTACCGGTCATAAGCCATGTTCTTCAACCTGCGTGCAATCACAGCGGTGGCAGTGTTAGCAGACTCCTCCACGATGAAACGGTATACCTCATTGTCAACTGCATATCCGTGTCCCAAGTAGAATGTAAAAAATCCATAATACACCGGAGCATCCAATTTCATAGATTCCTTGTTGTAGCCGGCGAATCGCCTACCGCATTTCGAACAGGGATAGAGCATCGTATCAAGGTACCTGTTTGTGGAGAGTCCGTAGAGTATCGACGGACTATTCAACCATCTTGCTTTTTTAACTTCCACAAAATCATTTTTCTTGCAATGTGGGCAGCATGGAATGTGGTTCTCGATCAGCTTGTGTGGAACCCACGCAGCGCATCCCTTCACGTAGAAACTCTCCTCTCCAGCTTTCTTTGTTTTGTTGTGCAGTAGGTGGCTGTCATTTGGACCTGACCGTGGCAGGATGTTTCGCCAGTTGTGCTCAGTGAAGAACGCGCGAGCATTAGCATCAATCTGTGATCTTGTCTTGCAGATAAACCTCCATTGTGCCTCCCCAATATTCTTGGGCTTCCTTCCGGTGCTTGTCATTGCTTTCGATTGTGGTGGCAGAAGTGATAAGCTTTCACCGGAGCGTGGACCGCCACTGTGTTGGTGCAAATTTGAGGCCAATGCCGCCACACTCTCCGGCAAGAATGAAAATCCGAGGGGACTCGAAAATATTTCGGGAGTGTGGAAACAGAAAGTAACGTTTAACACAGAGATAAGACGTTTTGGGACGGAAATGAGCGTCAGGAGGTTTAAAGACTAGTTGTACGGAGATTTAGAAGGGGGATCAAAAGAATTGGAGGGTTCGGGATTTAGTTCAGTCATAGGTAATCTTTTTTTTCTTTTTTTTCTTCTCCTCCTGCGGGATACTAAGTCACGAACAGACCTTCAATGTTTGGAACACAGCTTACAGCCCATTTGGCTCTTGGTTGTTCTATTGTTCTATTCTTCATCGTTTGTCATCAACCGGGGAGATCGTGTATGTTGGTCGGATGCATGATTGCAAAACTGCTGCGAGCACGAACGCAATAGACTCGACTTCTCTGTGCGGACTGGCGGTCGGTTACTGGTATCACTCAAACCAAACTGTGAGAGCTCGAGACTGAGGTGGACAAGGTGACTGACTGTTAGTGAAATTCTGGCCGAGGCACGATGCTAGTAGGCTGTGGTGAGAGCTTTTTCCGGCCGAGGCGACAGGGGCAGCAGAGTTGGTCGCTCTATCATATCATGTATCGGTACTGAGCGCTCTGTCGTTGGTTTGCAAGTATTGGTAGCCATGAAACTATCTTTATTCGTACTTTTCGTTTTCACAAAGCTGCAAATTGGCATCAGCAGCCGTCGCCTACAATCAAGTGACTGAGGACTCGACTCACTCGACTGCCACTCAGTCTTCGCAGTGTCTTCACCACATTACAATACTCTCAGCAGCTTGTAGAGATGATGGCCTGCAGGCGTAGAGGGTAAGCTACGTTGTTTCCTGCACCAGACGGCACCCACTTGCACGTTTAGTAAAGGATCGAAACTATCATTACGATACCGGTAGCATTGTATGTTCTTGTTGTTGGTGCAGCTTGATAACAGTTGTTACGGTTGTTGTCGTAGCTGTTGCCGATTTGGTTAATGTTGCTTTAATTATTATGTGTTTTCGAGTCGGGGGACTGTGCGGATGTGCGGATGCGCACGTCGATGGTCTGGTGGTCTGGGTGCTGGGTGCTACTGTATGATATGTATGTCTTGTGCACGTAATGACCGTTCGTCAGAGCTGAAAGGAAAGTCGCTCTTATTTATCATATTTCGTGCGACAGTCGTCCTATTGCCCCGATGACGCGCGAAATAAAGAAGCCTGGGATTCTTCAACCCCTATTTAATTAATTAATTTATTCCAAAGAATGCGAACGCTTTTGCTTTTGCGAGTTTGGGGTTTTGCGAGCCTTTCTCTCCCAGCTCATTTCCTCGTAATAGTCTGGATCCGCACAGCAAGCAAACAACCGCAACAAAGCCGAGCCCATCGATCTAGCTAGTCTAGCTTGCTCTAATATACATCGAGAAGATTACACTTGAAAATGGATCAAACTGGAGACTCTCAGCCGCGGAGGCAAACTGATGGCTACGATGAAGAGGAGGCCGAGCTGAAGGGTGTCCGGGAGGCGGTGCTCGCCAAGATTGGGATGGATGACTCAAGGGCCAGTATTGCAGTCAACAAATCAGTCGGAATCCACATGAACGCGGATGAAGCACTTCTTAAGGATGTCAGAATGTCTGTACTATCATCGCTGGGGATGGATGACTCAAGGGCCAGTGTTGAAGGCAACAAATCAGTGGGAATCCACATGAACGCGGATGAAGCACTTCTTAAGGATGTCAGAATGTCTGTACTATCATCGCTGGGGATGGATGACTCAAGGGCCAGCAACAAATCAGTGGGAATCCACATGGACATGGATGAAGCACTTCTTAAGGATGTCAGAATGTCTGTACTAACATCGCTTGGGATGGACGACTCAAAGCCAAGCATGGACGCTTCTTGTACGGAAACTGTGCGAGATGACACAGTGAGCACGGCTACCAATGATGAGGAAGCTCAACCTTGCCAACGCACCTCTGAGGGTAGTTCCATCCCACAACGTGAAGATTTTTCGAAAACAGTTGAAAATGAAAATGAACTTGCAGGTAGGTCATTCCTTGAAATCGGCACAGCTGTCCCAGCAAACCCCAATGTCAACAGCACGATCGGAGGCACACTCAATGACAGTACACGTGCCCAAGAAATTCCCCTACCTCCTGGTGAATCCCTCCAACGTGCCATGTTGGCAAGAACTCTGGCTGCTCCGGGTGCCTATGCCATGCCTGGGACATATCATCCAGGTCGTAGTGGTGCACAACAGGGCAATGAAGAGGATAATGAAACAGAAACTGAAGAAGCTTCTTTGGCGCAGACTCAGACTGATCACCATCAAGGAGGAACAGAGGGCTTAGCTGTCGCTGATATGGTCATGGATGCAAGTGTCCCAACTCTTCATCAAGCAGAAGAAGTGACCCCTGAAGAATTGCAAAGGAACAAGAGGCATTCATCAGTTGCACAGCCATTGGCGAGGTTCCTGGCAGTTGGATTTCTGGGCATTGCCGTCTTGGTTGTGGTACTGGTACTGGTGCTGGGTCTGCCTCAAGACAGTAATGATGTTGGCTTTGGTGGTGATGGGATTGACGTTGAAGAGGCTGCTCCAGTCCCTCCAACTGAGACTCTGCCTCCTCTTCCAATGACGGCTGAGGAGCGTGTCATGTCACTGCTGCCAGACTTTACCATATCCAAACTCAATGACATTGACTCTCCTCAGAATAGATCCTTTGAGTGGATCATTCAAGATCCACTCTTTGACAACTACACAGATCACCGCATCCTTCAGCGCTTTGGCCTTGCTACATTTTATTATGCAACTGGAGGGGGGACCAAGACTCACTGGTACAGTGATGTTCATTGGCTCTCTTATGACCATCACGAATGTGTCTGGTATGTGAAAAACATTGACTGGTACCACAGCTATATGATCAACGACAATGAAAGCAAACCAGTTGGACCTTGTGATTACAATATTGATGAGCCATTCATTAGTGCCACTCCTCAGCAAATGGAGGAAGGGGGTATCTATCAACATCTTTGGTTGTACAATCATGATCTTGGGGGGTACATACCAGAAGAGCTTTCCCTTGTTTCCACCCTGAAGAGTATTATTCTCTTGAAGAACCAAATCAAAGGTTCGATCCCATCCCACCTGGGCAGGCTTTCAGATATGGAAGCCATATTCATATACAGCAATGACTTGTCTGGGACGCTCCCAACTGAGCTTGGGATGCTTCCAAATATCACATACATTTGGTCAATGGCCAACCCAGGGTTGACTGGGTCTCTTCCAAGTGAGATTGCTCAGCTGTCAACTTTGAAAGAGTTCTTGACAGACAGTTGCAACCTGACCGGGCAGATCCCTTCGGAACTGGGCCTAATGTCAAACCTGGAGTTCTTTTGGGCATGGAGCAACCCATTGACAGGTACTCTGCCCACAGAGCTTGGCCTTATGAAATCCATGCGTCGCTTTGGGCTGTGGAACTGCACCTTGTCTGGGAGCATTCCTACTGAAATGGGAAAGATGGAGTCTATGGATGAGTTGGCATTTGATGAAAATCGAAAAATGGTGGGCACCATTCCTTCGGAGCTTGGGATGCTGTCCAAACTGACAACTCTCCATTTTGGTGGAACCTCACGCACAGGGACAATCCCTACGGAGATTGGACAGTTGCCACTGGAATCATTGTTTCTAGCCAACTCAGGTCTTTCCGGCTCTCTTCCATCGGAGTTGGGCTTGCTCTCTGGTTTGTGGAGACTTTGGATTTACAATAGTAGCTTCACAGGAACACTTGCTACTGAGTTTGGATCTTGGCAATCATTGGAGGTAATGAAAATGCAAGAGAACCAGTTTTCGGGCCCAATCCCAAGCCAATTTGGACTGTTGGACAACTTGATTGAGTGTATCTTGCATGACAATTTCCTCACTGGGTCTCTTCCAAGTGAATTTGGAGAGTTGGAGCAGCTATCATTATTGTCCCTCGGCAACAACAGCCTAACAGGAACAATTGATCCAGAAATGTGCAATTCGAGTTCATGGATGACAGATGGAGCTGCTGGAATCCACATTGATTGTGATTTGGTGGAATGCAGTTGTGATGTTTGTGTTTGTGATTGACTGCTGTAGCTTTCGTGATTGATTTTAGAGCCCCCGGCAAGGTGCCGTACATAAGTTTATGCATGAATCTATTATGAGAGGACCCGTCTGCAAGTGCCACGAACTAGCTAGTAGTGGTGACAATCCGCTTTTTCGACACTGATGGAGATTCCTGGCTAGTGCTGCGTTATCGTTGCTTGCCAATGCTGCATTCGTCAATAGCTGGCCTTTCTGTTCGCCTGCCACCCCGTGTACGACCCACTGAATCTTCCTTCTCTTGGTCCTCGCAGCACGTCCCTCCTCGTCCCCCCTTGGTCTTGTCCTCCCTGCGTCGGCGACCACACGGAACGATATGGTCCTTGAGATGAACGAAGCAATCAACTAACTCCGCGTGCTGCTTGCAAATAAATAATCCGATGTCTGAGGCTTCGTTGTGCATGAATGCCATCCCTACAAGTTGGCTTGCCGATGACGTTGTCTTTTCGGTTGGGAGAAGACCGGGGTCTTTGAGGATGTGCTCCTAGATTTTCTATGGCTAGCCTCCTTGGTTGGGGCTAGTAGCAAGACGTTGCTTCGGCCGCCACCTTCTTGTGACATTGTCTTTTTGCCAAGCAGGGTTCTGTCGTCTTTCAGCTTTTTGAAGGCAGTTCAAACTGCCTTGCCGTGGCTTCTTGGGCAACCCAAGGGAGCGTGTAGCTAATCGTATCCTGAGTCGAGTCGAAGTTACGCTTTCGAGGTTTGACTGCCTACTGCGAGCAATAAGCAATTGAGATACCGCTACGCGTTGATGAGTTCGTTCACAGGGAAGCCAATGGTACGATCAAGGCAATGCTGCCTCTTCTTATCGGAGTTCCTGAGAGTAGACGCGACCTCTTATTAATCGAGAAACTGGCCATTCGCCAGTACAGACCTCATTATTGCAAACGCTGCTTGAACGATTTAATGTAGATACTTGGCCTCAACGCTGAGTTTTCTAGCCAGTTCCTGGCGGGTTACAACACGGTTATTGCGTATTGCACTAATGTTTATGTAAACATCTTCCATGACGAGAGAAGATTCGTATGGATCATGATCATTGATGCACTGGTGACGAGAAGGAAGAGACGCAGCCCTCAATGTACTGGGACGTGTACTTCGCCTACATGTCTCGCATGGTAGATGCTCTTTCTTCCGATCATGTGATAGAGTAGGAGATTCGACTAATCTTCTTTTTCCACGGATGGGGCAACCGCAACAGCAACAGGGGCGGTGTCCTCAAACTGCAAAGCTTCTTTAATGTACTTGAACGATAAACCTCCAAACACCAGTGCCGATAGTGCAGCCCCAGCCTCCCAGGGTATGTCTGCACTGTATCCAATCCCTCGTGCCATGAAGGTTGCCGTCAAGGGTATGATGGCCAGTGCGGTTAATTCCGCATTGCAAATTTGAATCATGCGATTGGCCAATGCTTCCCCAATGGGTTCAAAAGTGCCAGTGCCTTGCCGTGCAAATGCCCGCTTGAGCAGTGTTGTCGTGTTGAAGAAACTGGAGGCACCAAACACTCCCAAAAAAACAATTTTGAGCCAAAAGATGGGTTCGTGACTATAAAATTCCCATCCTTTGTCGTAACTGACCACACGTAGATACCCCGTGTAGGCCGTCAAGACTCCCAAGGCTCCAAAAGCCACGTCTACAACATTCATGAACTCTTCGTCTTTTTGGGACATGCCTGGTTGGATGGTCAACCGTTCTGTCGTGACACACGCCACCATTCCAAGGATACTAAAGTAATGTCCAAAGGCAGCCAGAGCAGAAGGCACTGCGTTGGGAGCACCGGCCACAGCAGCCGAAGCGTCGGCAGGATGATCTAGCAAGGCCGCCATGGCGACAGCGGATGAGATCCAAAAGGTTCTGGGATCCATACCGATACTGCTCCTATCATCATCCTGTTCAACAGTGCCGAGATGGAACGGGTCAAAAGATTGTGCCTCCAAGGATGGATTGTCCACGGGCGGCATGGTCATTGACAATAAAGCTCTTGAATGGGATACTCGATCCACACCAACTCGGCGAGAAAGCCTAGCTGGTGGCCCCCATGCCATGGCAGCTTGGAGGGCACAAAGGCCGACCAAAACGACGAAAGTACTGCCTTTTCGGGCTACCACCATGGTTGAGTTGGTTGTTGGTTTTCAAGTTAGTTGTTGAAATTATTTGTGGCTCGGCGTTGCGGGGTGTCAACGGGCTGTGTCAACCTCGATCTTTGTGCGTCAGATGGATTTGTATCTTTCGGGATCTTTCGGTAAAACGACGCTACTGTACCGATTGTTCCGGCTCCCTTCTCCATTTGCAGTCTTGTTCGTTCGGGACTCAGAAAAAGAAAGGCAACAAACCACACCACCACACCACAATCTTCATTGTGTTAAATTGTATCGAATTAGATCTGTTGCCTCATGCTGTGTAATACATACTGCTAGTATCGAGTTGTGTTGCGATGACGGACGTGTACCAGAAAGACAAGGTCTATGAAGGACCCAAGCTGAACGCTTATCCTCATGAAGAGTTGGGTGTCGTGGTGCGTAGAATTAGTACTGTTACTGCGGTGTATGCCACTCTGCTCTTCTCTCATGTACTGTGTTTTTCTCTGTCACATACGTAGAGAGGCCGTGCCAAGGACCCCTTAAAGTACCTGCAAGCCACGGAGCAACGAGCAAGAGAGCGACAAGTGGCCATTGAAACTGTCAAGATCCTTCGGAAGAGTGTCATCGAGTGCTACCGCAAGGAAGGAGTCAATCACTACGAAAACTGCAAGAAAGAGGCCCAGGACTACTATGATGTCATCATCAAAAAAGATATTGGTCAACTGCATCCCAACTGGCAAGACCCTAAAAAGTTTGATGGATGGAGCTAGACTAGCTACAAGCCTCCTGTTTTAAGAAAATAATTTTTGTAAAAGGACGTACCGTAGCCGGTGCCCCCTCTGGTATTCGAACGGAAGAGATCGGCAAGCAGCTCAGAATGCTACCGATAGAAACCGGTACCGTACCGATGTACGGGAAGAGTGCATATTCTAAAGACCAGTGTTACGGTGTCTGAATGAAATCTGGTGTGTTCTTGGAATGATGGAATCATTCAATCATTTGATCTAGCTATGCATCCTCCAGAGCAGATTTGTTTAGTGAGGAAAGCTCATTGGGTTCTTTAAGATGAACGAACACTGCAATTCCGGGTTGGTGTACCGGTAGCCAAAACTGTCATTTCCCATTTCCAGGAAAGGTTCCTATGAGACACTAAACCACCTGATTCTTGAAATTGATTGCACAGACCACAATGTGATCATTGCAGTCGGCGAGCATACAATGCCATGCTCACACTCATGAATACTGCTTAGGTCTCACTCATTGGGTAGAGAGAGAGAAAAGGATTGCTCCAGATTGTACCTCCGCTCAAGGACAAAATCCAAGCTCGCAAGGAGTCGTTGATTGGCTGCTTCCACACTTGGCACCAAGTAGTACTCGTCCAGTCGGTTGTCCGACCGATAACCAGTGTCAAACATACTCTTCAATCTAGTTGGCAAGACGCCCTTCAACAGACTCAAAAACACATTGTGCATGACACTAGTGTTGAAATGCTTGGCAGTCTGAACCTTTACGTGGTAACTCCACAAAAGTTCCATCCATACCTTTTCGACAACTTTAATGTCATTACACCGGGACCATTTGTACCCAGCACATTCCGCCAACACGATGATTCCTTTTCGCATGAGTTCAAAGTCAACGCTCCATGCATGGCATAGGTAGTAATGTGATGCAGCCCATGTTGTGTACATTTCTGTTCTGGTCATTACCGAGTCGGTAAATTGAGCAACGTCATATACAAATAATAATTCCCATCCTCCTTGTTGAAACTGTACGCCAAGTAGAATCTAGGGAACAACTTGATAAGTTTGGCAAGTGCTCGGCGACTGTCACTCAGTGTGTCCATAATGTCATTCTCCTCCCGAAACCCCTGACGACGAACAGCACTCTCCATGGCTCCGTCCACATCATCTTGAAAGGATATTGCAAGCTGTGCACACGTATAATCGGATAAGGAATCAATTTCATCGTTGGTATCAATTGCTGCTTTGATGCTAAGAGCCCATTGACGCTCTTGATCAGTGAGGTGCATTCTGGCTGGGTCATCATATCGAAAAGGCGGGCCCTCGAGATGTGGAGTTCCCATTGTTGATTGTTGATCACCAGGTCCTCTTTCGGCAGCTTCATTGTCGGCCTCACCGTGGGCCAACACCTCATCCCCGTCTCGTCCCTCGTCCATCTTCTACTAGCAAAGCCTCACTGCACTGGTACCGTAGACTGGCAAATAAATGTGTGGGCACTCAACTGGAAGCCGATGTTGTGACGATGAAAGCAGCTGGTTCAGTGCTTGGTGAACATGGTGAATGGTACCGTACGGTAGCTCAGGAGGTACCGTACCGCAAGGTGAGAAGTTCTCAGTTGATTGACGCGCCACATTTACTTCCGGTCACAATGTGTGGAACCTGTCGCAGCAAACCTACTACGAGTACTAGCTAGCTAGCTAGCCCAGTACTCCAGAGTAATACCTTGGCTCTTTGGAAGTTGCACCCTTCGCACTTCGCAGCGTCGCATTCGCATGGCGAACTGTAGCTGCTGTACTAGCTAGCTAGTAGTATGGTGGTTTGTTGGTGGTTGGTGGTTTTGGAACTGTTTTTTGAGCTGCCAAAATAAGTTTTTACGCTTATTTAACCCCAACCTTCCCCCAACCCAGGAACGTGCAATACTTAATTAAGATACAGCATTCCCTTCATGGAGAGTACTAAGTATGACATAGAACTTGCCCTGGAGTTACCTTTCCTGTATTTTTGCTATTTTCTTAAAGGCACGCATGTTTTGCGCACATTGAAAGATTTAGAGAACGGTATTCAGCTACAACGAGGTCAAAAAGGCAAAGCCGGAAGCTCCTTTCAAGTTTCGATCATAGGCTAAATAAATTTACTTAAGCTTTTGAATGGCTAGTTTTATTTTGGGTGGTGAGCTGGCGTCCTGCGTCCGACCAAGAAAAGACATGACACACAAAAATAGAGGTCACCATGGCGCCATCCGCCGCTCTTTTCATGGTCTTTTCATGCTCTTCTCAAGCGTTCTTCATCATAATCTTCTTGAGGGGTGTCAACTGCTGCGACAGTTCAGGCTCGACTTCGAAAGAGTCATCCGAAGGTGGGGTACGAGGGGCACGACGATTGCGTCCATTGCGTCCACGTCCGGTGTTGTTGGATCGGGGCCGAGGAGGCATTGAAAGCATGGCCTCATCCTGAGCGACAAAGGAAGGGACATCTTGGAAAACTGAAGCAACAGGAGAGTAAGAAGGGCGTGTTTTGACACTATAAAAGCGGAGAGTTACAACAAAGTTAGCCTTGGTCTTGAGAATGATCAAGTCCGTGGTGGAAGTTTCGACAATTGTCTTGACATCTTGGTGCTCGGTCGCAAGGAACTTCACAATGCTCTGAAAGCTTTCTTCGGGGAAATGCACATCACTTGTAAAGACAGCCTCCATCCTTGCATCTTGAGTCTTTCCAAGCTCAACCGCCATGTTGACTGCTTTGTTGATCTTCTTGAAATCGCTCTCTTTGAGGTCCGCCATCTTCATCGTTTCGGTTGCACCGACGACAGTGATGTGAGAATGGCTGCTACTGTAAATGGTTGGCATGATGCTACTACTTGAAATATTATGGGTTCGAGGTGTTGCCTCTTTGATTGTTCGAGCGGAGTGGGTTCTCCTCAAAACCGAGGGAATCATTTGAATTCAAATCTTTGTTGGCTCTTTCTTGACAGTGAGTCCGACGTCTCATTATTCTTTCATCATGGCTTATCGTTGGAGTATTTTGGCCACATTGGCGGGAGAGGATGCCGGAGAGGTTCCAGCATCATTGGAAGTAACTCATGTGGACGGATCGATCCGTCGAGTTGCCGGTCTGGTCAGGTTGGAACGCTACTCCAACACCCCTCATTTTCGTGTGGTTGTTTTGCCTGGCGTTGGAAACAACTATCGGCCTACTGACACCTTGTGTTTGCCTGCTCACGAGGCTTGGAGTATGGATCGGCCTCAACGAGTGAGGAGTTTGAACGGTACCAGAGCGCTCCGGTTGAGGCTCGAAGTGCCGCCATCGGAAGGTTTTACCCATTTGACTTTCCGAATTCCTTACAACGATTCGGCCGACCTCTTTGGATCAGCTCTCCGCTTTGCAGAGCAGACTGTGAATGCTCAATTTGATGTGTTTGATTGATGGCATTGGGCTCATGGCTTGTTATTGTTTTAGGGTTTTCCGGCCTGTACGTATTACTGTAAATGACTATAATCTCCGTTGATCAACAGAAGAGCTGTTTGTAGTGCTGCTGTAGTCTTCAGCTAGATGTGCAACCAACAATGATGGAGCCACAACGCTTAGTTGCTGACTACACTTTCAATCTATTGGAAGAGCTCTTCAGACGACTACACAATAGGAGGTGGTTTGTATTGCCGACAACTGAGGAGGTGGCAGCAGCCAACAACTCTATTTGCACTGTGCTGAATGTCGATTACACTACGTTAAAGTACATGATGCTAGCTATTGGAATTACAACTGAAAGAGATGGCTCATCACTACAGCTATGCAACGCCAAAGCGATTGAAGTCCTGAATGGTCGATTCAAGAAAGCAAAGGTGTCATTCCGAAAGCAAGAAGTGGAAATGGAGGAAGGTGTAACAGAGCTCTTATTTGTAATCCGAAACAAACCAAGGAGTGCAGAGCCAAACCCAACAGTTGCCTTCAGTAATGCTCCAGTGCGTGGGGATACCCACAACACTCTGAAAAGATTCCACCACAAGAGAAGCCCTATCCATTACATTCAAAGAGGCTTGGCAACCAACAGAAGAGTCAATCGTCTGCAGGAAGCAATCAAGTGCTGGACAACGGCATACGCATCCAACCAGTCACCTGGTGATGGAGACTCGATCGCCCCCCACAGTAGCTCAAAGCGGCCGAACACAACGATGGAAACTCCACAAGTCAACCCACGAAGACGTATTTCTTTCGCCACAGCGATAGCCGTTCCGCGAGCCAATGAGGATGGTGCCATCGATCAGATGGACGAGGGGATTGAAGCAATTCTTACTCCAATATCCGACCAAGACAATGCTCCGAGTGGATTGTTGCCATTTCCGAATCTGACACCAACGAATCAAGAGCCTCACGATACGTCTGAGATTGATTTGAGCAACAAAATTGATGATGTTGAACAGAGAGCCTTGGACACATTCAACCCGTTCAGTCCTTCGATGATTAACGATCTCATTCGGCCAGCTAATTGGAAGGAGCCCCCAGAAATGACACTAGCGAAACAACTCGATTTCACCACCAGAGAAGCCGACAACAAGAGGAGGTCGAGGTTCGGTGATGGCACAATCGAACTGCAAAAGAGTAACAAGAAGCGCCCTGACAAGTCAATGAGATGGATGGCCTTATGCGTTGCGCTGTCATGGGGATACAACACACCCAGACTGCCGCGAAAGAAAAGGCTTGAGATTGCAGAAGCGGCCTGTCGACTAGTAGCATATGACAACGGATTAGTCAAACCGCCGAAGGGATCACGGCTGTCATCTTGGTACAAATCGTTCGAGCAATCTCTCAAGACAGGAGAGGTCTTGATACACAACGTTCTGGCATTCAAAGAAGGCAATCAACGTGGTTCGTACCTTGACCTAGTGGAAGCTAGCCATCCTGGACTCGTACTGAGCCTTTTTCGAAGAGCACAAGCCGTTGAAGGAGTCGGAAATGAAGCATCCTATGAGGATATTGCTTTCACAATGTGTAGACTGTCAAGAAAAGATTCCGATGAGACAAAGCATTTAACAGTGAAAGGATACCAGCTTCGAACATGGTTCTTGCGGAGAAGAGGCAAAGCGATCAAGTCGGTGACCAAACCAATTCTTACCGAAGAGAAGAAAAAGCAGAGGCTCCTTTGGGCCCAAGAACGGCTAAGGGAGCTAGAACAGCACTACCTTGACGGCGCGGCAGCATCTGCAGAGCTCAGCAACAGCGACTCGGAATCAGATGAAGACATTGTTGATGACTTCAGAGAGCCTCATCCTGGACCACCATATTATGTCTTCCTTGATGAAAAATGGTTCTATATGAACTCAAAGAGGCGCAAGATAAAGAGGCTTCCGCAACAGCCCGGTGAGGATGCAAGCACAGAGGACCTGTACCCACCAAGGCGTGAATCGAGTAGGAGATTCTCAAAGAAAGTAATGTTCATGGGCGTCATGGCCTGCCCACATTACCAGCATGACTTCGATGGCAAAATCATGATGAAGCGAGTGAGTGAAACAGTTGTGGCCAAGAAGAGCACATTCTACAAACAAATCGTTGACAATTACCAGGTCAACCAAGAGATACACAATCGATGGAGGAGTTTATACAAACCGGAACTGAGCATGACTGTCAAAGAACTCCTTGACACAATCCAAGCTCAAGATCACTGGGACATTGACCAGCCAACAAGAGATCGCCTCGTTCTTCGGCATGCAGTATATCATCAACTCACTGGAAAGAAGAAATGGGTCACCATGGCCGAGACGGATAAAGTCTTAGCAAAGATTGGTCTGTTTGAAAAAGGAAAAGAGCGATGTGGTCTTGAATTGAAGCACATACTCTTACAGTTCGTTCGCAGGAAAGGAGATGAGTCTGAGAGGGATGTAACATGTGATTCAAAATTCATGGCCAACAATATGCTCTTGATTGGAGAAGCAATCAGAAAGGCTTACCACTGGGTACCTGACAATCAAGAGATCATTCTTGTCATCGACAATGCAGGTGGTCACGGAACCAAAGACTGCATTGATCAGTACGTTGCACAGCTGAAGGCACAATACAATGTTTGGATTCTTCATCAGGTACCGAGAAGCCCAGAAACAAACCTGCTGGATTTGGGAGTGTGGATGGGAATTCAGAATCATGTTGAAAAGCTTCATCGCACAAGGACAAAGACGAGTGCCGATGCGCTAGCAAGGACAGTGGAAGAAGCATGGGAAAACTACGACTCTTACAGAGCTTTTCGAAATGTCTTCAAGCGCTGGGACAAAGTATTGCGTCTCATTGTAGCAGGCAACGGCGACAACAACCTTGTCGACAAGGCCCGGAAAAAAGTAATGGTGCCGATTGTAATTCAACCTCGACCAGCTACACTCGATGACGAGGAGGAACCGGGAGTGTCAGCAGATGAGGAACATGCTCTCTTTGTTGTTGAAGAAGAGTGTGTGCGAGAGCTAGAGGAGGCCGAAGACGATGAGTGAGCGCCATTGTGCCTCTTTATTTGTTGGTGTGAGATGAGGTGTAATCGATCCTGCTGCTGGAAGCGTCGGGCAAACTTAGGAAGCATTAAAGGCTAGTACCGGTTATCTATGGTCAGTCATCAGAACACATTCTTTCAAGTTGGGATGTTAAACAAATCCTGCTTAGAATGAACCTGTGAGATTTACTTCTACTACACATTCCACAGTGTTGTACTACTAATGCGACAGTGATTCCGAATCGAATCTTTGTGAAGGCAGATTGTTGAATTGGCGACGACAATGCTTCGGCCGAGGTGCCGGAAGATGGAAGCCTGCATACGGTAGAAATGGAACGACTAACTCGACTACAGTAAGCCCATCACCAGTTTCTGCGAGATCAGCTGAATGCCTGGATTGATGATGAGACCGCAAGAAGAACCGCAACTCAGAGAAGCCGTCAAATATTATCAAGAGCCCCACTTGACAACCATCTGATCAACGCAAGATGAAGCGCCTGAGTAAGAGCATTCAGAAGACGACCAGTACAATCACGAAGACTACTAGTAGTATAATGCCGATGAGAGATACTAGTAGTAGTAGTAACACCATCATGATGACAGATCACTCCTCCTCGACGAGCCTGGACGGTTCATTTCGCCGGAATAGCAACTGGGAGAGTGCAGCAGCGACCATGACGAAACGAGAATTCCAAAGGGAACTCCGCAAAGAAATGAAGGACTACAAAAAGACGCGTGTCAAGTCGTTTCAACAAAAGAAGGCGCTCTTGACCATGGGTGATATCGACGAAGTATCGGAGCAAGCGAGACGAGCCGAAGCCGCTCGAGAGAAAAAGAGACGATCTTCTGTGGCGCAGCCCATCAAAGGAGCCTCGCACGACGACGACGACGACCAACCGTCCACACCCCTTACCGTGTGTTCGACGACACGAGGCAGTATTCCCAACGATTTGGAGATTACCATTACACTGCCGGATTTGCAACTGGTAGAGCAAGCAGACGAAGAGGATGAAGAAGGAGAGTCGAAAGAAGCAGAAGAGTGCTTGGACACGGAAACCGCGACGACAACAACAAGTCAGGACAACAACAACAAGCTGAGTAGTATTAGTAGTAGTCAGACTTTGACACAAGCAGTAGGAAAGTCATCCAGCAACGAGCAGCCTTCACTCGATGAAGAGGACAATCCACAATCATCCGCTATGACGCTGCACAAGAACCCTTCGACCGAACCCACCCTGGCTCCACTCCTTCAACGAGGACCCTCCGCTCTGCTCGCCAAACCCAAAATGACTCGAAGGAATACAACCACCGGCAATCGAAACACACCGCCGCCACTGATGCTACGACGAATGGCCACCTCGTTTGATCAGACATCCCCGACCAGCAACAACAATCCATTGGCTCTGTGGACCACTACAGCTCCGATTGACAATACAAAGATCCAACCATCCTCCGCACACGTCGTCAAGAAGAAACTGCAACTCTCCCGTTCGTCGTCCATCGATTCCTCTATCGACGCCAGTGAACTCGAATTGGCAACCGTCTCCACCGCTCCATCTACTCCTTCTTGCTCCGTGACCACCGTACTCTCCTGTTGGGACGATGAAATGTCCGGTCTGGAACATGCCAATCAAGCGCTTCAACAAAAGATTCAACAGCTAGAGTCACAACTACACGACACGGAACAGGACGAAGTAGAGCAGGTATGGCTCATCAAGGGAACGCTGTGTCCGGCCAAGAAGGATGAAATTCGGGAACAATTGACACGGGAACATCAACAACAACTCGAACAACTTCACCCACAATTACCAGACGATCCAGAAGATCCTCAACTCGTCGTATTACAAAAACAACGCAGTCGACAACAAGCGCTCATTGACGCCCTCTATCGCGAAAACAAGGCACGACGACACGAAAGTCAAGCCGTCAATTTACACATGCTACAACTTCTACAATCCAATATGCGCATGCGTCGCGCTACCCAAGCTACACTTGATTTTGTCCGCGAATTGCAATTGGTGCATGTCCGCGAATATGCGGATCGAAACAAGACACTCTTGCGAGAACTACAAGCGTATTCACGAAAACAAGTCTCGTACGAACAGTACGATATCCCCAAAGCCGTTGCCTATCGCTACAATGAACGACGGATTCGGAAAATATATGTCAGGGGAACGGAACGGTTGGTGCAGTACGTGCTAGAAGAATGCTTTGATCGAAGCCTCATTGCATGCATTACCGAAATGCCGCCGGCGGTGGTCAGCACCATTATTGTGAAGAAGCAACCAAAAAGGGGGGATCGTCGATAGAAGATCACGAGGGATGAGGGTTGCGTATCAAGACAATGACACACATATATTCATAGGAATGGGCATGTAAATGTAAAGATTGATTACAACACGTTCTACACAGCACCAATCGGAAAGCGGGTGACCAGCTAGTACCGGTACGGGACATGGGTCAGGGCAGAAAGCTAGCACTGCCAGCCCGTCCCACTCACAGTTCCCTTCCACGTATTGCCAACGGTGGAAATATGAAGCACATTTTTTGTAACTTTTGTCTAGGCTATCTTAGTTAGATAGTACCAACCACCTGCCAGCACCAACAATACCACCATCTACCACCGCATCTCATACACTACTTTCCATCAACCAGCCTGGCCCTCTTGCGTTCTTCCCTGGCCAATTCCGTCTTGGCGGCACGCTTGGATGCCTCCGCCACAGAGTCCTCCCTCACAATGGTTCGAAAGACCAACGAACCCGACTCTTCCCGGCAATTCTCGCAAACAGGAACACCATGACGAGTCTTGAGATTCTGCTCCACCGACATGACAATAGCAGTCCCGGCCCGCACCACGCGGTCAAATAGAACCGTCCCTTCCAGGTCTTCAATGCGAAAACGACGAGATCCAGGTCCCAACTTGACAACGCAAATGACAGAGTTGGCATCCATGGATGCTGCCTTGTCAAAGTGCATCCCAATATTGTCATTGCCATCCTCGTATCGAGTGACAATGCCATGATTGGCTAAAGGTATATTCCTGCTGCTGCTACTGATCCACTCATTGTATCTCGTGGTAATCTCTTCCAAGATTGGGACTTTCTGGACATCAAACTGAGCCGCCAAGACACCGTATTGAAAACCAGTGTAGCTGTAGACTCGGACACGCTTTTTGGTAGATCCTGTTTGGAACCACATTTTGGTTCGGCGGAGTTGGTTTCCTCGATAGTTCAGATTGGGATGAGAGCCGTGGACCCACTGCGGTTCGCCGGGGACAATGGCATCGCCATCCTCCCGAACAGGGTAGCCATCGTTGAGCTCTCCAATCAATGTGCGTGGATCAAAGCCCAGCACCTCGGTCGCAAAGTTCGGAATGAGTTCAGCCACAACTTCTCCGGATCGATTTCGGATGAAGAGTGTCATGGCGTATTTGGTGCTTTGAAGTTGTTGTTGTTTGGTTTTAGTTTTGTGGGGTTTTGAGGGAAGGAAGAAAACACTTCTCACTTTTTCAGACCCGCCAAAAGTGACATTAAGGCTAGGGCTTTCGCTTACTGGGCTGCAGGACCATGCTATGGTACCGTACCTGGTACTGGCACAGACTGCAGACAAATAGACCTAGCTCCCAAGGATACCGTAGTGGCCGGCCAGAATAGATGTTGAGACTCAATGGAGCACTCCAGATCTCTTCGTTGTGGAGGCAATATACCGGTAAGCTCTGGTAGGTTGGGCAAGAAGGGCTCCGCTGGTGCAGAAGTACCGGTAGAAGCAAATGAGAAGCATGGATTTCTGTTGTAGACCGATCCAGTCTGAATTCACGGCCTTGGTAAACGAACCAGACTAAGCAATGAGTACACCATTAAGTTGATGACGCATTGCAACTGCCTGTCGCTGACCCGTTGACGAGGACAAGTGCAGCCATCACAGTCAAAGACACTACCCGTAGAATTTATAGTAATTCCAATAAAAAAACCACCCGCTTGATATGAGTTCGCTAGTATTACTTGAATCAATTTTCCTCCTTTATCCTTCAACTAGTATGATTCCACTAGCTAGATGTTGGCATGTGCTTCGAAAATTCTAGTGTCTGAGAGCCTCATCCGTCATGACATGCCGACAGAGGGCACTCGAGCAAGAGCACATACATAGTGTGCAGTTTGTTGTAGATTGTTTCAATCTCCGTTTCTCCAATACATCTCCTTGGGCATGAGTCTCAGCTCAACAGAAAACTCCACCTTGCCCGTTTTGCCTGCGCCTCCAAAGAATTCCACCATGGTAGCTTTCAGGGTATCTCCCAACGACCGCAGTTTTTCTTTCGTGAGTGGTTCGGGCAAATCCAAGAATGCTACTGAAAGATGGACCATTCCTGCTTCTTCGTCCTCTCCCAGCAGAAAGTTATCCGCAAGATACGCTCGACTCTTGCACTTCGGGGCGGGAGCGATGCCTTGGTCATTCATAATACCATGGAACTTCTTGAAGAGAGGCTTCCAATCATCCTTGATTTCGGCAGGAAGCAACTCTTTGGCTTGAGGCGAATATTCCAACACAAAGTGAGGCATGGTGATTGTCAACTATTACTTCGTCCTTTCTTCTTTTGTAATAATATGTCCTTATTTCGAACGTCTGTCCTTGGTAGGATGGGCTTTAGACAGGGCTTGTGCGTGTTTCCATCCAGTGAGTCAAAGTTGGATTTTGACTGGAGTATTGACTTTGACTTTGGTCTGGTCTAACTTTTACTGTATAGAATTCAGTACGCTCAGACTGGCAAAAGGCCAAAGCCAAAACTGCATGGCGAATTCAAATGACTCTCATCACCTGGTGAAAACAGAGGTTTGAGAACCTCCTGCAGAGGTTCACAAGTGAAAACAGAGGTTTGAGAACCTCCTGCAGAGGTTCGCAGCAGAGGTTCGCAACTGGTACTCACTAACAGTGGAAACCAGGACTGACGTAAGTGATACGTGTTCCGTACTGTTCCGTGGGACCTGAGGCCTACTTTCTCACAATTTTAACTTCAAGTTAGCGCACCTACTCTACTGCTACAGTAACAGAGGGAAAAGTCTACAGTGGTAACAACTCTATAACTAGATACGGATTACATACTAATTACACTAGGCTACTCAGCTAGTTTGGTACGTCCTCGAGACTTCTTCTTTCCAAGCAACTCCTTCTCTTGTAGATACTTCTTCATGTTCGCAACAGAGCACTTGCACTCTTCTTTGAACACTTTTTGAAGTGTGGCGCAAGCATCAAATTCATCCAAATTCTGCTCCTCTCCAAAGGCGCGGATTCCTTTCACCACAGCCACAGTCCTCAAGTATTGTGCTGTTTGTGCAGCACTCCAATGCTTTCTCCATTTGTTTTTCCATCTCTTCTCTCTACCTTCTGGCCCTCCAAGAGCATCGTGAAAATCTGCTCTCCCACAATACTCATCCATCAATGCCGAAAGGGACGGTTGGTTTGGTCGGATGTAGAAGGAGGAATTGGGTAAGGTGACACCAATAACAGCTCCGCACCGTATTTCCTCTCCAGACAATCCACCAGTACCGGTAACAGCTGTAGTCGCAGTAGTTGCGCCCACTTGAAGAAGAGTTCCAGCAGCTTCGTATTCCACCGGGGAAGTAGTTCTGTTGTTGTTAAGTGGCTCTGCATCTGTCATTTCACTGTCAAAAAATAGTGGTGGAGGTGGATCATTGTGGAAATCCGCGACGTCATCAAGCTCATGACTGTCTTGTGTAAGAGCCACCAAATCGTCCTCCATTGTAGTCGCGCCATTGCCCCTTAAAGCCATGGCACCACTTTCTAGAATAGTAGCTAGCCGTTGCTCTGTATGCTGTCTTCTGTTCTCGCATTGTCTGCTGAAAGAAATCAAGCTGCTAATGCCATCATTGACAGTTTGTGCAATGCTGTCAACTCTCTGCTGGAGGATACCCATTGCCGAATCGTTTGCTCTGTGCCACTGGTGCAAACCTGGAAGCACTCGCTGAAGATTGGAATCCAGTGGGTCTTGCGCCTCTTTCAATGCAACTCTCATTTCCTCTTTGAATGATGCAAACTCATCTGAAAGAAGGCAGTGCAGCTCCTTGAACAAAGGATGGTCCACACATCTCTCTGGTTGCTCGATCATCATGGCAGCGGCATCTTGTAGGAAAATTTTGTTGATATCCATTAAAAAAGAGAGGAACGCCCTTGCTGTCTGTTTCTTGCAGTTCTTGTCTGCCTCCACAACAGCATCATAAGCAGCGTACACCCACTTTCCAATAGGTGTTTTCGCCAGTAATTCCTTACTTGGCTCAACAGTGCTTCTTGGTAGCCAGTAGATGCTGTCTTTTCCGCCTGTAAATCCTGCTAGTGCTCTGATTGGTGACATGGGCAGTTTTGTACTGTAGGAGCGATCCTGGACACCCTCAGCCCATTGCCCCATTCGCCTGATGTTCTCTGCTTCCTCCATACACATTTCCAGCGTTTTTGGGCCAATGTTGCGACCAAGATGCTGAATCTTGTTACATGCCAGGCCAAGGGCTTTGAGCATGTCACCCACACAGTCTCCATAGCTGTCATTGCGCATTTCTGTTTTGTTGTTCTGGGGGGATCCTACATCAATAAGTAGCTTGATGTCAAACCATTCTTCATTCTTCATCCAATCCTCAACTGTCATTGTCTCGAACTCTCTGGTACAGAATAGGCGATGCTGGAGATAGAAAGCTAGTCCATTTATGGCACAGTAGCAAACTTCCTTATGTCTTGTAGCCCTGCCAAACTGTCTTGCTCCTCGAGAAGCTGTCTTTCCAATTGGGATCTGGTTGACCATCAAGTAGGGCGCTTGAACATCATTGGGTGCCTTGGGAAGGTTGATGCCAAGGAAGTCACTCAGCTCAGCACGATGCAAACTTTCAGATCGCAGCACACCAGAGGTCAAATAGAGAAGACAAAACCTGTGGCGGAGAGATTTGTTGACTGATCTATAACCTCTTGCAAACTGGCTGCGGCACCACATGTAGTCTTCCATTTTCTCATAGTGCTCAACAATGGTGTATGGAGAAAATTCGCCTGTTACCTTCTCTTTGTAGTTGGCTTTGTCTCTTTTGGGTTTTCTCCCCTTCACATGATCTCGCAGAATTTTCATATCTTCATCAATCCATATGAAATCCCATTGCACCCTAAGCTGTGCTGGTAACCCACTATTTCCTGTCATGGCAACTTGTACGTTGTAGATCTTTTTCATAACAGACTGATAAGCAGTAAAGGTAGTAGGTCCAATCGGATTTGTAGGTTGTGGCACTGCTGCCAGGCGGCTGGCTGGGCCTTTCTTTAAATGTGCAATCACCTTTTCGTAGTCCTCAGGGTCAAAGTAGTCTCTTTGCTCTGGAGGAAGCGCCCTTTGTGCTTTGGTCAAACCTTTCGCCTTCTGCTCCCTGAAGCATTGGTACCACATAAACCGGTAGACTCTTTCTGCCACAAGATGATATTTGTAGGGATCCGTGGAGTATGCATAGTCGCAGTACTGGAAGTACTCCATTGCTTTGGGAGTCTGGGCTTTGATGCTGTTGGTGGAGCGACTTTCATCTTGTGCCTCCAACACTTGTTGTCGCATGTTCCTATTGATTTCATTGTCATCAGGATGCCTGATTACATGAGTTCTCTCTGTTCCTCCTGGAGAGGTGGACGTCCTCTGCTGGTATCTGCGAGGGGGAGAGCCCAAGGCATTGGCAATAAAGCGGCTAGTAGAGATGAGTCGACTCATGGTGGTTGTTGGTGTTTGTTGGTGTTTGTTATCTTCCTATTGACTGGTGCGGATCCTCTTCCACGGTAGCTAGCTAGTCAGTCCACTAGTATCGTACCTTACTAGTACTTTCGCGCCAAAGGCCTAACAGAGACCTAACGAATGACAAGGGAAGATACCCTTTGAGTACCAGTCCTTTAAGTCCGTTGAATTTAGACTAGACGTTGTAATAACGGTTTTATTAGACGCACTCGGCGTGCATTATGTGCTTAGACTGAACGTGAAATTCTGACTCCGCGTCTAAAGTGGTACTCAGAAGTTAGACTCAGACAGGTATATATGATGGCAACCAGTCAATTTTTGTAAAGGATGGGGAGGTTGGCGATGCGAACACTTTTTCGAAGGCTCGCTTCTTTCTCGCGTGCAGTCATGAACAAACCGGGATCCATCGGACGCTCGGCTTCCAGAGTAAATCAAATGATTCAATCGAATCGAATCAAATCGAAAGATCAATCGAATGACGAACTCCGCAGCTCCGTCCGCAGCTCGGAGCACCCAGGAACCAACCACCGTCCCAAACAACACGCAACACAAGCAACAATACACTACTACTCTAACCAAGCATCCAGCTATCACTAAGACCACTCTGAGAGGCCAGGAAGTGTGTTGTTGGGTAGTCTAAAGCATGAAATCAGTGCTCATCAGTGCGTCAGTCTCATCTCATCACCTGTCGTTTTCCATCTGGCAGAATCTGTCATCTGAAAATTGGGGTGGAAAAATGGGATGTCACCATGATGAGCTCACTTTTTTGTTCAACCGGATTGCTAGAGTTGCATACCCAACCGAACAAGGAAGATTCTCGCGATTGTTGATAAGCCTAGGCCAGATCAACCCCCCAGACCTTATTCAAGTCTACTTTTACCTTTTCTATCAATCTTCTATTCAATACCTATCAATTGCAAAATGAAGTTCTCTTCTTCTTTCATCAAGCTGCTCTCGTGGTCCTGGACCACCGACAACAACAACAGCAACACCAAGAAGACCCCCGTTCTCCAGGTCGCCAAGGAGATGATGGGCAACAACAACAGCAACAACAAGGACGTTCCTGTGGCAGAGGAAGTCCCAATGTTCCAACTGGACGAGTTGGACAAGTCGGTCATCGAAACCACGGCACTGTTGCACGGAAAGCATCCTGATGTGGAATTCCAGCAGCACGGTCGCTACCTAGGTGCCTACGACCTTTCCCTGGTTCCTGTGGATCAGCATGGTCACTATGGATACGACAAATACAACCAGCACCAGCCCAAGGGCTGTCGCATCAAACCCAGTCAATCAGCCAACACTCGCTGGAAGGCCCATTACGGTCAAGACACCGAACGGAGCAATGGAAACCGTTTATCCTTTGCGCCCGTCAACACTGTAGTGGGGTACTCTTCTGATGAGGGCGAACAAGCTGAAAACAGCCGTGTCTATCGAGACATGAACAAACAAGTGCCACAGGCCCGACACGAATTCTGGCATGAAGCCCAACAACAATTCATTTCCGTCGGCACTCCCACACCCCACGAACGCGTCTCGGATCTTGTCCAGTTGATTCAAGAGTACGGATACCAACAAGTGAGCAAATGGATCACCAACAACCAATGGTTCCAAAGCGACAAATCATACCTAAAACAAGCCAAACTGTACATTCAAATTGATGCCGTGCATCAAGACCTCGAGGGACTTGTTCGTTTCATCAAGGCGAAGAAAGGAAACGACAATCAAGTCGCCCACTGGTTCATGGTCAACGAAAAGAACACTTACATGTTCGAACTCGCCATGTGCCACTTGTATCACGGTGGAATTCAGCGCAACGCTGACGACGAAATTTGCACCTTGAATACGCGAGAACAGATTGCCAATCGACGATTTGTCTATCGCAAGGTCAAGGATGTCTGCATGGAAGATGCAGCACCCGTAGTAGTAGAACAACAACCAACAACAACTAAAGACGTCGAGGCAATAGAAACAGTCTCGACCGTCGACGACAACAAGATGGCATCCGATGCCACAATCACACGCGAAGCAGTGGTGGTTCCCACATGCACAGCCGTGGTCCCATACATTCAAAAGTGGCATGTGAAACATGTGAAGATCAGTGTGCATGAACACCAACTATTTGTATTGGAGATGCGAATGATGAATGGTGTGCTACTTGGAGTGGTACCCAAAGACATGCTCGCAGCCTTGATGAAGGATGGTGGAGAGCTTGTCAAGGAATTGATGCGTCGGCACAACACACCAAGATTGGAGGCAGGCGTTGCCTCGGACAATACGGATTACGAATTCGTGACTGCCGACCAAGTGGTAGCTGAAGAACCACTGGAGGTCGAGGAACAACAACAAGTTGATGCTGAAGAACCACTGGTCGACAACCGAGTCGATGAGGAAGACAATGTGGACACAGCACAATCAACTTTGCGACGATCAAAGAGACGCATGGCGGCGATTGCATCTCAGAGAATCACAGAACAAATCAAGACGAAGCCACGGCGGGTGGCAGTTGAACAACCTAAAATTAATAAATGTAGATGTGCGGCGGCCACCAAGAAGAAGTCGACAAAGGCGAAGGGCAAGAAGAAGAAGACGACAACGACACCTGTGACGGATACACAGCAGCAAACAACAGTTCAGACAACAACTCTTTCTGGACGGCAAGTCAGAAAGCCTGACAGGTACATTCCAGTCCAGGACAACAGGTGAGTAAGTGGGCGACGACGACGGATTGCGGGACTAACACAATACAATACACAACGAGCAAGCATTTGGCGGGGTGCAGGGCTATACAACAATTTTGCGGAGATGAATACAGTTGGTTCAATTGAAGGGTCACATCGAAGGTAGCCAGGTTTGTGGTTCCTGTGCTAGGCAGCCTCTATTGCAGAGTGCTTGTCCGAACGTCCTCCACGCGACGAAAGTCCAAAGTTAATACCCGTGACACCCGACAACCAACCTCTATCATTGTTGATGCTATTTCTACAATCTAAAATACAACCAAACATAAACATAGAACGATAACACACAGTAGACATTCTTTACAAACAAAAATGATGGCTTCATCCTTAAAGTAGTTGTAGTCGTACTACCAGTAGCAGGTCGCGTCCAAGTCTCCTTGTCACAAGTGAAGTATGGACTACGGCAATCCATACTTCAAGTAGGGACTACGGCAATCCAGCCATACGTCACTTGTGACAAGAAGAGCGCAACGATGAGGAACTGAACGTGGGCTTTGAAGAGTAAATAGAAAATCCGTGCCCGCCTCACCAGTGGGGGTGCAGGCAGGTACGGTACCGCTGCTGTGAAGGTTAGTTGCACCCTCATTTGTGCCCTGGCTGGGTTCTTCTTGTATGTTGCCGTGGCTAGCTAGTGAGTTGAACGAAGACTCAACCAATAGTTTGGTTGGCTCGGGATTAGTGCGATCTATCCCCGAGGGTGGTGGAGGGTGCGTGCAGATTGAGTCGAATGAATCGACAATCGAATCTCCGGGCCAATCGACGAACGCATTGGTCCGTTCATCGGGGAAGAGGGGGTTTAGAGCACCGGTAGGTGGATACGGTGCTGGCTGGCTGGGCTGTTTGTTTGGTCAATACAGTCAATTGCTGCTGCAAGTTCGCTAGCAACCGGTTAGCTTGACTGTCGTCAGCTTGAGTCAGCAAATTTGTACTGGAACGGTAATTCCGCCCCTTGGATAGCAGAAAGTCCATCGTTATCAAACTTTTGATCTCCTGAATTACAGCGCCTGGTGTTTTTCGGGGGTTGCAGTTGCCAGAGAAGCAAAGACGGAAGAAACAAGTGAACCTACTGAGTACTAGAAACAACTAGTACTGGTACATACGAATTGCATCCAAACTGGCTACTGGCTACTAGTTTGAATCGTCAAGCGGGCTGGACTCGGCAGGTTCCTGATCTACTAGCTAGACAGAGTCGCACAACGCATCATTGCTTTCAAACGCGTCGTTCAATGGCTTCGCTCAAGTCGAGCCGAGTCGAATGGTTGAATCGAATCGTTTCCATCCCAGGCTTTTCGTCGTCAACCAATCTGTTTGCTCCTTCGCGAATTGTTACATGGCACCTTCCCCATTGCTGATACACACATCGTTTCGTCGGGGTACTGACATTGCTCGTCCATTTTACGCCCTCGAACTTTCCAAGAGTTCCCGCTCACTGTTCGTCAGTTCATCGTTGGGATCCTCGTTGCCCTCCATGAGGTTGCGTTCACTGGCTGTCATTTCGGCCAATGCTGGCAGCTCTCCGGCACTAGCAAAGCTTCGATCCTTGTTGAAGGAGAAATTGACCTTTAGAAAGCCACGACGCGGATCGAATCGTTGCGGCAAACTTCGATTGCGTCGAAAGCCCGGTTGTCCACTTCCGTCGGTATTGTAAGCGGGCCCGGTCATATTGGAGAGCGATTTTTGACTGCTGCCATCACCACCAGTACGTTTGTGCTGGAATCCATCGTCGTTGGAAAAGTCGAGCATTATGCTGGCATTGCTGCTAACGTCGAAAATGGAAAGCACTTCCTTGGCTCCGGAAACCTCCCTGAGACTGGCCATGCTGCCCGCGTAGGTGGAAACGGACGACCCCATGGACAGGCCTCCTTCATCGGACGACAAGGTTTCTTGTCGTTTGAGCCACGTTTCGCGATTTTCTTTGGACGGTTGACTGGCCGTAATGTACATCATGCTCTTGAACTCCTCGTATGAAATCTGATTGTCGCCATCCTTGTCTACTTGTTTGATAATTTTGTTCATGACATAGTCGTCCATATCATCGTCAATGACGAGGATTGCCTTCAATTCACTCATGTCGATAAATCCATTTCCGTCCAGGTCGAATTCATCGAATGCTGCCTTGAGTTTCTGATCATTCAACATGTCCTTTTGCATGAGACTGGCCACAACGAACTCTGAATATTCAATCATTCCGGATCCTAGTAGGTAGGTAGCAAGACAAAAACCCAATCCAGTCACGTGTGGTCAGTCAGAACTCATTGTTGTTGCTGTTGTTGTTTGTTGAGTAGTAACAGAAAATAAATTGTTGCAAATGATGTTTCTTACCTGAAAAGTTGACTCGTTGAAAGATGAGTTCGACATCGGCATCACTGAGATCCTGTCCGTAGAATTCCTTGTATCCTAGTTTGACTTCTTCCTTGCTGATTCGTCCTGAACAATCCATGTCCAGAACTCGAAAGACTTCATCAATATCATCCTTTTCGCTTTTGAGTAGCAGCTGGGACGCAATGAGTGCATACGTGGCTTGTTTGAGTTTGGATCCCGCTTCGAATCCTTCCATGTTTCCCAAGGCCGTTCGGGCCGTGAAACTACTGGATCGTCGATATTGTTTGAGTGACTTTCGTCGAATATCGGTCAACCAGGGATGCTGCAATGCTTCGTATGCCGTGGGTCGGTCCTTCTCTTCATATGCCAAAAGATACCGAATGAATTCTTTCCCGACTTCACTGACGGAATCCCAAATATCGGGTTCATCGTCAAAGATTACCTTACCGGCTTCAATGGCATCGCAGATATCATCAACTTCATCCCCATCAAAGGGGGCATATCCACCCAAGACCAAAAAGGCAATGACGCCACAGGCCCAAACATCGCATTTTGACGTGTAGGGTTCTTCCTTGACAATTTGGGGACTCATATAGTACGATGTTCCGACAAAGTCCTTGAATTTGGTACCGGGCGCCATGCGTTTGGCAAGTCCAAAATCGATAATTTTAATGTCGTCCAATTTCATATTCTCTTCGAGCAAAATATTTTCGGGCTTTAAGTCACGATGGACCAGATTATTGCCGTGTATGTAATTGATGCAAGTGAGCATGTGATTGAGTAGAAGGGCTGCGTCGTCTTCCTGGAAACATCCAATGGCTTCTAATTCATCCAGTAACTCGCCACCTCTATAGAGGTCTGTATATATAGAAAGGTAGATAGATGAGAAGAGGACGAGAAGAGGATAATCAGAATAAGAATAACACCAGTGAGCAAGCATAGCTAGAACATCAGACAAGACAAGATACTCCCATAGTTGTCCTTAACATGGACATGTACTTACCAGTAACAATCATGAACTTGTCATCATCTTCAAACATTTCGTACTGTTTGAGTAGATTGGGATGATCGAGTGATTTGACCACGGCGAATTCGTTCTTGATGGTGGTATTGACCTTTTCAAAATCGACATCGTCGTCTTCGGTTTTGTAAATGACCTTGACGGCCCGTTCGGCGCCCGTCTTTTTGTGAACGACGCCAAAGACTTCACCAAAGCCACCTTCCCCAATCTTGTCACCAATGTCGTAGAATTCCGACAAGTCTTCTCCCAACAAACGATTCTTGACAAAGTTTTGCGCTTGGAATTTCACACTCACATTGCGCGCTTTGCGACTCTGTTTCGTGCGATGCGAGCGACTGATCCGACCCACGGTGGAGGAACTCGATGTGCGAGGCGTCAGGGTCGGGGGAGGAGGGGCTTCGGCGAGCATGCTGATGGTATTATTAGATAATGTAGTAGTATTGTTGGTGGTGGCGAAGGCAGTTGTCTTGTTATGGTTGCGAACAGGCAGGGTATCAGCAGATGCAAAGCCAATGGTTTCGTCTTGGGAAATGGATTTGTTGTGGTGGTGTGGAAAGCTTGGCAGCATTCTTTATTTGCAGTCGAAAGATTCTGGGTAACGATGACCGTTCAAATGCCTGGAGAACCCAATTTTGTGAAACCTTCCAACACCAATCAAAAGATACTTAAGACTGGTAGTGCCCAGGTCACTTTTCAGTGCCCAGTGAGCTGGCCCAGTGAAAACCTGGTTCCTGCCAGGTTCATCTTTATTTAACATCTGATTTCCTACAAAAGACATTTTGAATCTCTGGGTTCAAAATGACCACAGGACAGGGCAGTTCGATACTGAAATATTTACCACGTACGACGCTACCGGTACACCATGGTATGATACTGAAAGAACCGTACCAAATACTAGCTACCCGTAGCTAGCAGGGCCTTTTACCTTTTAGTTTACATGTACATGTAGTGGCTCGGCTGCTCGGTTGTTTGGGGGGACTGGCCCGGACTATGGCTGTGGCGACGAACTAAAACTGGTCGCATCGCCTTGTCTCCACGACAAACGGCAAATGCTCCAGCAACCTATTGTACCGCCATGTGAGTGAAAGCGAATGTGCACAGGAGTTGTCACCAGTCCGGACTAGTTCTCACAACCTACCGTACAGTATGGGCCCACCGGTACCCGGTACCCAGAAGCGAGCTACATGGCTGGAGAGTTAGGTGTTGGAGGTACCGGCGGGTACGGTACGGTAGGTTGTGCCTTACCATGCCAGCCATAGAAAGCTGAAATGGCAAAGGCTTCGGTGCTTGAGCGGTAACGTTGCATTCGCAGCAGTTGCTGCAATCGCTCGAAAGAGTCTAAGAATCAAGAAAGGGTGAGCCGTTATACTCGTTAGAATAGTACGGTACTGTACGGTATAGTTACTTGCCAGCAATAATTCGTTTTATCAACCAGGTTCATCTCTTTGTTTAGCATCCACTATCCTGCAACAGAGAACGCAATGGTTTGCGATCTTCCTCATCCGCGTCTTCTTCTTTGTCCTCTAGCTAGCTAGCTTGTACCGTAGTCGTCACTCACGATGGAAGGGGTTTTCGCGACATTCACAGTCTGGCCGCCTCCCGGCGGCCTGTCGCAGTCGCGACAACCAGAATTTTTCGCGCCAGTTAATCTTGTTGAGAGACAAGCATGGATGGAGAAAAGAGCCCAAACAGCGAGTTTCTTCGCTGCGCTGTCTGCTGATCTTCTCCTAACTAATAACGGTTCCGGTAGACTATTCTTGACAAGCAACAAGTCTTGACGATTGACGATTGCAGCGGACAGCTCCAGAAGGGGTTGTCTGGATCGTTGATAAGTTCGTTGCTCTGCAGGACTCGACAGTTTGAGGAAAGCTCTGGCTGGCTAGTAGGAGTTAAGCATTCGCCTATTAAAATACAATGGACAACCCTTTTGGAAAATGCGGCTCCGTTCCATCGGTGATGAGACAAGATGCCCAGCGCCGCGCTGCTGCCATGGCCAGCCCTTGCAACAGTGATCTTGAAAGTAACAGTATCTTCAGCGATCAATCTGCCATTCCAGCTTCCCCTCACCCATTAGTCGATGAAGGGCAGATCCCCTTTGCTTCGCCAGAAATGGCCCAACAGGCCCGCAAAGATTGGAAAACTCACGGAGGAAATTTGACTCAAGCCCTCGAAGACAAGAGACTCCAGACCGAAAACCAACTGGGAGGAGATCCCTTGTCACGACAGCCCGGGAGCCTCGTGGTCCGAGTTATTTCGGCCCAAAAGCGTGTCGACCTGAGTGGTGCCAAGTACACGGCCTATGTTATCCGGGTCCAGTTTACCAACCCAGCTTCACCAGAAAACAACAACCCTTCGGTCTCCAGCACGCTTGTGGAACACCGGTATTCCGAATTCGACAAGGTGAATGCGATTGTGAAAAAACATCAGATTCAACTCGACAATAGCGCCTCGTTTCCAGGCAAAAGCTGGGCTGGTCGGGTTGGTAACTGGACTCCAAGCCTTACCCTGGCCCCCGAAAAGCACGATGAACTCATCAATTATCGAGTGATTCAACTCGATTGCTGGTTGGTTCATATCGTGAGTATGTACAACCAAGGGATTCTACCCATGGAATTGGCACAAACTCTCTATGACTTCTTGGTGGCGCCCAGCAAACCTCCTTGCGAGAATAACAATGATATTGAAAACAGGTCGTCCTATCAATACTACAATCCATTGTCCTTCACTTTGGGATCTGGCATTCGACAAGCTACAAGGACAGTCCAATATATGTGCCGAGACCCCTACAAGCTGAACCAGAGTGATCAGAGCATCCCACTCGATCTCTTGCACGCGGCAAAAGGACTCTGTTTCCTAACTGTTGTCAAAGCCGGTCTTATGATCAGTGGGCGAATCGGAACGGGAGTGCTGGTGGCCCGCATGGACAATGGGAACAACACCCCGCAGAACAACCAGCCACTTCGTTGGAGTGCGCCCTGTGCCATTGGAACTGTCGGTATGGGATGGGGTGCGCTGGCAGGGGCGGATCTGACTCATTACTTAGTCGTCCTGACCACCAAAAAGGCAGTGGAGGATTTCTGTGGCGGTTCTTCGGTTCAACTTGGGGCCGAGATGGGTGTTGCTGTGGGGCCAATTGGTCGCGGAGCAAATTCTCACCTAGCCACTGGAGACTGGACACTCCATCCAGCCTATGCTTATGCACATTCACAAGGGTTGTTTGTTGGAATGAGCTTGGAAGGTAGTGTGGTGTCCGTTCGGAACGATGTCAATGCCAAGTTTTACGGTCAACAAGTTTCGCCCAAGGCTCTACTGAACACTCCAGGTCCCAAAGCTGCCGAGCCTCTTTACAAGGCTCTGAATGGTGCGATGCAAGAACATATTCCTGACGAAGGATTCCGACCTAGTACTCTGTTTAATGGAAATGCCGCTGCTGGATGCGATGTTTATCAAAACCATCCACAGCGTCCAGTTTACTTGAATCAGCATTGTTCCTCGCCTCCACCTCCAGTCATGCAAGTCCCAGGTTGTTTTGGACATGCAGACACAGATACGCCCCCACAACAAATTGCTTCTGGGAGCATGGAATCTTATCAAACTCACTCTCATATCCTTCCCGGAGGACACACGTACCAGCAACCCCAGTTTGGTTCAATACGACCACAGACCATTGAAACGATGAATCCAGGACCACAGCCGCTGTTTGATGCATCATCGCCCGGCAGCGCTGGAGGTGGCTATGCAAATGGCTGGTAGCGATGTCGAGTACAAGTTGGCATGCGTGTGGCGACTGTGCCCCGCTCTAGTATCGGTAGAGGCTGTAAATAGTAGTTCAAAGAAGAATTAAATTGCTGCTGCGCCACTTTGCAAATTGCCACAAGTCTCGAGCTGCTGAACGTACAAATCAAGGACACACAGCCCAACCCATGGGTCGCTGCAGTTTCTGGCACAAGAGTTAGCTCAACTTATTGTGCCATCCTGCAATGGATGGGACACAGGAAATCAAGAACATCCGAATCCACAACAGATCGGAATCCCAAAGTGGCAATACTCTGTGGCGACGAACTAACTGGTAGCATCGCCTGGTCACAACGATAAACAAATGCTTCAGCAAGCTCGGTACCGCCATCAGTGAAAGCGGATGCTACAGCGCACAGGAGTTGTCACCGGTCCGGACCAGTTCTCACAACCTATGCGCCCACCGGCACCCGAAAGCGAGCTACAGGGCAGGACAGTTGTTGGAGGTACCGACGGGTACGGTAGATTGTGCCTTACCATGACATGGAAAGCTGAAATGGCAAAGGCTTCATTCGATAGCTAGTGTGGTGCTCGAGCGAGCAGTAACTCTGCATTTGCAGCAGTTGCTGAAATTGAAAGAGCCTAAAGAATAAAGCGAGGGCAAGAGGCGTTTTACCGTACTCGTTACTTGCCAGCCATAATGCGCTCGTAGAATGAGACATTGGGCCTTTGATTTCGATTATACCATGCTTGTAGGTCGATGCTCCCATCAGTGTTTTCATTTTCATTCTTTGATTTCTTTCTATTCAAGTTGCCTTCCATCATGCCCACCAATCCAACAAAGTCTTCCAATACTTCTCTTTGTTCTGGCGACGCTCCCAACGTTTCAAGTTTATCTGCCACTGGGGCTATCAGTTTTGCCGCCTTTTCCCATTTATCATTATCATTTGCGTCTCCTCCGCCATGATGATATACTATAGAAATGGCACTGGCAAGGGCCGATAACACTTTTTGTGTTTCATCAGATTCAGATTCGTCGTTGGGTGATATTATGATGAGTTCCTTGTTCCATTCGTCTCTTTGCGACCCTTCGGTATATCGGAATATGCAGAGAGAAAAGACAAGAGACTTGGACTTGTTTGCGGCACCCGATAGGGCGTCGGTGACATTCTGCAGTGCCTCTTCGATGCAGTCTGATGATTTTTGTGTGGAAAGAAGCTTGACGTTATGAATCTCTGCCTTCCACAAGACATTCAAAAGTGCTGCGGCATTCCAATACTCTGCTTTCATGTCCTTCGACATTGTGCCCCACAAATTGGTGGCAATCAAAGTGTCGAGCTTGGCTTGATCACAAGTATCAATAAAGCAGAGTGCGAGATGAAACTCCATGTGACCTTTCATAAAGGCATTGCAATTGCTGGATTTTGCTCGGTGTTGTTCTAACCACAACGCACATTCGTGAGCCCGTCCCTGCGACGACAGTGCATGAGCAACCGCATGAATGGTCCAAGGATCATCAAACCCCTTACGAATGGCACTTTGAGCCACTTGTTCGGCCGCCATAGAGTCCCCCGCCATGTGCATGGCAAATGACAGAACGCCTCCGGCATACGGTGTGTTTTCAATCAACTCTTGTACGGCTTGAGCTAATTGTAGCATTTGGCCGGAACATGCCATCCAAAAGGCAATATTGACTGCGCGTTCGGTAAAGAATGTCTTGAGTAGATTGTTGCTGTTGCTTGTTGTGGATCCAGTGCATGCCGCCGCAGCCTGTTGAAATGCCTCCAAGGCGTCTGCAAGAGCACCCTGGCACAATTGTTCCAACCCTCGGCAAAAGTAGCCATATATCCCTTCTTCTACAAAATCTTTACGAGAGCGAATCTTACGGGTGATCAATTCGGTAGCCTCCTCTCATTTTCCAACGTTCCACAAGTAGTCTGCCTGAAACAATAAGTGTTGCACGGAATTGGACGCGCTATCACTACTGTTGATGTCCGAAGAAATAATCTTCAACGGATCTCTCAGACCGAGAATGGAAGAAATGTACTCGTTTTCTTGCTCGGTTATTGCTGACATACTAGTATTATCTTCTGATGCCATTTTATTGCAATTCATTTCGTAAGGTAGTCCAAAAGAATAGCAGTGCCTGATGATGACAACAACAGGGCTAGGCGCCTCGTTAGTGCGGTTAGTCCACGCTTACAGTGCACTTGTGTCTTGGGTTGGGTGGTGCTCGCTAATGTACCGTAGCTAGCACAGCTGCGATTGCTCACCATCCAGTTGCCACCAACCGGCAGCCATTAGAGCTGTTGAAAATCAATCGATCCAGGGAAGGTCCACGATGTTTCTTTCTGAAGGAAGGATGCGACTGGTATGATAGAGTGCAGGCAGTGACCTTTGCTACATCATTTGTTTCTGCCCCAATGATTCGATTCATCGCATCATTGAATCTATCGACTCTACTCTGACGTTTCTTTGTGCATGACACCGGCAAAGCCCATGGAGATCTGTGTGCTGGATACGTGTGGTCACTTAGACGAAGCCCCACGGGAAAAGAAAAGAAAAATCTCGCCAAACTTTCACACGATCACTGTTCCATCTATGGAGAGTTCGATGTGAGGCAGAGTATGCGGAACGAAAGAAAGGAGAGTGCGTGGGAATCGTTGATGGCCCATCACAGAACATTTTCAAGTTTTTACAAAATTGAATCCAGAGTCAAGTTATTAGAGCTCTAGACAAATAAAAATCTTTTTCTGTTTCCTAGCAAAAGTCCGTGCTTTGCTTCCACCATGAATGTTCTAGTGTTAGTTCTGCTCCTAGCTAGCTTCGACCGTCGGGGCAACCCATGTCAAGAAGCTTCGAGGCCGCGACTTGCAAGATGTCAACTGTGTCTACATCAACGGTGCCCCACAAGGGCCCTGCACTAATCCTGCTCCTGTGGTCGTGAATGCGAATGAAGACGACAGCGAAGATGCGGTGGTGTTCTTGCCAAGCGCCAACGACAGCGAAGATGAGCTAGTGTTGCCAGGGGCTACTACTGGTGGAGTAATCGGCGTTGGCTGGAACAATAACGACAGCGAAGAAAATCGAAGTAGCGACAATGGCGTGAGCGTGGTAGTACTCCCAGGAAACCAGGGCGCGAGCGAAGACGGTGATGGCGTACCGGTAGCGGTTGTGTTGCCTGGCAACCCTCCAGGTCCTGTTCAATCGACATTTGCTGCTCCTCCTGGCGGGCCGGTTCTTGCTGATATTACGGAGGTAGCTCGAGGAACGCAGTCTCTGTCATCATTGCTGGCATTGATCAATACTGCGGGGCTAGTGGAAACTCTGAAGGGACAAGGTCCCTTTACTGGTAAGTCAATGAGATCGAGTCGTGTCCATCCTGAGGGCATCATGGTGGCTTCTTGCGGCTCGCTCACATACCTCTTGTTCATGGATCTCCAAGTTTTTGCACCGTCAATGGTGCTCTTCCAACCGGTCTAGACCTATTGATAGTTCAGTCTGAAACACCCAGCGACATCCTTGTAGATATTCTCTCCTACCATGTCGTTCCTGGTGAGCTCCTCAAGTCTACTGATCTGGTGGATGGAACCCAACTTACTACCCTACAAGGAAGCAACGTCGCAGTGAGTGTCAGTCCAGAGGGAGTCATGATTAACACTGCAAAAGTGATTACTGCAGATGTGGAGGCTTTCAATGGTGTAATCCACATTATTGATGCCCTGGCCCCGCCTCCTCAAGGCACATCTAGATCTCCTTAGAAAACTAACTAACTGTAGTGCACTGTAAATCCAAATGAGTCATCGAGCTGACTAATACAAAGGGTCTTGTGGCGTATTCTAGCTAGTATGGCACCATACGGTAGATGCACATGGTACCGTACAAGCCGAAGTGGTGCTGTACCGCTGCGGTGCAATAGAAGGCCAAGACCTGAACAGGCGGCCCACTCTCGTTCATTCGCCTTGGATCTTCGAGCCAAAATGTATCCACGAATGATGGCTTCAAAGCCCGTTTCAAGGAACGTTCCAAACTTTTGCTGGGTCTTTATAAAGGGACTCATGCACGTGATGTCACGGTTTCCCGCGCAGCGTCTTTTCTCGTGACTCTGGGTCTGACGTGGGGATACGTTTCAACTGACTCAACGACTGTCACTCAACTCCCGAGCCTTCTTACAGCGAGAATCCGGAACGCACCCCGAGAAACAAAGATGAAGCCAAGGGTGTACCGGTACCGGTACAAACAAGGTCTCGGTAGCCACTTCCTGTCGCAAAACTAAGCGTTTACTCATCTGTGATATCTCTGACGTCAATCGGAGACCCTGCGAGGAGGAGCGACAAAGAAACCCTTGGAATGGCAGCTTCTGGGCTGCGTGGGTGGTGCAAAACAAAGGCAGTCCACTCCGGGCGATTCCTTCTCCATCGATGATGATGTTTGGATGATGTAACTTGACGCCTTTTCGCACGATCATCAATATATCTTTCATATTAAAGCTCAGAGTGTAGTCACAAAATTAGACCAACAGAAAACTAAATTGAAGACCGAAGAACGATGACTGTTTCTACCATGCATTCCCTTCTCTTGGCTTGTCTCCTGCTGGCGGTGCACCTTTGCGGGGCTCAGTCAACAGGACTTCGAGGGCCTGATCGGAAGTTGTCGAAGACCAACGGAGCCGACATTGGATGTGTCTTTGTGAACGGCATTGACGCAGGCGTCCCCTGCGCCCCCCCTGCACCTCCCGTCGTTCCCGTTGACAATGAGGACGAGGAGGACGAAGATGACAGTGAGGACGTCCAGGTAATCAGTAATGCGCAAAGCCTCCCTCCCCCTCCTCCGGCTCAATCTGGTATACCTGGCGCAGCACCAACTCGCGGTAAGATTGTTGCTGTAGCCCAAGCTACTCCGCAACTTTCATCGTTGGTTGCTTTGGTGACTAGGGCTGGGCTGGTTCCAACTCTGAATGGCGATGGACCTTTCACTGGTAAGTCAGGGGAGCTGCGTGGTGGCCCGTAACGGTCATGATGGCTTCGTATGCCTAACTTATTCCTTTTTCATGATCTACCAGTTTTTGCCCCAGTCAACGGCCCGGGAGCCCTCCCTACTGGCCCTTCACTGTTGGAAATGCTCCAACTTGAAACTGACACGATTGCTGACATTCTAAAGTACCATGTTGTCTCTGGTGAAATCAGGTCCACTGACCTTATGGATGGAATGGAGGTATCTACCGTGCAGGGAAGCAAAATCACTGTCTCAATTGACCCGATGGGAGCACCAATGATCAACGGTGCCAATGTTGTTACTGCTGATGTGGTGGCTTTCAATGGAATTATTCATCTCATTGATGGGGTCCTAACTCCACCTGTGGTCTCAACTCCAACTCCACCTTAAGACAAGGGAATCAAGGCCGAAGGCAAATGTGGTACGATACAAGGCAGAGAGCAATTACTGTCTACGATTTTAGCAAGAAGTGACTGAATTAAGTAGGTTTTAATCAGCACAAACTGCCGAATCGCTAAACCACAAGCTTTCACTCTGTGGTAACTTTTTGGTTGTTTGACTTTTTCACCCCCCATGGGAATCATCAGTGCTTGGGCTATTGTGGTACTTATGAAAGTGTGATTTATGTCGGCAGGCTCCGTAGATTTCATTACAGGAGTTGATCAGCTTTTCCGGTGATTCTCTGGATCGTTTCAGTATCTCAAGTCGCTCCCTGTTGCATAGGCTGCAGTGTCGTGTCCCGAAGGTTTTGACAGTGCTGATTGGGTTGCCTTGCCATAGGATGCTCATTTCGATGTTGTTCCTTTGAATGTCTCGGTTGAGTCGGATTGATGAAGGAGGTGCAAAGTTTTGGAATTCGTTGGCGAAGTGTCTTGCATATGAGTCTGACTTGCACTTGTTGTATAGGAGGCGCATGACGTCGTCGAAGTGTTGGTATATTCTTTCCTTGGTGTTTTGCTGGGTCGTCTACTGACGAAGCCGTTCTTGACGAAGAAACAGGAAATGCATCCAGCCAGTGTTTGGCTGCAGCATGCACATTTGTAAAATAACTTCCCTACTCTAGATTGCCCCCCAGTTTTTATTAATTGACCCGTGTGAGTCCCATCTCGCTTCCTTCCATCCCTTTGTTGTTTCTGTGGATTGCATGCTGGCCCCAAAGCAAAAGTCCGTTTACAACCCCTTGCTGCCACTGTCAGCACAAACAAAACTAAATACGATCCTCAAATATATGATGTTATTCATCCAGACCAGACTCTCAAGTCCCCTTGTTAAAGCCACTCATTTACGTCTCTGTGGGATCCACAGAGCCAAGCCCTTTGGCCCTCATGTATGGTCCTCAATTTGTTGCCCCTGATCCCACCCCAAATTCCACCTCCGCTTTGCCTTTAGAAGCCTGGTCCCTCGCCGCTTCCGTCCCTAGCTAGTTTCCTGCTCTTTTAAACCCCAGTAGTCCTGCCGCACAGTCGTACCGATACCTATGTCGAGGGCGTCATTGCACACCCGATGACTGGACAATTGAGTCACGATTGAGTTCGCGGTGACAATTACTTGCAATACATTAGGCTATTTTAAAATTGCCTCGTGGAAGTTTCAAGGTTTCTTGGCGCTTCCCTCACAGCCAACGACCAACATGACGGTTCAGTTGCGAAAAGAGGCCAACAACAATGAAGGTGGCCTTGATATATGTGGTTTATGCATGCGCAGCTACCGGTACCGGTACAAGTAGTGGGTGGCGAGCTGCGGAAGCATTTCAAGTGCCTAGTTTTGCTCGGAAACGCACCGCTAACGGGATGCGTGCCAGTTGGCAGCTTTGGGCTCGCGACGATGTCGCTAGAGACTTGAAAGTATCGCAATGGCTCCCCGCCGCTGCTCTAACAACGGCAGCTTTGTTGGGTCCTACGAAGCCAATCCTTCCGCCAGTGAATGCATTTCCTTCTGAGGATGCTCTCGTCCTCGTCAAGGAGAATAGAATCTCATCAGCTCCTGAGCTCTCTGCATTCAATCTCGAGAGGGCAACAACAGCAAAAACCATGCTAAGTATGCAAACGCCCCGAACAGGGCCCGTTATGGATTTGGCTCGGGTGTTGTCTACAGAAGAACATCTGGCAATCCTAACGAGCATTCAACAAGCACAAGATAGAACAGGGACTGAGATTCAAGTCATTCTGGTAGATCAGATTGACCCCGTAAAAAGATCGCCTAAACAAATGGCCACAGATCTCTTCAATCAATGGAAGATTGGTCCTGCAGGCAAAAACAATGGCGTGCTCATACTGGCCGTTCTGGACCAACACCGTGTCGAGATCGAAGTAGGAAGTGGCATTGATACATGGATGTCGGCCGACTGGTGCACACGTACTCTTCAAGAGACAGCTGTGCCTCAGTGTCGGCAAGGTCAATATGGAAAAGGGATCCTCCAAACCGTGGACCGCGTGGCAAAGCGTCTTGCTGATGATCCGCATCCTCACGGTCAATCCCACAATGTGGCTGAGAGGACTGCCGAGGCACAACCTACTGCATCTTCTTCCTCTGACTCTGTATCTTCTTATCGGCCAGTTTTTCTGTCGCTTATTAGTATCGCGCTAGTCTTGTCACGGGATACAGCCTCATCCAGTTGGAAGAGGCGAGGAGCGGGGCAGCAACCACTGGAGGAAAAAACGGAAGAGGACGAAGCGGAAATCAAGAGGGCTGCAGCAATACTTCGTGCTCGCTACTTGGCAGAAAACAGGCAAGTCAAGCCAATCAAGAAGCTTAAGAAGAGCAAAACAAAGAGACGGGGTATCAACAGCAAAAAAAGCAGTGGCTACAGACCTCGATCGGGTGGTAACAAGAGTACCGGTACCGGCACTAGCAGCAGCAGCAGCAGCAGCTATTACGACGACAGTTCCAATTGGAGCAGTAGCAGTGGGACGTCTGATTGTGGAGGAGGATCTTCGGATGATGGAGGAGGATCTTCGGATGATGGAGGAGGATCTTCGGATGGTGGCGGCGGCGGTGCTGACTGGTAGCAGTAAAAAAGAATCTAGGTACCGGTACCTACCAGGTAGTTAGTGAAAACGAGGTTTGTACTGTAGGTTTAAGCCGCATGGACAAGGAAACTGAACAGCTTGGTAGTATCTGGGAACTCTTCCCAGGAGCCACGGACCCCTCAATGCAAACAATTCTCTGCATCCTTCCGCTGTGTCCCCGAATGTGATTACAGCAACCGCAAAAGCTACCTTGTAGAAGCAACGAAGTTTGCTTGGGTGCATCGCAAGAATCCGCCCCAGCCACGAACTATTTGATTTCTAGAACTATAGGAAGCAACATAACCCTTCAAGTTTTCCAACAGCACCTTGTCCTCATCGACGACGACAACTCGGAGAGGGCAACACAGTTTCAATCTTACGGAACGGCATGGTGGATGAGAACTCCTGCAAGTTGGCCTGACGAGGGAACGAAAAAATGGCTCCAAACGCGTTGGTCCCTCGGTTTGTCCCGCCAAACCATCCGATCTTATCTGCGGGGTAGCGAGGGATGACCAAAATTTTTGAAAAAGCTGCGTGTGTCCATCAAAGATGGGATGAGCACCTGGTGTAGTCTACAGATCAGATATCTATTGACTGGTTGGTTTCACCAGATGTTTACAGGATACTACAATAGCGATGGATCAACAACAATTAGAGTCAGATGATGACGATTCACAGCAGCAAGAGCTCTCGGCGCTGTACGAGGATAATGGTGGACCTGGTATCCTTGGCACCAGTCTACCGGATGACGAAGAATCTCTGGTAATGATGTTGGTAGAAGATGCAGCCTTGGAATGCTCTTCACTTACGTTTGGCTTGCACATACCATCACCTCCTCCCGTGACTCGACACCATATACCAATAGGATATAGAAGCATAACTACAAGCCCAGGTAGTAGAATACCCGAGCCAACCAAGGGAGCCGAAGGAGAGCACTCGCAGCAATCCAGCAGAAGTTGCATGAAGGCCCGGTTCGCTCAACACTTTCTAGGGTTTCGAAGACGGAACAGCACATCATGCAGTAGTGAGAATAATAATGAGGCAACACCGGAGCTCACCGGATATCGGCTCTCTGCGTTTGATGTTCTGGTAGTGATGCCCTTTTATGCGGCATGCGGCATCATGGCCGTCTTGGCACTGGGAGGTGCCATTTTCCGATCTCCTTCTGGAGATGTCCCCGTGGACGCTGCTGCTCATACCAGTGGACGCAAGTTGCATCTGAGATGGTATCCTCAGGTCCTCAAGTACAAGGCGCCACCACAAGGCGACTTTAGGAGGACTGTCTATACTTTGGACGAGTTTGTGGTGGCGGGTGTCAACTTGGCCCAATACGGCTTGGAAACAGAAACGCAACAGCAGCAGCAAACCATTGTCCTTTCCAATATTCCAGAACCTCCCTTTGATCTGTACAAAGATTGGGACTTGGCCAGTCAGTTGCATGGTCAAGAACGATGGAGAGACTTGATTTCTCTCTTCAACAAAGTCCTCCGTGATTCCACCGTGGGATCCAAGTACCATGACCTATCGGCCGTGAAGCAATGGCTCCAATCCTTGGGAGTTCCCATGGCACGCGTCAATCCTGAAACGAAACCGCTGTCCATGGGCGCCAGTCACAAGCTGAAGAAGCAGAAGCAGCAGAAGGTCAACCAAAAGACAACAACGACCATCCCACGGCCGCCCGTGGCATCCACCAAGAAACGCCAAAAACCAGTTGTAGACAAACATCATACAGACACTCAACAGTTTGTCGTGAAGGAGGAGGAGGATGTTTGGATTGTTCAAACCAAAGTAGTGGAACCGCAGGAAATAATGGAGGAACGAAGTTTGGTAGCCGACGGGTTCTTGGAGTTTCAATGCCTCCTCTTGTGGGGACGGGTCTATGCGGTTCAATGGAAACAGGAATCACATCACAAAGGGATCGTCCATCGCAATGGAACATCATGGGTGTCCCAGCATGAAAAGACTCTTCCGTTGTGGGTCGACTGGGACCAAGTGGTGGCAACCGCCGAACGGGTTGGAGCACACAAGTCGCTCTTTCGGGTGGATGTTCTGGCCTTGCCCAAAGCCAAGAAGAAGTATGCCGTGTCGCAGGTAGACTTTGTCCCTAGTCGTTCCTTCCTGGGTGGCAAGCATGAGCACACCACGGCGCTATGGCAAGAAGCGACACGGCTACTCATGGCGGGATACAAAATGGGACACTACAGGACCATCCCCAACGCCGAGTTTTCTTGGCCTTGATGATTTACTATATCCAAAAGCCAAATATCATCTACAGATTTTGTAAACTAGACTAAACTGCTCTCTACTGTGTATGTATACCGTCAGACCGACAACTTTGCCAGGATACCAGAAAGCTCGTTGACCAGAGCTTCTTTGGAATTGCTTCCCTTGTTGTCAATCTCAAACTCGCATTCCGTGGTCTTCTCTGCCACCTTTTCATTGATCATTTTGATTTGTTCCTCTGAGATGGGTATGTGGAGGGATTGATCTCTGGATCGAAAACGTTGCAGGCAAGTATTGGGATCTGCCTTGACGCGAACTGTGACAACACGAAAATCCTTCTTCAGGGACTCCAACATTGAGTCAAAGCAATCTGTGAGACCTGTGGACTCAAACGAAAGGCCGAAGTCTTCCTTGCAAATCTCTTTCCGGACAAGCTCTTCAATGAAGGAAAAGACCTGTTGGATGTAAGCTTCATTGTTCACAGCTCGATCTTTCTTGATATCTTGTTTCTTGATGTGTTCTTCGACGGGCAGAAAGGGTATCTTGAAGTGTTCCTGTAAGAGACCGCCGAGGAAGGACTTGCCGCTCCCTTTGGGCCCTATGAAGATAAACACAGATTTGGAGTTGGGTGCTTGTGGTGAAGATAACATTGTTGCTGCTTGTTGTTTGCAGCCAAGCTTGCAAAGGATTCTTTTTGTGTGCCTTCCCCCCATTCTCCGCCAATCCTGCACACTGAAGCTCAATCGTGTGCTCGGAGGCACAGAAGAAAAAATAAGAACCGACCGAATCACCCGATTCAATGACAACAGCATCCAACGTTAAAACGGCCTCTCTTGGTACAATGAACCACGCTCTGACCTATGGAGCTACCATGCCTGTAGAGAGAACCCATACTGGGAGTTGAACCCAGACCTTCCGGTTGAAAGCCAGATATCCTCTCGGTTGGAATATATGGGTGAAATGAACCAACCAAGTTATTGCTGCTTGGTAGTAAGGCATGGACCAGAATTGAACTGGCAACCTTTGGATCAACAGTCCAACGCTCTGACCTATTGAGCTACCATGCCTTGAGAACCCATACTAGGAGTTGAACCCAGACCTTCTGGTTGAAAGCCAGATATCCCGTCCGTTGGAATACATGGGTGTAGGTGTGAGGCGGAATTGAACCACCGGCCTGCTCTGCCACTGAGCTACCACACCTTTGTTGCTACGCTTTGTGCTGCTGTTGTTGTCGATTGTGTTTCGTTTGGGTATATGAAACAAGCGCGTGGTGTCATTGTTGGTTGTGTTCTGTGTTCTGTGCCTCGTTCAGAAGGTTCAAACGTGCTTCATTGGAAGTAAGATTCGATTCGAAATTATCGCTTTGAGTACCGTACCGGCTCATTGTTGAAGTTCTGAGTTTCCGGACCACCGCACCTCATTTTTTGAGTCAGACAGACTGTCACTCGACTCTTTTGCGAGGACACAGCGGAGACAGATGCATCCATGAAGCCCACGATGACTCACTCCACTTTCAACAGGGCTGCCTGGAGCAAAGGTTCAGGTGCTGTCAGAGTCTTGCAGCCGAAAATCTCTGCAGAGGAATCTAGGTATTATCCGGATAACATGACAGCAGATACTACCTCCAGCAACAAGAAGCGCATTGCCATTGTCGGAGGCGGAGCCGCAGGTGTTAGCACCGCCTGGAGCTTGGCAAGATCCGTGCATGAAAAAGTCGATGTCACCATTATCGAACCATGTCCTTCTTTGGGAGGAGTGGCTTGTACCAAATACCTTGATAATCAACAGTTTTTGAATTATGGCGTGCAAGGTGGTACTCCAGCTTCGCACCGCAACATTATTGCCTTTTTGAAAGAATTTAATGAAGACATTGATGATGCTCATTTATCCGTGAGCTTTGGCAAGGGTCCCTATCACTGGACCAACTATCAGGACTCGCCGCTCCAACAAACACTGCAAAAGGATATCCGCCGTTTCGGCACCTTGCTCAAATGGATTTCACGGCTCGAATTTGTCACGCTCTTCTTGTCTATTGACACTGTCTTGGAGTGGGCTTGTTTGTCCCAAGAATTTCGAGATCGTATGGTCTACCCATTGGTGGCACTATTTTTTGGAACGGGCAACCAAACTCCCCACATGTCCGCCGCCGTTGTGGCCAGGGTCTTTAATGATCCATCCTTGGCACTCTTTGAGTATTCACCCGATCGGCTCATTGACAGCGAACCAACCAATTTTGCTTTCAAAAGTTTGGATCAATTTTACAATGGCAAAGTGAGACCCTTTCTAGAAGACAAAGGAGTGAAAGTTTTGACCAGCCATCGTGTGGATAGCGTTGTGAGCAGGAGCCGAAAGGATGGTGTGACTCTCCAAATCTCCAACCTTGCTGGATCAACCGACACGGACTGTCGAGCCGGAGGTGACCAAAAGTTGCTCAGCAATGATTCGCTGCTGCCTTTGCAAGATGCAGCCCAGGTCCTCCCCGAATCGTCAACCGAATCCAGCCAACAAGGATGGGAAGAACTCTTCGACGAGATTGTCTTTGCCTGCCCGGCCAACGTGGCGTTGCAGATTCTCGGTCAGAACGCAACCTTTTGGGAACGCCGCATCCTGGGTTCCGTTGAGTACTTTCATGATCTCTCCGTCACACATACGGATCGAGCTTACATGACAAAGTACTATGAGGATGTCGAAAAGGAACGAGCCATATACTTCATCAAGACATATGAACAAGATCCAAAACTATTGGAGATGGGGTTTGACTTGTCGGGGTACCAATCCAGCATTAGCAAGGGAATCATCAATCAATCGAGTCCTGAACAGCAACAACCAGAACGAGTCTTTCAGACCATCTTTTTGGACAAGAAGCGAAAGAAGGATCTCTGGTCTCTCGATGAGATTGATGACAACAAAATCATTGACCGGAGCTGGTGGAGTGCCTTTGCGCATACCATGAAGCATTTCCGAAGCGTTGTTCCCTTTGTCTGGCTCCTACATCGACAAAATGCCGTGCAAGCTACCCACACTTACTACGCTGGAAGTTGGATGCTCATCAATACCCATGACATTGCCGTAGTTTCGGGGCTGGCCGTTGCCCAGCGTCTGGGTGCACCGTATCCTTTTGCCGACAACTCTCTCGCGCTTGCGTTGTACAAGACTTTTTGGATGGTGGGGCACTTGACTGTGTGGAGAAAGTAGTTTACCGGGCAAGAATGTAGGCAAAGAAGCTGAAAGAAACTGGGCTACGTCTTCTGCTAATAGTGGTTCATTGTTCATTGGAATGATTTGAAACCAAATTTTAATCTACAAGCGGGTGCCCTTCGTTGCTCCACTCTTTGCAGACACCTCTTTTTTGGCTGCCGGAGCTACAACATGTAGTCCATGCCAGCGCCGAGTATTTTATCGCACGAGTGACAGTCGATGAGGAATCCTTCCCCTGCTACGAAGATCTTTGGACCAGCCTCCAGCCACCGACTACCGTAGCTAGCTAGGAAAGCTCGGCTGCATGTAGTCAAGGTATTGTCAATCGATCACAGGCTGTATACCGTGCTGTCGCTGTCGGCACCATGGTGGTATCGGCAACCAAACTGAACTGCCATCTGCACAGAACTCTCAAGAAATTGCTTTCCAGCTCTTTTTGGGTCAAAAGGATTCGATTCATTCCCGCATCTCTAACTCTAGTCGATGGTCAGACCCAGATCGATGGTTGGCTCAGTCGAGCTTTGAGAAATGTGTGACTGCACGCAAGCACGTCGGAAATCTCAACCAAGACCGGAAGGAATTAGGCCCCCAAGACAAAGCAAGTTTGAGGTTTGAGGCACTTCACCTTTGTTAGAAACAATGTTCAAGGCATCCGTTTGTTCGCTGCTTCGTGCATCCTTGTGCATCTGAGATCCTTCTTGCGTGCGAAATCAGAGGAAGAACCCTCAGTCAGATCCTCCAATCGCTCATAAACCCACGCGAACTTCACAGAAACAAAACGAAAGAAACACCATCTAAAAAAATTCCAAGACAAGCCACAAAGACAAAACAATCCGCACGCAAAAATGAGCAAGATCAACCGCTACCAAGAAAAATCCAATGTGGTCCCCTCCATGTTTGCCTATGCCAGCAAGAAGAAGCCCGTGATCAAGCCAACCGGAGAAGATCCTACCGGGGCGCCAGTTTCTCCCAAGGCTGCACGGGCACAGCTTCGCCCCGTGAATGCGTCTCCTCGATCGGTGGCTCCGGAATCACCCAAAAAGGAAGAACCAAAGAAGGAACCTGCAGTAGTGGAGCCGAAAAAGGAAGAAGTCGTAGTGGCTCCTCCTGTGGCTCCTCCTGTGGTTGTAGAAGAACCAAAAAAGGAAGAACCACCAAAAGAAAAAGAACAAAGCGAAGAAGAAAGAGCAGCCGCACTGCGCATCTTGGCTGCCGCCTTGGACGTGGATCCATCCGAGAACCCAACAGAGGATGTCCAAGAACTAGTAGCTCAACGATTGGAGGAACGCAAAAAGGCGCTCGCGGCCAAATTGGCCAAAAAGGAGGAACGCCGTCGCGCTCTAGAGGATAAGCTGTCGGCCAACAAGGCCGTATCGTTAGGCAAGGAGCTCTTGGGATCGCACAACTTTCTCAGTACGGAACAGCGCCAGAAAATCGAAGCCACCCGCAAGATGCAGGAAGAAAGCCAGAAACGCATGGAAGAACACAAAAAGGCGTGCGAGGCGGCCATTGCACCCATCCAAAAGCGCATTGACACACACAATGCCTACTCGGAAATCAAACAAAAGGAATACGAGGAAAAGGCCGCCGTTGCCGCAGCCGAACAAGAACGGTTGAAGGCCGAAAAGGCAGCCAAGAAAATTGCGGATCAGAAAAAGAGGGAAGAATACGAAAAGCGAAGGGACGAACGAAAGCGCAGCCAAAGCCCCAAGCAGCGTTCTTGAGATATTATATTGCTTGCTTGAGATCACATACATACATGTATTGGAGGAGGGGTGCCTTTTATAGTGGTGAGTGAAATCGTGATTATCTAAATCATTAAAAATAATTGATTAAAATCAGCAAACGAAACTGTGTGTATTAATTGAATCATTCATCCGCACCGTCGCAAATTCATACAAAGCCACAGGATGCAAAGCTATTGGAGAGTTGGGCAAGGCCGTCGATTCCCAGCTGGCAGTCGCCGCCTATCCCTGGTGGGGCCTGCCTCCACCACACCAAGCTCACACTTGGACGAGGACAGTGTCGTGCAGGGTCTGCTGTTCTTCTGGAATCGTCAGGCGTGTCTGCCGAGCTCTCAGTCAAGGATGGAGACAATGTTTGGGTCGGTCAGACGTGCCGGTACCGTAAACGAGTGTTCGAGGAGTGGCTGAGTGGGAGTTGGTCTGCACAATTTTACAGCAAGCAAAAAGTCAAACAGAGCGACAAAGCCAGCCATGAATGATACTACCTGTCCCATCTGCCTGCAAGAAGAACGCAAAGAAGATGAGATTGCTACCCTGGGTGTGAACTGTTCGCACAGCTTTTGCAAGTCTTGTCTCACCCATTGGATAGAGTATTGTGAATCCTCCAAACCACAAGCCTTGCCAGGTTGTCCAACCTGCCGAGTGCCCATCAATACCTGGGACATTGTCCGGCTTTCGGGGCGCCCCTTCCAAGAACGCCTGCCTATTGCAGCAGACGAGATCAAGGAAGACCCAGAGGAGGAACTGGACGAATTCTTTCAGACCTGGTTGGAAGAAAATGGGGCTGTAAAGTGCATCAACTGCCATATTTGGGTCACCAAAAATGGTGGCTGCGACTCTGTGTTTTGCACATGGTGCGATCGGAGCTTTTGCTTTGACTGTGCCCAGAAGGGGGTTCCTTGTACTGGGCATGGCTATTGGGAGCCAGAACCATGTGACTATTGCGGCGCATTGGATTGCCAGTCCGCTTGTCTGTTCGAACCGCTGGTGGAAGACAGGACCACTGAGTTTATCGATTGCGCAATGGATGGGATGAAGAATGGTCGTGGCGGCAAGAAGCGTCTGCTGTGGAAGGGCAATGCCCGGAGTGGCAAATGCACCAAGACACGACGGGGTGGTATCAGCATGAAACGGAGCAACTTGGCATCCTCCTCCAAGACAAGGACACAATCCAAAGGGGACAAAAGAAACAAGCGCAGCTCTGGCAAAAAGGCTAACCGAGGCAGCAAGGCACAGGTCCTTGCCCTCACTTCTTGATTTGGGCTGATCATAAGACATCTCCTCCCCTTATGTTGATCTAGCTGGGATAAAAGGATACATGGGTCGACAGTAGGGACACTATGCCTTTGCGGGGGCAGTCAACAAGAAATTGAATCAACTCTGTGTGCGTGGGTGCTGCCGAAGCTGGTGGCTTGGAAAGTTCTTCTGAAATGGGCTCGTGAGAATGGACGCTCATGAGACTCGAGCATGCTGCAGAGACTGGCCATGTGGAAGTTCTGAGATGTGATTGAGATCGCAATCACGCTAGTAGGCAATTGAGATCCACCCCAGAAGAGCAGACAAACAGACTACAGTATGTGAGGACGCCACATGTCCCTCGCCGTCGGGGAGGACTGCACAGATCGCGCTAATTCCGAGCCAACCAAGCTATTTGTTGAGCCTTCATTCATCTCGCTAGCTAGAGCGGCAACATACCAGGGGTGCAACTGACCTTTTAGGGAAGTTTTTTTGGCTACGCAAGGAAGAAAGCCAGCGAGGGCCCGGCTTAGTAGGCAAAGAAGAGGCGAAATTTGGCATGAGAAGCACCAGTGTCCTGCCTCTTCCTTTTGAAGAGAGAGGTCTAGCCAGAGTACCGGTAGGTAAACACAAATGCATCCATTCGCAAGCTGTACTGCCGGCTACAGCAATCTAGCTAGCTATAGTAGCCAGGAACTCTTGGCCACAACAAAAACAATGTTGATATATCATGTCTATAGTGTCCTTCATCACCGGGCCCCAGGGCAGCCATTGTCACGTAGCCACTGGATCACTGCGATTCTGTTGCTTCTTCTGCTGCTTTTGGCATACGTCCATGTCCTTGCATCCCATGGACAACCCTCCGCACGAGCCCACTTCAAAAGTTCCAAATGGCCATTTCTAGCAGCACAGGCACATGTCTCTGCATTCCATGGACATCCACTCTCACGAGCCCACTTCAAAAGATCCAAATGTCCACCTAAAGCAGCAAAAAGGCACACCCGTTCATTCCATGGACAACCATTCTCTCGTAACCAAATCAGAATTTCCAAATGTCCACCAGAAGCAGCAAAGGCACATGTCCCTGCATTCCATGGACAACCATTCGCACGAGCCCACTTCAAAAGTTCCAAATGGCCATTTCCAGCAGCAAAGGCACATGTCTCTGCACCCCACGGACAACCATTCTCTCTTGACCATTGGAGAACTTCCAAATGGCCATTTCTAGCAGCACAGGCACATGTCTCTGCATTCCATGGACAACCCTTCGCACGAGCCCACTTTAGAGTTTCCAGGTGGCCATTTTCAGCAGCATGCTTGCATGTCCCTGCAGCCCATGGACACCCATTTGCTCTTAACCATTGCAGCATTTCAATATGTCCATTGTTAGCAGCAAAGGAACATGTCTGTTTATACCAAGGGAATCCTTGTTGGTGTGCCCACTGCATGCCAGTAATACTTCCAATTCTGGCGATTGCATTGCAAACATGATAAAGATCCGGTGTTTTGTGGCTGGAATTGTCCTGTCGCCAGTATTCTGCACGTTTCTGGTTGCAGAATGTTTCGCTGTAAAGAGTGTCGGTGATTTCTGCAGAGCGCTTGTCAGGATTGTAAGGGCTATCCTTTACATTTCTTGGCTTTTTCTCAAGTTCCATTTCACAGTAGTCTTTGTAGAGTCGATTCATCTTCTTGTTGACAGCCCCTACGAAAGCATACTGTCCAAAACCAACAAACGATAAAATCTGGCCACTCCAAATCATATCGTCCGCAAACAGGAGTGGAGACTCGGCAGTTCTACCGGTAGTACCTTCATTAGCAGTATTAGTATTCATGGTGCAGGACTAGCTAGCTAACTAGCTACTAGTAGTAGATGGTACATGTAGCAGTGGCTGCTGTGGTTGTGGTGATGCTGTTGTAATCGCTGTTGTACAGTACTGTAATAGTTTACAAGCCCAGGTTGCTTCTGGCGGGACTCGCAGTCCTGGATACTGCCGTCAAATCCTCGCCTCAAAGATCTTCGACAAACCATCAAACTGGCCGCAAGTTCCGATTAGAAAGCACCGAGGCCAACGTTCATTCACTTCGTGCTCTAGCTAGCTTCTGTGCATACCGGTACGGTAGACTCCCCACAATAGTAGACTAGTTTCTACCATGAGTGCTTCTCTTCTCCTGGTCCTCCTCCTCCTGTTGTCGTTGTGTGACCCCGTTTGGTCCTCTGGGCACAATGACAACAGCAACAACAGCAATAATAATATTGTGGTCCTGACCGATCATTTGGCTCTGCAAGTGATTTCTCCCGCCATCATTCGGGTGTTTCGATGTGTCCATTGTTCTGAAAAAAATATCTCGCAAGCACTCTTGCAACGTTCGAGTTTGGTGGTGGTGTCCCAACAAGAGAGCATCGCTGAGACCACCTTTTCCGTCGACAAGTCGGAGAATGGCAACACCCAAGTGACCACGGGTCGTTTGATCGTCGAGACAGTTGGTGCGAAAGGAGAACAGGTGTTGGAATTTCGAGATCGCCCTAGCAACAAGGTCCTGGTTCTAGAGGGCAGGTCCTTGGCGGATACTACCGATGCGGGCATCTTCCAGGTTGGACAAGAATGGGAACTCGCCACACAAGAAGGAGAAGCCATTTACGGAGGAGGTCAATTTGTCAATGGAGAACTGAATTACCGATCGGCTCCCATTCAGCTCAAGCAATTCAATACCGAAGCTGTCGTGCCGTTTCTTCTTTCCAGCAATCACTATGGCATTTTGTGGGATCAGTATGGGGAAGGATTCTTGAATGCCCCACAAGACACCATTGCTCTCGTCCACACAAACAACACAAACACCTATACATCTTCATTTGTTCCACCCGCACAGGGGGATTACTGGTTTTCTCTAAGTGCCTGCCCCAACAAGTTTGGATGTCCCGGGGCTGTTTCCATGCAGCTCAATACTACAACAACTAGTAGCAGTACCACCAGCGATTACACCTGGAACTGTGGCTACGCCATTGCCAACATGCCCAACAGCATTGCCTGTCGCGCCAAAGGATTGGTACAGGGTCAAACCTACCACGTCACTGTGACAACCACGGGAAATACTCCACCCTTCTTGTCCTACAGGAACATTGCCACACACAACACACTCGTCATTCAGACCAAAGCATCCTTTGTGGCCGACTATTACTTTGTGGGCAACACTCCGCCGTCGTCCCAAGATGATGATGATGATGATACGAGAACTCTGGACGGCGTCATTGCCAACTACCGACAGTTGACCGGAACGGCCTACCTGTACGACAAATGGGTCTACGGATTCTGGCAATGCAAGGAACATTACCACAATCAAACCGAATTGATGGCAGCCGCCACCAGATTTCGTAACGAACATATTCCCGTCGATGCCTTTGTCCAGGACTGGCGGTATTGGGGGGATTTGGGGTGGGGACCGCACTGGGATCACAAAATCTATCCCGATCCAAAAGGCATGATTCAACAATTGCACGCCTCCAACATTCATTTCATGATTTCCGATTGGTCCATGTTCGACCCCAAAACGCCGGAATACAAGGCACTCCACGACGCCGGAGCCATGTTGCCCGATGGATCTCATTTCATGGATCCCTGGAATCCACAAACGCGGGACATGTTTATGGAATTTGCCGACAAGGCATTCTTTTCGATCGGGGCCGATGCGTTGTGGCTGGATGCCACCGAACCCGAAGGATCAGATCAAATTGGCAAACAGATTCATTTGGGATCGGGAGATGAATATGCCAATACGTACTCGCTCATGGTGGCCAAGAGTATTCACGACGGCCTCACTGCTTCAGCCGACAACAACAATAAGCGCCGCGTCTTTTCTCTGACGCGCAGTTCCTTTGCCGGACAACAACGGTACGGCGCTACCTTGTGGAGTGGCGATACCAGTGGCTCGTGGGATTCCCTTCGGCGACAAATCGCCATGTCCACCAATTATCAGCTCTCCGGGATACCCTACTGGAGCATGGATACCGGAGGTTTCTTTCGCCCTCCCGATCAGTACACTAGCCTAGACTATCATCATTTGTTGATTCGATGGTTCCAGTTCTCCGTGTTTACACCCATCTTTCGGGTGCACGGGAGTGGGACAGATACCGAGCTGTGGAACTTTGGAGCCACCGTCCAAGCCACGATTGTGGATACCGCCATTCGATTTCGGTACCGGCTGCTAGAGTACATTTACGCGGGCTTTCATCGCGTGGAAACCGAGCATTACACCATGCAGCGAGGGCTGGTACTGGACTTTTGGCAGGATTCTGCGGTACTGGACATACCGGATCAATACATGTTTGGATACTCCTTCTTGGTGGCACCAATCTACTCGCCAGATGGTAGTCGGACCGTGTATCTTCCAAAGTTGCAGGAAGGTGGAATGTGGCATTGCTTTTTCTCTGGGAAGCAAATTGCTGGCGGCTCGACTGTCCCGTTTACAAACATGACAATGGATCATATCCCGGTGTTTGTCCGACCCAGCATTGTTGTCCTTGGCCCTGACGGACGAGAGCATGTGAATGACCATGTTGGATCTGACCCCTTCCGGTTGGAAGTTCGAGTGTATGGTGGGGCAAATTCGAAGTTTGTACTGTTTGAAGATGACGGTACATCCAGTGACCCAAATCGACCGTCAACCTCGGTTTCATTTTCCTGGGATGAGAGCTCTTCAACCCTACTCGTTAGTGACCGAACAGGGACTCCCTTTCCGGGAATGCCAGCAAAAAGGTCAATTGACGTTGTCCTGGTTCGTCCTGGTATTGGAATTGGCATAGCCCCCACCAGTCAGCCCGATGCTTCCGTGGTATACGATGGGTCTGCAATCAAGGTCAAACTTGGCACTTCTGCTACTGCTGAGTAAATGTGTCATATTCAACACAGTCAATCAGACATGCCATCAAAAGAAATCAGCAAATCTCCACAGACTGCATTCAGACAGTTCGTCAAAGACATGAGCAATTTTCTATAGACGTACGTCGACTTTACGAGTGCAACTAGGTTGTTTGGCCTTTAACAGAGAAGATTATACGCTGTACGCTACACTTGACGGAGACGGACCACACACGTGGCGCCATCCAGAAGAGATCTGTCGGTGTCGGTATCGTTGCGAGTTTAAGGGCAAACATTGGTTGCCCGGCGGTGTAGCCGTGACGAGATCTTCGCAGCTTCCACTGCTCAAAGAGATTGCTGCAGAACGCTCTTGGCAACCAACTCGGGCCTTGCAGACAAGAAGAAAAATATCGCGGGGACGCTATTGCTACAGCAGACCAGTGCGTCAACCCACTCGCTGTCTCTCACCGGCAGACTGGGATCTCGTGAGCACAGCAAGCGCTTTCGCCCGGCACGGTTGAGGAGCAGACTGAGTTGTATAGAGGACCACGCCCCTCTTGACCTCGAGTTGCCGAAGCCCGCAGGAAACTGAAGAAACGTCCTTCTTGACGTCGCGGTATTGCTCCCCGCAGGAAAATGGATCCGTTGAACTGTTGTGTTTACGTCAAGCGCTTCGGCAAATGCCCTCAAGATATCTACCACATCCGCACCACGTGCTATGGGTCCGTCGCCAGACACATCAATATCTGTGAGGCAATCATTGTCCACCAGAACCTTGGCGAAGGCAACCCATTCGTCTTTCTTTCTGGATTTGCCATGCAGGTTGATCTTCTTGAGACTACTGCCTGTTTTGAGCCACTCCAGGAGTATTTCCCACCCTCGAGGACAAATGATGGCGTCGCGCAGACTCAGTGTGGTCATCGACCTGTTCCCTGATAATCCTCTCGCCAGCGCTTCCCAACCTTTCAAGGAAATGAGATGGTGGGATAGATTCAAAGTTGTAAGCGCAGTGTTGACTTTTAGAGCCTCCGCCAGGACGAGATGGCCGTTCGGTCCAATATTCTTGGAAATAGTGAGCGACCTCAAGATTGTGTTGCGTTTTATGGCTTCTGCGATTGCAGCGCAACCCTCGGACCCAACGTTGCTTGACCCGAGATCAAGCTCTTGTATGTGTGTGGTCTGGCGAACAATATCAGAAACAAAACTCCATCCGTCAGGCTCCAGATTGCACCTTACAAGGCTCAGGCTCGTCAAGGATGAGCTCCCAGCGACAGCATTGGCCAATTCCCGGAAGGGGTCAGTGGGGATGGTGCCTGGGCTGTGGCGGATGTGCAGCTTGTCCAGAGACTTGCTTGTTCGGACAATCTCAGTCAGCGCACAGCACCCTTCAGATTGTAATCTAATATCCTTCAGAACGATAGATGTGATTTTCAGGATATCCATACCAGATACTGCAGTTGCGAGTTCTTGCCATCCTTCAGGAGACAAGCCACCGTGGGAGAAGACGACTGTGTGACTGAAGTTGTGCCACCCGTGATCACTTGGTTTCTTCCCTACCAGCTCCATCGCCTCGGAGTTTCGGTGTTGTCGTCCAAATCTGCCAATAGGGATTTCGTCCTGCACAGCCAACATCGCGTTCTGCTCTCTCAATGCTTGGCAATAGCCATGGACATCGTACTTCACTCTCTGTCCATGCCTTATCATGCTGCTGGCTCCGTGCCCGTTGCTTTTTAGTCTATGTGTTGGCCTTTTCTGTTGCTGTTGAAGGCGAAGGAGATCAGTCGTAACTTTTTGTGAATATGGCCGAAACCGTCCCCGTACCGGTACGGACGGACGAGCACAACACACAAAAGCACAGCAGACCACAATACCTTTAGGAGTTGTGACAGGTGCAAAAAGTTCATGACTGAATTCTTATGTATGAAATGAGTTAGATATGTAAACAACAGTGGTGGCATCGATCGAAAGGATCTGAAAGCACCCCTTTCCTGGAACGTCACGAAGGAATGCCGTGTTCTTCCTATCGTCTCCACTCTGCCAACTCAAGCATTGGAGTGCATGTATGATGTATTCAGGAAACAGGAAAATCTTCCCCACCCTCCACGCGAACTAGAACATCCATCTATCGCTAGCTTGCCTGAAATGACTGTTTCTAGCAGGCTGGTATCATGATCATATCCATGCCATGGCCAGGAGTGCCGAGGACGCGAGCAGCGCCAGCAATGATCCCACTGTCCTCACATTTGTGTCGGCTGCTGCACTGTGTGCTCGCAAGCGCCCGTTCATTTCCATCTTGTCTTGTTCCAACGATCGCTGCTTGATGGGTTTGCCGACAAGAGCCCGACGGAAGCCAAAGTCAGGGTCTTTCACAGGGCCACTCCTGGTTCTGGAGACAGATCCGACTGGAGGCATCAACTCCTCGAACATGGTATCACCAAAGGCAACAGCGGCAGCGAGATCGACTGGATCCCAAATGACACCGTCGGCATCCTCCTCGTTCTTGGAGACAAAGTGAGAGTTACCTGCGTTTGCAGCACCTATACCATGAGCCACAAACGATTCAGCGTAGGAGAAAGGTCTTGGGAGAGGTCCTTGCCCTTGTGTGAATTGGAAGGCATCGTTCTTGGACCAGAAGACGCCAGGAGTGGATTTCAACCATGTAGGGCATTGCAATCGAGCGGCCTGCCAAAACACTTGACGATCGTTTGCGGCATCAGCCTTTTCTCGCGGCATGAGTTCAATCTCGAGAATGTTGGGATTGCGACCGTTGCCTTCGGGACAAACGGGTGTGGCTTCGGCTCGGTGGTGACGTGCGACCAACGCGGCAGCGCTTCCTTCCGTGCTAATAGTAAAGTAGGGTTCCTTGATGTCATCGCCATCGTCGCTGCTGGGGATGTATCCCAAGAATCGCGTCATCCACTCAAACTGATCCACCCATGCTTGTGCGGCTTGCGCCGGAAGAAAGATTTCATCTGTCAAGGCAGCCGCGAGGTTGATGGGATCCCACGTCCATCCGGCGGGAGCTTCGAACAATTCGTAACAGTCTTCCATGGTGGGTCCGGCCTCGGGATTGGGTTGGTAGACAGCCGTCAACGAGGCGCATTGGAAGGGTGGTTCAATGCGGAAACTATTGAGTGGGATGTACTCCAACAAGATTTCTTGCAATCGAGCATTGGGAGGGACGTTGCTCTGTTCTAGAGTGGTGACAAAGTCCAACCATGTCGCTGATTGTGCAATGTCGGCCAAGTTGTCGGTATCGACCGTGACCTTGTCCATAAGGACAGATGCCGGTCCGGCGTATTCCGTGACGAGAGTGTGGTTCTGGATTTCGTCCACTACCGCATGGACACGCATATGGTAGTCATTCTGATAGCAAGCCGATTCGCCACCGGGGGCATGGTAGCATCCGACCCAATCGACATAGGCATCATCCTGGTGCACAAGAGTACGAAGGTATGTGAGCCTTGCATCAAAGTAGAAAAGACAAGATGAAAGAATGAAATGAATAGATGCACTCACCATGGTAGCATCGAGGTAATTGACCGGGACAACTCGCCCTTGCGGAACATCGGTCAAAAAGAATACTTGCAAGGCCATGTCGGCACTGCTGGCATGACTGATGGAAAGGGGAATACTGTACAGATTGGGTGTCGCGGGAACGGTAGCGGGTAGCTCATACTCGACCAAGAGAGGCTGCAAGGAGCCCTGTGCTTCATCGGCTTGCAACTGCACGGCCACAAAGACGTGTCCCTGATCGATATAGCTCTGCAAAGCAGCTTCTAGTCCGCTGAAATCATCAGCATCATCTGGCAAGGTAAACTCCATGTCCTGCAACCACTGAATAACCTGGGAGGCATCTTGTCCGTCCAGGACGGCATAATCCAACACTCCCGCGGTACCCTGTTCTAGCACCAACAGATCTCCACCAAATCCACGAGTAGGACCTTGAATGGGACAGTTCAACTCCAACGCTTCTGGACTGCAGGTGGTGTCCTCAGCCAAGGTGGAAAAGGACGGAGGCCTGCCGGGTATGTTCATCCCCGGGAATTGACGAGCCGATTTGGCCGAAATGTCGTTGTTGGCGGCGTTGGCGCTGGGGTGGGTATAATTATGGATTTCCAAGACAAACGAGGGTCGGGTATGTTCCTGCAGTGCGTCCATGAGTAGAGTGCTGCCCGTTTCGACACGCAACGGTGCCGCTGGTAAAGGGAGAATCCAAGCAAAGACCTCTTCCTTCTCGTCTTCCGCCTCTTCAGTAGGGTTGCCCTGTCGGAACAAGATGCCATCGTTTCCGGTTGCGCCGCTGCTGCCACCTCCAAAGAGGAGTTCATCTTGGCCACTGCTGCCACCCGCATTCTTGTAGTCTAGTTGAATTTGCATGGTGACAGTAGACCCCTGCACTCCAAATACTACTACATTGTTGGTGGCTGCCACGGGGTCTTGCTCAGGGGGAGCTCGCCCAAAGAACCCACCAAAGGCAGACACTGGGCTGCTGCTAACCAATAAGGCCGCCAGCAGCAGGGATAGGTAACATGGGGAGTGGGTTGTCATTATCATGAAGGCTTTGTTCTGTACCGAGCTGGCGATGGATGATAATAGCGGATGGGTAGCTTTCAGATACCCCAAGATAAGCGAGTATTGTAGCTTTTCCTCTAGTACCGGTAGTAGGGAGCTAGCTAAAAATACTTAGAAGATAGAGGTACACAAGTTTTTGGCCATGAGATACCCTTGGGAAAGTAATCTCTCAAGCGTAAGCACTGTCTGTGTCACGGCAACAACGAACCGTTCTGCTGTCTCTGACTGCTGTTGATGATCCTGTTCCTGTTGATAAAAGCTGCTTCAGTGCTTCAGTCTTCAGTGTAAGCAAGCTTCACGAGGCCAGTGGGTATCATAGGATCATCAAGAAGCACGGTAGTGAAGGCGACGCACCATTCTTATAAGAGTTATCATCCACCGGATCCACCGGGACCTGAGTGGGCTTTACAATGAGGGCAACCAGTTCGTCGGGACAGATCTAAGCCAGTACGTTACCGAGCGTCTGAACTTGTTTCATAAACATATTAAATCCTCTAAGATTTGGGTCAGGGGGCACTAGCCTTCGAAGAAGTTGGAAGAGGAAAGCGTCCTAACTGGAACAAAGCCTACCGAAAGATGTTACGGAGGTAGCAACAAACGGTCAAGCTACCATCTCAAGAGCTGGGCAAAACACGATTATCAGAGACTTTTAAATCTATTTTATTGGTGGCCCATAAGCCCTGACAATGGTAAATTAAGCGACTTTAACCCTAAGCATGATTTCTCATTTATTGCTGTTGTGATCAAGCAGGTCTCATTGTCACTAGACTACTGTGGAAATGTCATTTGCGCAAATAATTGTGATTCATGGGTGGTAGTGCGTATGATAGTTAATCCGGGTGGTACCACCACTATTGGCTGTACCAGTTACCAGTACATGTCCTAGACGATCAGAGATCTTCATGGCTTTTTCGGACATCGGACATACCGCTACCGTGGTAATGGCACCACCGATGGGATGCTCGCAAACGATAGTAGAAAGCGAGAAAGGTCCAGAGTCCAGAGGTGCGACGAGCGACGAAGGAAGAAGGGAGGTCTGGGTCCAGGTGTTGTTAGTGCTGGTTCTAGTAGCTAGCCTACACGCACCGAGCGCCGATCTTGAATGCTGATTGAATGAATCGAATCGAATCGAATCAATCTCACTTCGCAGCCACTCTGTGCAAGCAAGCTACTTGCTGACCACTTGGCCGTTAGTTAGGCCTCCCGGTGTACCGGTGCGTGTACTGGTGGTGTAGTTGCTCGACGAGCCATGGCCAATAGCACCTGATGACGGGCTTCTTGCTTGCTTTACAGTATCCGAGCTACGAAGCTGAACCGTCTTGCTAATCTTGCTGTGATCTTGAGGCTGGCTTTCCATAGAGATGCCATTGATTGCCAGTCATCCACTCCTGACATTGTGGCTACAAGTATCGGCTCGATGCCTGCGGTAAAACTCCGGTTTGAGTTAATCGGACGGTACGGACTCGTCACTCGATCATTCTCTCGATGACCTTGATACTTTCGACTCCCACGGTACTGTGGGCTTGCTGGCTACCGCTATAGCTGGCTACCGGTACGTAGCCAGGCCTGGCACTGCAAGAAGGTTCCATTCACCTTCCAGGTCCTACGTGTACTGCCCAGGTAGTTGGTGGGGTGTATCGGAGTGGCTGGCGGTTTCCCGGGTGTAGCAGCACCAACCATGCTGTCTGAGGCGGTGTTTGCCTGCAGCCATCACAGGTCCAACATAGTGGTCACTCAATTTTTGCTCCCCTGCACCAGCACTTGGCTCTCTTGCAGGAGACAATCACTCCATAGAGGTGCTTCGCTATTATTGAAACGAAAGCATAAGGGGTACTATCCCTTGCATCAGGAGCCTACTACTGTAGACAATCATTGGCTTTCGCTGCAACCACCATACAACTGATGTTAAATCTGCCGTCCCATTTTTGGCACGGTGGCCTGTTTGCAGATCCAAGCGTGTCGCCAGTCTCCCAGGATGAGATCTCCTCATCGCGGGTTCTCACCTTGGACTTGGGCGCAGTCGGGAAGGACAAAAGGTCGAAAGGTCACAGCGCCGAGTGAAGTGTAAAGGAACGGCGATGGCCTGGAACCTGTCGACTGTGGCTAACGGTACCAGTTGCCACGAATCCAGCATCAAGCCATTTCAAACTCGTTGAGGGCTCACGCCTTCGGCGGCCTGAATTGTTCGAGTCCAGCACTGGGGAGCATTCATGATCAGAGGGCAACCAAGTAAAGATTCAACTACTTGTGAACGCGCACTTAAATTGAGCATCTCTTATCCGCACCCGATTGATTCCATTCACAGAGCAAGTTTATTCATTAGTTTTCGTTACTTGTTGACATGAATTTTGTTATGAAAGTTATGTTAGTTGTTTTCAGGCAAGTCATTGGTAATGGAATGCACCGCACGGTCCACAACCGACTTCATGTCCACTCCAAGACGTCGGAGACTTGACATTCTACGGACAGCTTCCTTTGATGCCATCAACTGACCAGTGGCATACTCACGAAAGGCTGCCTTTTCAGTTTCATCCCATGTGATGCCCAAGTTGGATCCAATGCTCTTGACAAAGATGGCACAATTGTTGGTGAAAAAGTGTAGATCCCATTTTCCTTCACTTTTGCGTTGTCTACGGCAGACTGAAGATCTGGCAACATATAGTCACCGGAGACCTCAAAGAAGTCTTGAGAGGGGGTGACTTTCCTCTGACCCAACAGCTCATTGAGCTCACTGTTTGCAAGCACAGTAACCATCTTGGAGCCTTCCGACATGCCAGTGCCAAACTTGGCATCCATGACAACATGTGGACAGTCCTGCACTCCTACAGAGTTGGCATCCTCCTTGGGAGATGCAATCAGGTACACATGTGTGTTCACATAAAGTGATAGCTTGTAAGCCCTTTCATTGCACGGGTCTTTGATGGATACCCATGATTCTTCATTGGTAGCCAGCCTCCTTCGAAAGTAGCACTCATCATTTTTGATCTCTTCATCAGTGCAATCGGCGATGGTTTGTTGGGCACCAGCAATGGCAGCCAAGAGAGTCAAGATAGAATGAAGCTTCATGTTTGCAAGGATGCTGGTAGGTTAAGTTTCTTGGTTGGTTGGTTGGTTGGTTGGTTGGTTGGTTGGTTGGTTGGTTGGTTGGTTGGTTGGTTGGTTTAGCTTAGATGTCGATGTATGAGCCGAACAGTGGTGCGATTGTGCATCGATTTCACTGTGCCCTTCACGGCAGGGGGTCTGCGATCCAACAGTGCCCTGGCTTGTCCAGTTGACTTCGCTCAAAACGAACTTGAGGCGTTGTACAACTACATAGCCAACGATTTTATTGCTGCCCTTTCAATCTTATTGCTTCCTAACTACAGTGATAGCAGCGGCGTTGTGCAGCAGACAATAAAGTCGAGTCGAGCAGGTCCAGTCACAGATTGTCAAACTACAGTGACTACGGTATGGCACCGGTAGCTAGGCAGCCTGGGTGTGATGGGCGACAAGTGATGATACACCACAGGGCACTGCGATGTTGTTTTGGGCTCGTCGTGACTTGGGTTGAAGCACACGGCGCCTTCGAAAACACCATGCGTGGAGCTCTGGCTGGAGCTTAGGTGCTCCGCTCCGCTGGACATGGAGCTGTGGCTGACACTGCTCAGGTCGCTACATTCTGTCGCGACGTCGGTGCCGGTACTAGGGCACGCTAGGGTATTGTTTAGTTGCAGATCGATGAGATCGGCATGTACATGGCAATGCTAACTCAAGAGATCACAAAATCAAAATCCACTTCAAACAAACAAAGAAACCAACCAACCAAGAAACTTAACCTACCAGCATCCTTGCAAACATGAAGCTTCATTCTATCTTGACTCTCTTGGCTGCCATTGCTGGTGCCCAACAAACCATCGCCGATTGCACTGATGAAGAGATCAAACATGATGAGTGCTACTTTCGAAGGAGGCTGGCTACCAATGAAGAATCATGGGTATCCATCAAAGACCCGTGCAATGAAAGGGCTTACAAGCTATCCCTTTATGTGAACACTCATGTGTACCTGATTGCATCTCCCCAGGAGAACGAGGCCAACTCCCAATTGCAGGACTGCCCACATGTTGTCATGGATGCCAAGTTTGGCACTGGCATGTCGGAAGGCTCCAAGATGGTTACTGTGCTTGCAGACAGTGAGCTCAATGAGCTGTTGGGTCAGAGGAAAGTCACCCTCTCTCAAGACTTCTTTGAGGTCTCAGGTGACTATATGTTGCCAGATCTTCACTTTGCTGTAGACAATGCAAAAGTGAAGGAAGATGGGATCTACAACTTTTTCACCAACAATTGTGCCATCTTTGTCAAGAGCATTGGAGCCAACTTGGGCATCACATGGAATGAAAATGAAAAGGCAGCCTTTCGCGAGTATGCCACTGGTCAGTTGATGTCATCCAAGGAAGCTGTCCGCAGAATGTCAAGTTTGCGACGTCTTGGTGTGGACATGAAGTCTGTTGTGGACCGTGCGGTGCATTCCATTACCAGTGACTTGCCAGAGAACTAATCGATCAGCCACAGGCTTGAATGAATGATCTATCTAGCTACCCTACCGTACTAGACGTACTAATGAATAAATGTGCCCCTTGAATCGAATCGACTTGATCCTTCTCGCTGGGCGCTTGTGTTAGAACTGCACATCCAGCTTCCGGACCAGCACATAGTAGTGAGACATCAATCTGGCTATCTTCGAGGATCAGGTTTGTGCGCCCTGTGATGTTCGCTCCTGCATTACATGTACCTGTCTGTGGCCTCAGGGCCGTGATAACTTTCTATAGAGAGAGCGGTGTTAGCTAGCTAGCTATTCATTCGGGTCCAACCAACATTGCTTTCTATTGAGAGAGTGGTGTTATTCTACACTGTAAAATGAATTCCGTAGACAATCCAACTACTCTAAACCCCCTTGCTCAATGTAGGGCATTGGTCGCTGATGCCTTCACGAGGAGGAGGAGGTGTGTCCATCGGGTGTTGGCGAGTAGAGGTTCCAGACAGATAGTACTGAAATATTCATACAAGACTAGTTTAGTATGCAGCATAGTACTGAAGGTCAAATACTTAGACGAATTCAAAAATTGCGCCTAACTCTCGCGTGACCGTTGGAGTCTTGCGGAACATGAGGAGACTTATTCCCTGAGGTGCACCGTACCTCCTCACGAAATCTCCTCACATTTTCGAAGACGTATCTTTCCGTGGGAAGTCGAGTCATTGGAATACCACTACAGCAAAGCTGCTACATCACCATGTTGTTTACTGCTAGTCATGTATTCAAAGAGTGGCTAGATATTAATGATCGCTATCCTTACAATGAGATGAGGAAAACCAGGCAGACTTATGTTTGCAAGCATGTTTTGCTGGAGGATCAAACTGATAGGGAAGACAGTAGAACCCAGTACATTCTTGTAAAGACCAGATACCTTTCCAGTGGCATCCTGGAGCAACTCATCATGGAAGGGAATGCGCTGCCAATGACACCTGATCATACTTGGCTCTTGGAACAGATGTTTGTGTGGGGTGTCAGGCACAGCAATGAATGGTACAGTGAAGTTCTTGCTGAGCTGGCATGGGAAGTGTATGAGCATGAACCTGTTACAAGGAAAGAGATGTGCAGGGAGGTAATCAAACCACTTATGAGAGGTGCCCTTCACCAGCAAGGTATTGGTGGAGACCATATTGAAGTCAAGTCTTTGTTACTTACAGAGTGGGAAGAGTGGTTTGACAGAAAGTGTTGGAGCCAGCACAAGCACAACCTGAGTGGAATGACAATCAGTAGTGAGCAGTACATTATCAACAGGGCTGCATTCACTCTCCATCATGGTGGCTACTCTTACCCAATGCACCTTGACTGATTTATGTCTGGAAAGAAAGAAAAGGAAGCAACAGCTGTAAGACTTGTTGTTGTTTGTTATCCAGTTGGTGTCGGAGTAACAATAGTCAAAACTTACTGTGGCTTGGTACCAATCTGCCACTGTAGTGACCTGGCGCTCATGTACATCCTTGCTGCATGTAGGGCCAAAGCCATCATTGGCACTATGGTACTGCTTCCTCTCCATGCACCTCCCACAGTAGTCTCTCTTGCAGTTCTTAGCCACACCCTCAACAGAAGTAACATGATCACTTTTTTGAAATCCACAAGTGGAGCAATACTTTCTACTCCTGAACACCATTCTTTGCGGTCTTTCTGGCCTAGGAGGCGCTTCTGCTGGCACCTGTGTTAGAGCAACTCGATAAGCAGCATTGGCAACAGCAGGAGTTAGATTGCCAGTGGCAGCAGCAAGAGCCAATGCACCAACAGCCACTTCAGGATTCAGAGTTGTGGGATTGCCAAAGGGAGTGGTTCCATCATTTGTGTATGTCGCTGGTGCAGTGTTGTGAATGCGTGGTTGTGCTTCTGCTGGCATTCCTTGTCTGTTACGGCGAAGACGACCATCCAACTCTTCGCGTTCTTCGTTGTCGGCAGGGGCTGCTTGGAGTGATTTGAGCTGTTCCACCTTGTCATAGTGTTGCTGTAGGAGAGCACGGCTCTTATAACGCAGTTGCACAACGTCCGAGTGATCGCCTTGGGAACTCCAAAGCTTAAAACGCCGAGACACTTCAGCATTCCAGTCTCTCTCAAAGGATTTGAAACTCCTTGGGCCTGATTGGGAAGACCTATCATACCGGCTTACCCATTCCTCAAACAACTGTGCTTCAGCTTTGTCAGCCTCTGTGGCAGGTGTGGAGCTGTCAGGAGATCGCAAGGGTAGCCATTCGCAGTGATTGGTGAGGCGACGGAAGGCTTGGAGTGTTGACTCGTTTGTGTTGTTGGTCGGTAGCAGCTTTGCGAGTTCTTGCTCAATGAGCAATCTGTTCGCCTTGTCATTGGCAGCGGCCCTTTCGCTGGATTCATTTAACTCCACCTGTTGGCGAGTTTGCCTTGTATCGGCTCTAGTTGCTTCATTGTATTCTTCTTCAGAACCGAATACCTCTATGTCCATGTCGTCCCCCAATTGGCCACCAAGAACTCGCTGGATTTCTTCCTGAGATTCTGGAATCGCCCCATCTTCATCATTGGCGACTTCTTGCTCTTCTCCATTTTCGCCAGATTGGTAGCCCTCTGCAGCCCCATCAGTAGGATTGGACACTTCTGTTGTTTCGGGAACTGACTGATAAGCGAAGCCCATGAACTCCGGTGGAAGACTCTTGTCTACCTTGGGGGCGGCCAATGAATAAGGTGCTTCTTTGAAGCCAACCTTCTCTGCATAAGCGTTCAACAGGAGAAGCTTCTCTGTGTTTAAAATCTTAAAGTCGGTTGCCCCAAGTCGGATTACAGACTTGCGGTCGTTCCTTTCCTCGAAGAAACATGACATAATTCGCTCACCGCGGTGTACTCCTGTTCAAATTTCAGTGGTTAGATAATATGATGCAAGTTGCAGAGATAATGGTCACTGGATCATTTTTTACTCACCAATATACGTAGCAAGTAGAAGCAGCGCCAGATCCAAATTGTCTCGCTCATTTGTATTGGTACCACGTGCAACGTAGGTGATGTCAGTTACTGGATTCCGCCTGAAGATGTTGACAAGGCTGCTTGGAGGATCGCTCAAACAACCAGAGTCGACATGTAGCATCTGCCTCCTGACAATGTCTGTCAACTTCCAGTGCTTGAAGAAGAGCTTTGGCCTGGGCGAGTTGTCACCTGCAGGACGCTGTGAGAGAACCCGATAAGTCTCAGTGTCCTTGTTTTGAATGTAGTTCAGTACAGCTTCGATGTTGCTCCTAAGCGTTGCCTTGTCTGGAATGATGGAATTTGCCTCTTTGACTATCTCTTTGGTGGTTGGTTCGCGCTTCAACTTGGCTTCTAGCTTTTCCCTTGATCGCTCAAACTCCTCTGGGGTAATCATGAATAAAGCCCTTGACATAAGACCACGGAAGATTCCAGCTTGGAGGGAAGAGCAGTCCACCATTAATTCATTCCAGCGCTTCAACCAGTGGAAGGGATCCAACAAGATAAGAACCGATTCTCCATAGATCTTCCTCAGGATCCTCCTCACATTGCAACAGTTATCCACGTATACCACCTTCACCGAATTCTCCACAGGGCACATGGCTGGACGTTTCCTGTGAGCATGAAAGTTGGCATTCAATCTATTTCGAAGACGTACGAGATCCTCCTCAATCTCGCTGAAGGATTCGCTGTGCTTCAAAGCTTTCCAGAAGACTGTCAGCCCATCTTCATTTTGAATGGTGACAATGCACTTGTAGGGCTGAAAACTGCATCCTTGTTTGGTCCAAACTCTGATTTTCTGGGCCAGCTTGTAATTAAAATCAATCTTCAGCAATGTGGCGGTCAACCCAATCATCTTGGTCTCTTGGAACACTTTCCGGTGCTGGAAATAATTCATGACAAGGCTGTCAATTCGATACTTGGAAAGGACCCGCCCATTATATCCCATCTTATTACCAAAGGCAGAAAATGGGACCAGGTTGTTATCGGCTTCCTCCTCCTTGGACTCTTCTCCTTCACCACCATTCCTGGCAATCCCATTCTCTCGGCGAAACTCCAACAGGGAATCAACACTTCGATTATAAGCCCCAATTGCTGTTTCGACTTCAGCCTTCCTGACTGTCACGGCTTCCTTCAACTGATCATAATGCTTTTCCACAATCCACTTCCACTTTCCCAATGGCTTTATGCTGTGCTTGTAATCCTTTGGATCAGCGGCAAGAAGTTCAAAGCAGGTTTCGATGCCATGATCCATTAACTTGCGAATCTTGGTGGATCCCAGACCCTTCAGGAAATTCTTGGTTCCATGGTGGTTGTGGTTGTCTTTCGAGGACAGCATAGATCGAAATGACCAGTCACTGGAAGCACGACCTTTTGCTGATTCCACCCGTGCTCTGGCACTTCGAACATCTGCCATTGCCCTAGTCTGTGTGTTAATCATCCGTTGCTCTTGTCGATTGCTGCTTTCGGCTGCTGGCATCATTTCCACAATTGTTCGCTGTCTCTTCTTTGGACGGATTTTATCAAGGCCGATTGCAGTAAGGTACAGCTGGTGATCTTCGTAGTATGTGATTGTGGCCATCCGTTCCAGTTTCTTGGCAATTGCCGCTGTTGCTTCTTTGTAAGAGCTTTCAATAATAAGGCTATGCAACTCTTCATCTACTGCGAATCCGTGGCCCAAGTAGAATGTAAAGAAGCCATAATAAAGGGAAGAATCGAGTTGCATGGATTCCTTGTTGTAGCCAGCAAAACGTCTACCACATCTAGTGCACAGATAGAGAACAGTGTCAAGGTAACGAATTCTTGATACCCCATACATGACCTTGGGGCAATTCACCCAGCGGCACTTCTGTAGATCGACTGCGTCTCTCTTCTTGCAGTGAGCACAGCATGGTACATGGTTGGGCACAAGGAGGTGGGGAACCCAGACAGCAAGTGGCTTTACATAGAATTGTTCCACAGTACTCTTGCTTCCACGCTGGTCGAGAATCATGCTGTCAAATCTTGCTCCTTTTGTTGGAACAATTCGACGCCAATCCCTTGGTGGTCTGAAGAAGCTCTTTGAGTCATTGTCAATTGCGTCTCTTGTCTTCAACACGAAGCGCCATTGTGGTTCTGAGAGCTGCTTTGGCTTGTTGCGGCGACTGGCCATGGTGGTCCACGATACTAGTACGATTTGTGTTGATTGATGTCATTGGAGCGCGAAAAAACGTTCAAACGTTTGGTAAGGTTAGGGGAAGATATTTCAATCTCTAAGTACGAATTTTTCAAGGGGTTTCTGGAGAGTCGAAATGGCAGTATAGATTAACCTCAGAAAAGAACGTAGATTGGCGTCATGAGGACATGCTAGAGTTATGAGGCGCAGAGGGAAACGGGAGCCATGACATCAGAGGATATTATTGGGCTACAACTTGGACGCCAACCTCCTCCCCCCCTTTCTTTTTTCCTCCTGCGCGGGACCAACTCATAGCAAAACCGTCCATCGGCTCATTTCTGGTTGATTGAGTCAAGAGCCATTGGTGATTGAGCCAATTGAGAAGAAGCCACATCACACTTCAGAATTGAATCAGAATCACAGTCCAACATCAGAATCTTGCCACCATGACGATGACGAGCTGCTGGGTGAGTGCCGCAGTTATTTTTAGTTCGCTCTACTTGGTATCGGTTTCTTGTCTGCTTATATACCACCATGAGCGGAGCGGGTCTTGGCACAGTAGCGACGAGAAGCAAAGATGATCACGAGGGCAGCCCAAGAGGATGATGCACTTCTACATGTAGTAGCCGAATTTCGACGAGATGTCGAGCAAGGCAAAAAACAAGAGCTACATGTACGATCGTCAAACGATGAGGAGCTGCCGAGCATCCAAGAGGAAGCCATGGACATCCTGAGACTTGCGGTTCCTATTTTCATTGCAAGACTTTCCTTTGTGGGGGTGAGTAGTAAAAAACTGCACTGCATGTCTTTACTACTTTTGAATGAATGCTTGCTTGCTGTCACTGACACTCTTATTTCTGTTGCCTGATACTCGCTACTGTTGGAATGCAGATGAAAACCACCGACACGGCACTGCTGGGCCACGTGAGTTCGAAAGACTTGGCCGCATCGGCATTGTCCGATTTATGGACCATGTGTACCCAAGTGATTATGAGTGGACGCATCCTGGGAGTACTAGTGGGAGCGGCTGTTGGGGCGGGAAATCCAAAATTGGCCGGCATTTACTTGCAAGTGAGTTGCGTCGTGTTGGGGAGTATGGCGGTGCTCGTGTTTGTGGCGTGGAACTGTACCAAACAAGTATGGCTCCGATTTGGCAGCGATCCCGAAATCAGTGCCATGGCCGGATACTACGCCCGGGTCCTCAGTTTTGCCATTCCCGCCATTGTGGCATTTCGACAATTCTCCAATTTCTTTTCGGCACAACGGATTATGCATCCCGAACGAAACAGTGCCATGGTCGGATTGTCACTCAATCTCATTCTGGGACTGGTCTTTGTATTGGGATGGCCCATTCCAGGATTTGAGGGATATCAGTTCACGGCGTGTCCCATTGTGACAGTGGCCGTGACGTATATCCAATTAGCAACGCTGGTCATGGTCTATCTGTGGAGGCAAAAACTACATGAACCGTGTTGGGGTGGATGGGATTGGAACGAAATTACATGGGCGCGCATCAACACGTATTGTGAACTATACTTTCCGGCCGCCATGTCATTGGCGTCGGACTTTTGGAGGGTGGCAGTGATCGGGGCTATCGCTGCCAGATTGGGAGAAGAACAAGTTGCTGTATTCAATACTAGCTACAGAATCATGTGGATTGCGCTCATCATGGTCGGCGCCATGTCCAATGCATCGGCCATCAATATGAGTATACGACTCGGAAAAAATCAACCAGAAGGGGCCAGACAAGCAGGATACGTTGGCATTGCCATGGCGACCGCCATACTAACTGTGTTGAGTACCCTGATTCTATGTCACAGCGACTGGTTTGGGAGAATATTCACCGAGGACCCCGTCTTTTTACAAATGTTCAATGAAGCCAGTGTCCCATTCACGTTCACTCTATTCTTCATGAACCTGGGTGTGGCCATTGAACGTATTCCATATTCGATGGGTCGGACGAGAGACTTGTTTTGGACGGGGTTTCTGGCATCGTGGGGAGGTGAGATACTACTAAATGGAGGCTTTTTGTTTTGCTTCTTTCAAACTGCTGTTGTCTCATCCCCTCGTTCTCTTTTGCGTGCGTCTCTTAATTAATTAGGCCAAGTACCTGGGGTCATTTTGTGCACCCAGTATTGGAGAAGTGATCTTTTTGGTCTGTATACTGGCATGGCAATCGGATATGGCATGCTGGTAATCCTCTACTCTGTCATCACTCTCAAAAGGTAGGCAAAAACTGTCGTGAAGCGAACGACCTCCAATTGCACCGCTCTCATGACGCCAGTGAATCTTTTGTGTGTGTGTGTTGCAGCGACTGGGTGCAGTATGCCGAAATTGCCCGTAGACGATCAGAAGTTGCAATGACGTAGTAGGTGTCGAAGCGAGCAAACAAGCTACTATGGTATGTGTGCTTGCCTCTGTTAGCTGCATCTGCACTTGCTGAACAACCGGGGGCGGGTGCACACGTTGATACCGTGTCTCTCCGCAAGGCATCTCCTAACTGCTTCCCCGAGGAACAAGGAGGGAATCTAAAATGGGCAAACGATAAAACAAGACCGCAGAAACGGCTCCAGGGACCAGGGGCCATTAATGGCTACGAACTTGGATCCATTTGTCGACCTCGATAGGCATCTGCATACTTACTTCATGACGTCGACGACCACGGCGCGCTTGGAAAGCGAAACAGTGCCGGAACACAATAACCTTGGTTTTGCAACAGAGGTTTCTAGGGTGAATTCCGTTCATCATTGGAGAGTTGGCTACACGAACTATCTGCCGCTACCCTGACATAGATTCCGTGCCTTGAATATCCAAAATCAAACTGAAAGTGAGAATGAAGAAAAGATAAGCTACACCGTGTGACAGACACATGGGCGATTCATTCTAAACATACAAGCCGGTAGCAACATTGACATGGATTATATTATGTAGAAGTTATCATCTTATGAGCAATAGCATTTGCAGATCGAGTAGCCTGTTTCTAACGACAAAAGGACACCAAATCAACTGCTCCAAAGACTCGGACACCATTCGTTCAGCAGACCGTACCGAATCTGATCCTTCACTTGTACCTCTTGAATATCCTCAAATTCGTCAAGATCCTTCATCACTTGGAGAAAGTTCGTCTTACTGGCCACACCACCCGCACTGTATGTGTGCAGGGACTGACCAAAGTGCTTCAATGCTGTGTAATACTGCAAACTGCGGCACATTTTTCCATATTGAATGTACTCCATGTAGCAATTGGTTTGAATGGTTGCGGATTTCTGCTGGGTGGTGGCAAATTGTGCCAATAGCTTGGGCGCCACAAAGAGACCTTCCACCGTCAGAGTCTCCAACCGTGGGAGCATGTCTGCCACAAAGTCGGTCATGTCGAGTAACCCACGCACATCTCCAAAGTCTTCGGTCCTTCGAAAGATGAGTTTGAGGTGTTTCAAATGTTGCATTTGCCGGATCGTTGCCAGAAGCGCTTGAAAGATGGTGTTGGACATGCGAGTTTGCACCAGCTCGAGACGTTCCAACGACATCACGTCCCTCGTCGCTGTACCAGTGGCAGCAGGAACGGCATAATTGCTAGCAATCACGGAAGCACTCTCAAAAATGGTACAACAGTTCAAGGACAACCGCTTTGGTTGCGCCTTTTGAATAAACTGTTCCAATGTATCCTTGTACAACTGGAAGGAGTGCAGTGATAAGGAAAAGCGAAACTCGGGGGGCAACACTGCCGATTGGAGAATTCCACGGAGTGTTTCCAAACAGAGAATGTCCGAATTGCGATTCTTGTCGAACCACGCATTCTTGACTTGTATTCGCAGGTCCAACAATGTGTTGTTATTGTTATTGTTGCTTCTCAAGAGATCCCGTAGGTGCTGTCCCATGCGATGGTTGCTGGTAAAAAAGGCTCGTGGGATCCATTCCAAGACCAGTTTCTGGACTCGACTAGTGCTGCTGCTTTTGACTAGTGTCGTCAACAAGTGGTCCATACCCTCCCACGTCCACTGGGTTGGGCGACAAGTGAGAGATGTCAGATAGGGCAAGAGTCTCGTCAGGGCATGACATCGGTCGATATTGAGTATCAAGCAATTTCCAAACGAAAATTCTTGTTGACGAGACGGCAGTTGCGACGCGAGATAATCAATGATAGGATCTTCATAGGCATTTTCAATGGCAAATTGCAGGGGTGTTTCCCCATTCTTGTTCTTTTGGAGTACCGACTTTGGATACAGCTCCACCAAACACTGGATGGTTTCCAGAGTGGAGTGTTCAAAGAGACTTTGCAAGGCATGATGAAGGGGCAAATTGCCACTGGCATCGGGAATCGAAACTGTCTGAGGAAACCGTTGGGCCAGAAACTGGACCGAGGAAAAACTGTTGGGTCCACTGGTAGCGGCCGCCACGTGCAATGGCAAACAGGGATCTCCCGAGGCAGCACTAGTAGTAGACTGGCGACTCTCACATTTTCCTAATGCAGCATCGGGGTATAACTCTAGCACTTGCTGAATGATATCGAGAGGTGCTTGGAGGGCAATCAGAGATGCCAAAGGAGATAAGGATTGACCCTTTTTGCCATTGCAGACACATCCACAAAAGAAGGTCTCTTGTGCCAACAGAGGATGTGCCTTCAGAATGCCCAAGACCACGGAAGCATCTCGAATGGCCCAAAATCGCAGCTTATCTCGGGCATCCTCCAGCTTGTTGGCTTTGATGGAATCGGTAGGAACCAAACTCTCCATGGTCATTGCCGAAATTAATGCCAGCAATGAAGCTTGCTTGGGATGACAAAAAGATGTCTCTTGTTGTCCTTGATGCCAAAAATTATATGTCAAGTGAGAAAAAGTGTGCTCTTTCTTCCGTCCCTTTTGGAATGACGATGAGGAAGATGATTGATAGCCGGACTACTATTGGTTGCGAGGCAAACTTCTACAGTACTACAAGAGCAACAACGTACTACGAACCCAAAAGCCAACGAGCCAATGTCGAGGAAGAAAAATGAAAGTTCTTGGAACGGCCACAAAAAAGTGACGCTTTTGGCATCAGCGCGATGATGTCACACGGACTTTGAAGAACTTGAAAACCGGATTGAGGGTGAAATTCCGATGATGAGAATATCCCTCACCCTGACTGTTTGTATAAGAGTAAGGGTAGCTGGGCACGCACACAGTAGGCACGGACAAACCTACCGTTCAACCGATAGCTAGCCAGCGAAGGTGTTATTAGAGGGTTTTGAGTTGGAGAGTTATGAATGATGACATTGGATGTAGAGGGGAGGGGGGTGACAGAAGTCGCACCAGACAAGCACATATGGTAACAAGATGGCCCTGGAGATGGTCCAGGGACAGGCGTAGGTCAGGATGTCGGGCGAAAGGCGACATGCTAGGCCAGCCAGCCGGAGGTCCAGGAGTGGAGCTCAGAGAGCACACCACCTACACATCCCATCTTTGATACTTCAAGGTTTAAGCCCCCTCTGTTCTTTGATACCAGTTATGGTGCCGGTGCCAGGGCTCCTAATAGCTCTCAATGACTACCGGTAGCGAAGGGGTACCATCAGATGCAAACTACTATTTTCGGAGCTGTGGTCTGACCGGGTTGCCCTCTCCTGGCTGCTGCAAACACCCATCCTGTTCCCATTCCACCTGGAGTGACTCACAGTACGCAGCGTGCTTTTCTTGCCGTACGGTCCTTGACTTGCTTTGGGAGACCTTTCTTCCGGCGTCGAAGAAATTCGAAATACCCTTCCTCAACACTGGAAGACCATCAATCTCACTTCGACCGCACATCGTGATGCTTCATGCCTACCCAGTATGCCTGATGCAATCCAGTTTACTTTGGTGGAATATCGAACAGTGGTGGATGCACTTGCTACGGTACCGTACTGTATCGTGCAGTGGAGAGAAAACGCCTGAGGAGGACTTTATCTACAGCGTACGTGGGAGTCCTCAGTCCCAGTTCTCCTTTGCACCCTGGAGGCTACTGCCGGAAATGCCGGCAAGCCACATTGGGTTGCGGGTCCGCGCCTAACAAAAGCACGGCGAGGGGGGTTGAGTACACTATTTCGACAGTCTGGCATGCCTCTCCGAGAAATTCAACTTACTTCTCCGCGCCAAGTTTTTTGAGGAAATGGGCCCAGAGTTTATATGTGAAGATGCCGAACTACTCGATGCCATGCAGCGGCACAGCCTCAACAAGAGGGCAAAGCACTGCTCTCGACACCGGAGAGGTAACACAGGTCCATCAAAACCAAACCAGAGCCGTGGCGACGGCGACAGTATCTCCCAAACACACTAACAGACAACCCTCCGCGGTCGCCACAGCTCCGGTTGGATATTCGTGGCGTGCATTGACAAGAGGACAGCAGCATTACTCGCCATGTCAGGTGTCCACCATGCCGCCATGGTCTCCAAGTTCTTGGAATTGGCCGAAACGAGGAGGAATTTGCATGGGCTTTGGGTTCCCGCGGTATACTGGGCCTACCTTGTTGCCAGGGAGCTGAAACTCCCACAACTGAATGATCCAAGCGAGCTGAAGAGTGCGCTCAACAAGACCACCTGGATGGATGAACCGATCACCGAAGCATTGAGAGGATTCATCCCAGACAAAATCACTAAAGTGACAAGCACCTATTACTCAACAAAGTCCCGGAGAGTGTCACTAGCTGACACAAAGAAGGGGATAAAGAAAAGATTCTTCCTCCGAGTTTCAACAGCCGACAAGAAGGATGAGGAGATCCCACCAAGCAAATCTGAAAAGAAGGAATTGTTTCAGAACGCGTATAACAAATACAGTGGCTGGTCAAAGGAGCTTACCATTGATACCACTGGCAATGGATTGCCGCAACAGGCAGCTGCAACACAACCAACTCAACCAGGCCATAACCAAGACGAAGCAGCGGCGGCACAACCAACTAACCACAGCGACCAGTTACCCCACCAACAATAGTTGATCCGTTCCTCCAGCTTTTTGATGGCATTGTGGAACCGGCAATGATTCATTCTCTCGAAAACAATGAGGAAGGTGCAGCTCTTTTGAAAGATAGGATGGAACAATACTTCTGTAAGAAACAAAAAGAGAAACTAGAAAAGCACTATGCTTCTTTCAAAGCACCAACAGAATACAAACGTAGAGACATAGCAACAGTGGATACAAAAGGGTATCCAGAACTCACTCGGCATGGGATTCCAATGAATGTCCCTGCCCTTCGTTGTGTCTGTCTTGCTCTCATGAGATTGTCAAATGAAGTCCCTGAGATCCTGGAATTCAATAAATCAGGTCGGAGTGAGGCAAAGATGTTGCTGAACGTTGGTCTGGTTCCATCAGCAAATAAGAAGAGGTTGTATGACAATGTCAAGTCATTCTTACCGTCGGCATTAGAGGCATCACTGGCTGCTGGAAATGCAGCAACAGCAGAACTCACTTTGTTTGATGCGAGGACAGTATTCATCCGAGTACTTGCGGCATTGGATATGCAAGCATTCTTGAAGGTGGCTGAAGAGAAGCTGAGACCAAAGATGCCGAAGCTGGAACCTCATCTTCAGAAGGCGCTGCTGTATGATGCATCTCTATCGAAGAATCAGTTTGAGTTGGTTCGAAAGTATTTGATTGTGGCACTCGGATACAATCCATTCCAACCCGTCTCCATGATCAAAGCTCTTGACGTGGAGGTATTTCAGCCAACGCACCTGTCGTTCAAGGAAGATAAGCAAAACAAAATGAGCCATTACCGACCAGTTGATGAAGCGAGCAAGTGGGCATTGGACAAGGCAACAACAAGACTTACAGAGGCAGGAGATATCAAAAGAATCGCCAAGTGTCACATCGTCTTTGGGGGGGACCATGGCCAAGGAGCCTTTCGTGCTGTGGCGACGATTCTACTCTTGTCCAAAGGCCACGTCCACAAGTATGAGCTTGAGCTGGAGAATGACTTTCTTTGTGGCTTCATAGAGTGCAAGAAGGATAACGCGGTAACACTGAACTATTCCCTTGCAAAGCCACTCAATGATTCCTTGAAGAGAACTGGACCGGAGCTTGTATTTTGCCAAGACGAGGACTCCAATCGGTTCATCGAGTGGGGGAGGACGGACGAGATCAGTCGACGGGAAGGCATCATTGTCTTGCATTCGGTTGATGTAGAGTTGTTTATGGTTGGAGACCTCAAGTTTCAGCTGATGGTTGAAGGTAGAGTTGGCAGTGGTCATTGGTGCGCTCGTTGTAAGCTGGGGAAGACCGAGTGGAGCAACGCAGAAAGCTGCATCGCATGTGGTGAAGCTTGGACTTGGGAAAAGATCGCTGCTCAAAAGCAGTCAGCTGCACGGATCCAACAGCAGAAGAAGAGACAACCCAAGCCAAATGAAACCCGGGGATGTGTACAGCCTCCGATCTTTGATGCCATTCCGGTGCAAAACTACCTCACTCCGGTGTTACACGATGTGGACCTCTTTACCAACACAGTCAAATCGCTGTTTGATTCATATGTCGACTATAGACTTGAGAACAGACCGAAAGAGGTGCTGGAAGTTAGGTGGGCGGAAGCAGATGGGATAATTGATGAGGAGGAAGCTGATGATAGAGTTTACACAGCAACTGACTTACTGAAGACAGCGAAAGCATTGGGCAATCCCCTTCTGATAACCGAAGCAAAGGAATCATTGGAAGCGGCCAAAGAGGAACTGAAGGAAGCCAAGCATGCGTTGTCAAAAGCCAAAGACGACCGGAGGAAGGTTGAAGAGTTGAAGGAGCATGGAGCACTCAGTCGGGAGGTTCGACAGCAGCTGGATGAACAAATGGCCACTCTTTTCAACATTCATCGGTCTTCATATCATGGTGGTGCAATGGTTGGCAACTACTGCCGAAAGATGCTGCATGGTGCAGACACAGTGATGGATGCAGCTGAGGCAATGCTCAAACAGATCCCACAAGAGCTGAGAGCCAAGGGCTGTGATGATGCCGAAATCAGCAAATACTGCAACGGCTTCAAGCGAATCCTCCAATACATGAGTATCCTCTCGCACTACTGCTATCAGCCGTATGGCACAATAACAGACAATGAGATTGCTTCAATCCGAGACGTCTTGGTTCCACGCTTGGTGCGTCTCTTTGGAAAGATGTCGACGACCCTCCCTCCGAAGCTCCATATGTTCGGTCACCTCATCGAAGATCTGGACCGCACACGAGGAATGAAGTTCCACCACGAGTCAAAGATAGAAGTCGCTCATCAAATCGGGAAACAGACCGATCTGAGGTTCAGGTCATTGGCAGCAAAAAAGGAAAAGAGGATGAAAGCCGAAATGAAGTTCGAAGCCAACTTGAAGGACGATGCCGTGAAAGCCTCGCAGCAGGAGGTCAAGAACAAGAGAAAGCGACGATTTGGAGAGAAAGCAAAAGCAGCAAGGCAGTTAGCAGCGGAAAGGAAAAAGGAACAGAGGTTGAATTCGATTGAGGAGATCCTTGCGCTGCCGGAGATCGAGGACGAGTTTCCCTCACTGCAAGAACTTACCATAGTCGATCGCAAGAGGACAAGAGAGGAGGAGCGTATGAACAAGGCAAGGGAAGAAGCAGCGGCTTGAGAGCCGGAAGGATTGGCCATGGTGTTGAAGAGGATCGATTGTGTTGGTTTGGCTACAGGAGTGAGGATCTGTTCGTTCGATCGCGAGTGCATGAGTGTTCCTTCGATTCGCGAGGATGTGCCTTCTCTTTTTTGGATCTGTCGGTTGGAGTTGTCACTTCGTTGGAACGTCTTAGACTTAATAAACCACTATTGGAAGATTTAACAACACAGCATTC